TTATTTTATATTTCAATATTTTTTAGCCGGAACCACCTCCTCGTCCACCAGTACCTCGGGAAACATCACCGACGATGGATCCTGAAGATGTAAGAAAAATAGATGAATTATTTAGTTTAATATTTTCTTTTTTGTTCAGGCTCTTCTTGCAGCTATTCGTTTAGCAACTGATCTCGATCCGAACAAGCAAGCAAACAAAATTGTTATGGCTAATAGTTAGATCCATGTTTTGTTATACATAAATTCTATATCCAGATAAATTCTGCACATAATTTCTTTATCAGATCTTTGTTTAGATAATGTTTTTTTTATTATCTTTTTTTCTGTTTTGTGGTAGTCTTTGATGTCTATCTCTTCTATTCAATATTCATAGATCATCTTATTGTTACACTTGTCTTGAATATAAGCATGTAATTCACTTCTGTTTCAATAATAAAATATTAAGTTAATCAATATTTAATTAATCATATCATAGCTAAACATTCTAGTGAAAATATTTTATAAATATAACAAATCAAATTTTCGAAATCAATTAAATCATTGACACCGGAACGTATAGATTGGATAAGATTCGAGCAGCTCAAATTTAGCTTTACTCTGCGAGATGATTCTTGTTTCGGAATAAATATTCGAAATTCCAATATATTTATTTATATGTAATAATAATAAACGGACTGATTATATTCTCATGATTTACAGTCACATTTCTTATCTTACTCACGTATACTAGCATACGAACTAGACGAATCACAATGGTTATTATATTTATGAAAATATCGGTGGATTCTTTTAACTTATCAGCAAACTAACCAGCTAAAGTTTAACTAAAAAGCTGATTTGTGTGATCGTTCGAATGCTTATCTCTCATATCCTCCGGATGTATTTTGAAGGGTGTAAGTGTATCTTATTTATCCTACTCATACTCCCACTCACAGCTTCAAGATTTGTGAAAAGTTATTTTGAGATAGCTGAGATACTTTTATTGCATCGCATGTTATTTGAGAGATGTTTAGATTGGTGTTCTAATGTTGCCTTGAATGAATCAGTTATAAACTATGATGTTCTATCGAATCTATACAGACCTGTTTCTTAATTTCTTTCACTTTCATTGTGTGAGAAAAAACAAGAGGACAATTATCAGATTGATTCAAATTTAAAAGAAAACGAATAAAGAAAAAAGAAGTAGTAAATTTTTTTCTTAAAAGACCGTCAATATTTCATCTCTATAATCTTGTATTTCTATGTTAATATGACTTCATAGAGAAGGTACTATCAGGAACCAGAAGGAACTGTTACGATCCACTGGATCCATCATAGTCATACCATGACAGTTACTGATGCATTTGCAAGTAACATATTTTAATGAACTTCGATACAAATCAGGATCCGCTTTTTCGCTCTTGCAACAAATCATAATAACTAAAATTCAAGTATTAGATAGTATCAAACAAATTCAAGAAATATAACTCAAGTTAATACATTGTTCAATATACCTTTTTTATTATCTTTGATCATCATGATGTATTAATATTTAGTTTTTATAACCGTATTATATCACTCTGTAGTATATTTTGACGATATTTTGCCACTACTTATATTGAAATTATATCATACTGGTATTTCACATAGTTTCAACTATAAATTATCCTGTATTTTCATTTTAACGAATTTGATTTGACATTCATTGTTGTATTTCAACTATACTATGTAAACCTTCAATGGGATCAGTCTTTTTCTTACCTTGTATTCCATACACTTAGCAATAAAGTCTAAAGATTATCGGCAACAATGATCTGTATATATTTAACATTCAATAACTGAAACAACAATACAAAAGACTAAGACGAACAAACCAAGTAGTTAACATTCGAGTCAGAAAAATTTTACATTCATGAATACTTGACAGGTATTAAATGAATACGATTAATCGCATTAAAAAAAAGATATACTATTCGAAAGATCTAGCAAAATAGTACGGTTTACTTTTGCAAATAAAATTCATAACAATGCAATTCTTAACACGATAAATCATATTCTGATGTGTCTGCATATTGGTCTTTACTTCTATCTTTCTAGTCTGATATAGATTTTTCTTTTTAATTAATACAATGTAAAGCAGCATGAATAGAAATCAAAATATAGAAACTATTTATTGGCCAAAACGGATTTTTTTTGTAATTCATAAAATAACTTTAATTCATTCCAGACATTTCTGTTATCAATCTAGATCGAATATAAGAACAAAAGTCAATCCGATGTCATTCCTTTATTTATTTTTTGTATTTCGTCGATTCATATTTACAATGCAATATTTTACATTATTCTGTATCAGTTTACTAATATGTATTTATGGTAAGTAAATTTATCTTGAATATATTTTATTATATTTATATATATTTTCTTATTTGAAGAAATCTCAGCATCGACATGGAATAAGGGACAATTTTGTCAAGAAGTAGTAGATCAACATAATGCATATCGAATGGGAAACTGTGCTAGTCCTTTAAAACGTAATACTACACTTGATGCAATAGCACAGAAATGGAGTGATGAACTTGCTTTAACTGGAAAATTTGTTCATAGTAATACAACTGAATATGGTGAAAATAGTTATAAAAAAACACCATTTAATTTTGATAAAGAAAATGGTATTTGTTTTCTATTTTGAAATAGAATGATATAAGGACAGAGAAAAAAATTTATTTCTTATAGGTTCAATGCCAGTTATTGCTTGGTGTAGTGAAAGCTCAAATTATACCGTGAGTAAACCTCAACTTGCACTACATTTTACACAAGTTGTTTGGAAAAATACTACAATGATAGGTGTAGGTGCTTCTGTAACTAAAGATAAAGGTATTGTTGTCGTATGTAATTATTACACAAGAGGTAATTATGAAAACCAATTTGCTGCCAATGTTGGTTGTCCATCACCAAAATCATAGAACTTCTTGATTGTTAATAAATTTAAAATAATACATTTTATGTAATTTTAATTCATCGGGAATACATATACTAAAATAAATATCTTATTAAATTACATAAATACATCTAGTATGTCATTAATAAAATCTGTAACATTTATTTCTATTTTTCAATTAACTAATATACAACGTCCCGAAAACTTGTTTGTATCAATCATAGGATATCATATAGTGATATTTCGTAATTGATTTCGCCGGTTGTGATAATGCTACCTCTCTAAAAGGCGTTATGGATATATGTGACTTTATACACATACTGTTAGCTATTATAAAAGATTTTTTCTTATCGAATACAAGTGTTTATTGAAATAATCATATATACCTAACAACTCTCTTGGTTACTAAGTTAATAAAATAAAATCTTCATTTAATCTTATTTTTGTAGTTATATATTTGCGAACTTTTTTTTTATAATTAAAATGGACAAACTTACTGATTTGCAGAGAGAAAAAATTCAATTATTACAAAAAAAAGTCGATAGATATCAAGTAGAACCTAGATTATGTGCTCATCTAACATCAGAACAATGTACAATGCTTGCTGAATTACAAATCATCTATGATAAACTTAGTAAATTAACACTAACCAATGATTCAGCAATATTTAGTATTGGATGTAAAGCAGTGAAAGATAAAATGAACCAATTTGATGCAACGTTATATGCAAATATGGAACCTGAACAACTTTATTCTGCATATTTGACAAAATATAAAGAAGCAAAGAATGATTCAAATGAAATAACTAGACTACATAAGTTAGAAACTATATTATCAGAAGATAATAATAATGTTCCAAACACAAGTGAACTCATTTCTAAGACATAGCTTTTAATTCTGTTTGTACAATAAAAATATTCATACTATTCGTGATATTAATAATAAAATAGAAAAATAACAAGGTAAACAAGTTAATAAAGAATTGTAGAGATGATACATTGTTGTCTGTTAAGTATGAAATAAAGAGAAAACATGAATTTTAATATTCATAGTCTGAGAAAAAATCTCAAGTTTCGTTACAATTCATTTTTTCTCAATGCTTCGTAACATGCTAAAGAGAAAAGGAGAAAACAGTGTTAATATAACATTCACTTATACATAACTTCAGATAGTAATCATCATCAAGACTAAGGTACTACGAAAGTGAGAAGTATCAAATATTATTAGTAGCAAAACCTTTTGGAAAAAAATTTTTTTGATATGCTTCTACACATACCTTTCATTAAAACAATCTTTGATTATTGATACATTTTTTTAACCCAGCTCTAAGAGCAGAAGATTAATTCCCATTGGAATTCTTATGTTTGTTAACAATACAAATATTATAAATTTTCGATTCTGTTTCATATAAAGATCATCTTATATATGTTATGATCTTTTCTTTTAATTTGTACAGATTGAATGTTATCATGATCATCACTTTGCCTTTCACTTATAAAAATACAAGTATATATGTCTTCTCTTCTATGAGAAATATTCCAGCCGGTTAAATGATTAAGCCTGAAGCAACATTACTTTTTGACGTTAAACCTTTGATTCTTGCTAAGATATAGTCAGCTAGACGGATGTCATGTTCCGTTAATAAAATTATAGCTACCAGTCATCATGATAATGAGATAGAAAAGTAAGTGAAAAAAAAAGAACATCCTGATATATTTATGCGTGGGAGAATAAATTTGATTTTTTTTATGCTTACATACCCACTAAACAATAAAAGTAAGCTTTCTTTCGCTCGCTCTTTTTTTCTTCTTCTTCTTCGATGTTGACAAATCAAGTAGAAAATGAGTAAAAGAAACGAACGGGATACATTCCAATGTTAAAGAAAAAGAAAACCTAGGCATTGCCGCCGGATCAGGTAAGCTAAATACTTGAATCAACATCCTATTAGTTTAAGTAGTTTAACTCATTCGTTCATATGTGGCTCATATATATATATATATATATTTTATGTTGATGTAACCCATTTAAGTATTGAAGATTGTTCATAATAATGATGATAATATCTGACGATTTTTTCCTTAGGCATTATCAACCAGACAATCAACGAACTTATCTTTTTTCTATTGGTAACTGTCTATCTCAAATTGTGCAATGTAAATTTCTTTATTTTTTTTTATAAAAGACAAATATTTTTCAAAAAAATAGACTTTAGTCATGAGTTACCTTTCTTTTCTTTAACGATGTTGAATTTTCTTTTTTCATCTCTCTCGGCAACATAAAGATTAATATTTTTTATTGACATAACCAATCGGTTTTCGAGTTTATACAATAACCAATCCGAATAAGCCAAGAAGGAGAAGGAGAAGAAGAAAAAGAGAATGACACAAATAAAGAAGAGAAAAAAAGCCGACTTTCTTTGTTTCTTTTTTTATCTCGCAGGCAACAGAATCAGCAATAACGACGAATAGAGAAACATCGGAACTGGTACGGCATACGTTCCTATCCATACATACGTCGAAAGCCCATTAGCAATTTTTTTTTAGTAGCAACATTTTCTTGGTTTACGTGTGTGTGCATACCATTAAACATTGTACGAATACATCCGCAAGCGGTCGTCTCATGTCATTTCATCACCTTCATCATCATCATCATCATCTTGCCGAAAATTCCTGGCAGGTAAATTGACTTGCCTTCTTCTATATGCAATACATATATAGATGAGAGAGAGAGGGTGTGTGTATGTGAGAGAGACAGACATCATAAAGATTTTTATTCATCGTACATATCAAATAGACAATAGTTAAATCTATTAATAATTTAGGATCGATCGAATCATTTCATAAATACTTCCAATGTTCCAAATAATTCCGATCGATCAACTAGTCAAAATTCATCAATGCCTATTCCAACATCATCAAATTCAGGTGGCGTGGATTTTCAACCACCTTATTTTCCACCACCATTTCCAGGTGTATCACATCAACATTCATTTGAACAAATTCAAGCAAATCATTCACATAATCTTGATTATACATCATCATCATCATCACCTCCATTTACAAATAATCAAACATCACAATCATATAATTCATTAGTTCGTTCCTCAGGTGTTAATATTGATGAAACGCCAACACCATTATCTCATCCATATGGTGCTTATGCTGAATATGCTGCTTCTTATTATAGTCGTCATGCTATGGTACTTGATCCAGAGTCATTACAACTTTATCGAAGTGGTTTATTAGCGAGTGATCCATCAAATACAGCAGCTTTTCGAGTAAATTCTATTTTCTTTATTTTAACAATTAATAAGAAAAATCTCTATCATTAAGGTTCCTGGTCTTGATGATAATGTTCCACCAGCACTTTCTGAACATTATCGAGCATCATTTCATCGTGGTAAAGCATTAATTTAAACATATTTTTATCATGATTGATCTTTTAAGATTTACGTCGTGGTGGTGATACAAAAGAAGGTATTCAATTAAATTTGGGTGTTGCAAATGGACCTATTGCTCCAACAGATGTATTCTGTAGTGTACCTGGACGATTATCTTTACTTAGTTCAAATTCAAAATATAAAGTAAGCGTTGCTGAAGTTCAACGACGTCTTTCACCACCAGAATGTCTTAATGCATCTTTACTTGGAGGTATTTTACGAAGGTAAATTCTCATATATAAATATTTCAATCTAGAACCATTAATTTCCTTTTTCTCGTTTAGAGCAAAATCAAAAAATGGTGGAAGAATATTACGTGAAAAACTAGAAAAAATTGGCGTTAATCTACCAGCTGGACGACGTAAAGCTGCAACAGTTACTTTATTAACTTCTCTTGTTGAAGGTGAAGCTGCTCATTTAGCACGTGATTTTCATTATGTATGTGATCAAGAATTTCCATCACGTCAATGTGCTGAATATCAAACACGTCAATATCATAATACACATCAAGCACATGAACCATCAGGAATAACAAAACGTAAACAAAATATTCTTGCTGCTAAGTAATACAATAAAACAAAGAAATTTTCTTTTTGCAATATTTTTGATTTTCTATTTAGACAATTAGTAAAAGAATTTACTGATCTATTAGGACAAGATCGTTCACCATTGGGTACAAATAGTCGTTTAGCACCTGTGCTTGATGTTTCAATACAACGACATTTAACACATTTTTCCTATGTTACACATGGTTTTGGTACACCAGCCATTGTTGGTGCAATGTCAGCATTACAAAATTATTTAACTGAAATGAGTAAAACATGTGACAAACCAATGACAAATTCAATGGAAAATAAAAAAGATATTGAGCATTTAAATGACAAAACACGATAGATTTTATCAGTTTGATATATCATATTTAAATCATATACATTCCAAAGTTTTTCTTTTTGTATTTGTGCGTGTTTCGTTTTTTTTCTTCTTCTTCTTCTTTCTTTCTTCTTTTCTTTGTTTTAAACAATAATATCTGTTGAAACCATAAGATATTTGCAACATATGTTCAGAAGATTTGTTTGTTTGATAGATATCAAGCGTTAAGATGAACGGATGCTTGAAAATGCCTTAAGCTGCAGATTGTTTAATTATTAACATAAAGACAAACATTCAATTAATATTTTCAATGATTCTCACTATATAGAAGAAAAAAAGTTAAATGATTTTTTTTTTCATCAATGGCAAGGTTAGTAATTAATAAGACAGGTTCCACTCCTTTCTCTTTCTTTATTTCTGCCGGGTAAAGGACAAATGGTTAAAGATGTGCTGTTATACGTACGTACATTAGTCGTTTGTTTGTATATGTATATTGATGGTCATACTAATCGATGCACCATGTACAATAGCTAATGAACAACAATAGGCAAAAATAAACAAGTCAAAGAATAAGGAGATCAAAAGAAACGACACAACGGGTGCATACATCTGCATATACAACCTTAGGCATGCGATAGTGCCCTGTAGTTAGTAAAAACTGTATATACTTCAACTAGTTGATAACTGTCGTGTGATGGTGATGGTGATAATGTATGATGAAAAAATAAAATTGTTATTTTTATAAAATCATTATCCAAGTATATAATTGGAATGATAATATAAATAACAATGTAGTCTTTAATAGCTTTCATAGTGTTTGTTAAACAATAAGAATGATCTTGAATTCTTTTTTCTTCATTATACCTATAAATCATTTCCTTTAGATTTTTAACATCCTTGTGCAAGGAGAGAGAATTCTTCAAGTATAGAAAATTAGACATGATTACTCTTCATATTAACTAAGTTACCATCGATATTTTTATATCATAGATATCGAATAATTTACTGTTTCTTTTTCTTTTTGATAAACCATTTGTTACTATTTACAATATAAAAGAGAATTTCTTTGTATTCATTAACTATTGCCATAACTATATAGATTCAATTTTATATGAGACTAGAACAATATGAAGAAAGAATAATTGACTGTTTAATTTTTATTGGATCAAGTACATCATCCATAAGGCTTTAGCAACAAAGAAATAGAATCAAGGTAAGAGGAGAAGTTCTGATGGACAAAAACACGAACCACATGATTTTCTACCTAATTTTTCCATACAAAAAAAACGCAATATCATATCTTGATAATAATACTTACCGTTTCAAATCAATTTCATTTTCTTTTCCAAGTTACAGCTACTAATATTGATATCAGTTAGAACTGTCACATTACTATTACTTTTTATCATAACTTGCTTTATTTTTGTTGTTTCAACGGCGCTATATCTATTACTGTTTCTTATTAGCGAGATATGCAGTAGTTTCTTGTAACTTTATTACAATTACTCTTATTATCTTTTAAATTTTGTTACTTTATTACTATTTCTGATATTCTGACTTGTTATTGGCAATAAGCACTAACATTTATTACTTTATTACTCATTGCGAAAATTGTTTTTATTACTTTATAAAAACCGTTGCTAATTACTAGTAATAATAATAACCTTAAAAATGATTACTTATTACCGGTAATGGTAATGTGACAGCCCTAATATTAATAGTTTTTTTAGATGAATGAGCATATATTGAAAATAAATATATAACGTAGCAGAGTATCTAAAATACTTCATCTATGAAAAATATGAAATCAAGATCTTCATCGATTAAAGCAAAATTATTAGTCCAATTTTTAATATATTTCGAAAAGACAGCAGATACCTCTCGTCTGATATCACTAGAATACAATACAAATTTTGATTAATAGATGATCATGTTTATTAAATATAATTTATTCATATGGATATCTGTTTATAATGGAAATGAAAAAATTGATATCGTCATTGCTATTCTTACACTATTACAATTAGCAATTATGTTTGAATGTATTTTATTTTTGTTTCGTTTACAGGAAAGCGTATTTTCAAATCTCCTTTTATCCAGAGTGCAATAGATTTAATACATATTAAAGTTATATGACAGTCAGTGATGCCAACTGTCATAGTTAGAATATCGGAATTCTAATATGAAAATCCGGAAAGGTTTTTAACAGTTGATTCCTACCCACTAAAATAAATTTCTCAAAATCTTGTTCTCAATTTTGCCATTTATTGGTTCAAAAAACACATGTTTCTATATATCAAAAGGAAATCAACATTAAACTTCAACATATAATAAACTAAATATATAAGAAGTATAAGCCACTGAGCCGCTTCAAATAAAAAATTTTTTTTTTTGAATATTAACAAATAGATAAAATTTAATTCAGTAAAAGTCATCTAAAATCTGGAAAAATCCGGAACCCGGAAAAAATCCAAAACAAATTAGGAAAATCCGGAAGAGTTGGCAGCTCTGATGACAGTTAAAAATGACTAAGAATATTGATACGAAGTATAAAAATCGTTTTCAAAAATGTAAATTTTCTATTTCTTTTTATTATATAGATTAACCCTTTCCTTTGTATAAAAATTATAATTTCGATATTTTCATATATTGAAGAAATAATTCGATTTTGACTTCCCCTATTCATCACTGTATGACTATTTCTCTCTTACCTTTGCACTTAAACGAGCATGTTTTTATATATGAATCATACATGGAGGAAGTAGACATAAAAATAAAAGTAATCAAGCGTAATAATTACATTCATATATTTTCAAACATTTTCTATGACTATTTTCTTCCAACTATTTATTGTAATATAACGCTATTAATAATGATATTGACAACCACTAAATATCAGTGAACTTTCAACATTTTGAAATACTTATAAATTTAATTTAATGTTATTCATTTCATAAGCATACGCATGCAATTTTCTTAGGTGTAATATAACATAAGTTTCATAGCAATTACATCTTATTACTAGATTCTTGATATATTTTGCTAAGAAGTTTATCAGTTTATCCGGTAATTACAAATAAGACTTTTTAAAGTGAATCATTTATCAATAAATGACAAAATCTATTCACTAAAAAATTATTTATAAATAAAAAACTGAAATAATGATGGTTTTAGTAGAGCTCTTAATAAATACTTTTACTTTTGAAAAATCCATTATTTACATATATATCACGAGATAGTGGACAAATGTAAATAAAAGTTATTATTCTGTCATAATATTTTTATATAAAAAAGAAGTTTTTTATCTAACGTAAACATTATCCAGGCAATAGAACATCAATGTGTGGTTTGCCGTATCGTATGAAAAACGTCACACACTCTAACGCTGAATCACTCTTTAGTCGTACACATAGGTGATGCGCTCTTATGATATGTACTTTTCGCGTATAAATAAGGTTATTTGAATGCACTTTTTTCTCAACTAATTTACATTCTTTATATCAAAACAAAAATTTCTATGTACGTTAAGTGACACAAAAAAGCATTGTACCGTAACATATCAATGCGCATTATAAAGAAAAAAATATATTTTATTTGCCATCACCGATTCATTAGTAATGCATGTGATGTTTTTATTCATCTTTATTTTCTATTCAATCATTAACTTGATCTTAGCAGCGAATTATTCATGTAATACAGCTTCTACATGTGGTTGTTCAACAGTATCTACTGTTGTCACATCACGAATTATTGGTGGAGAAGATGCAGCTGATCACACATGGAATTGGATAGTTTCTTTTCAAAGCAACGGTGACCATAGATGTGGTGCAACACTTTTAACATCCGAATATGCTGTAACAGCAGCTCATTGTACTGTCGCCTTATTACCTCTTATGCCAAATTTAACTATTGTAGCTGGTACAAATGATTTATCAGATTCATCTAACACAGCTGTACAACAACGATCTATCATCAACATGTTTACACATCCAAATTTTATTGCTGGTAGATACGTAAATGATATTGCTATTCTTCAATTTGCTCCACTTAATATAGCATCAGATTTCAATATCGGTTTTATTTGTTTACCTCAATCATATCAAGATCCATTTCAAACGGGTGATAATCTTATAGCTGTAGGCTGGGGTGTCACATCTACCGCTTCAGGTGCTGCTGTATCTAACTCTCTTCAACAAGTAACTGTCCAAGCTTTTTCATCAACATCAGCCGATTGTGAACGAACAGGCATAAGCAATGCCACTGTACAATTCTGTGCAGGCGTTTCAGGAGGCGGCAAAGGTAGCGTTTTATAATATATAATTGAATTTTCTTTCTTTTTTCTTTCTTAGATACATGTCAAGGAGATAGTGGAGGTCCATTAATGGCTTTCGTTGATAATACATGGGTATTAGCAGGAATAACATCTTCTGGTCAAGGATGTGCTCAAGCAGGATACCCTGGAATATATACACGAGTTTCTCCGTTTATTTCATTTATCGATTCAATTCTCGGTATTCCATTCAATGGATCAGACACACCATCACAAGTTTTGGTTACAACAACTGTACAAACTCAAGACAGAAATATGACAAATAAATCTGGATCAATTTCAATCTTTTGCTTCGTATCTATAATATTTTCTTTACTCTTAATCTAATTGTAAAACATATATATTAAACAGTAGAATATATTTGTTTTTCAGTATTATTATTATATTAGCGAATAAATCGAACTAGTTGAGGCTTTAGTAAGGAATAAATAGAATCTAGGTAAGAGGAACAATGAGCATATATTGTATAAAAATATAATGTAGCGGAGTATCTCGAATGTATCATGCATGGAAAATATGAAATGAAGATCTTGATTGATTAAAGGAAATAATTGAAAGAAACTTTAAATCATTTCGTATCACATGATTTGATGCATGAAATAATGAAGCAGAAAATATTAGTATTCAGGGAAAACTTCGTTTCTATACAAATTATATTAAATTATAAATATTATTTGTTTTTCAAAATGAATATTTACCCGAAATATTTTCTCCTTAAATGTTAATTATAGTGCCGTGAACACAAAACGTTCACTTAAAAATCTTTCAGAAATGATGATATAATTATATGTATATATAGGAAAAATACACTAAACGATATTATTGAAAGTATATTCGCATATTTTATGAAATCTTCCTACAATATCTTAAAAACTCTTCTATTTGAATAAAATACTATTGGAATAGGAGTATGAAATTTGATGTGAAAATTATGTGTATATCAACATTAATAATATACTTTGAAACTAAAAAATAGATTGAATATTGTTCCTAGCCCAATTAACATCAACATAAAACTCTTCGATTTTAAAACTTTTTAAATACTTCTGCCTTAATATTGACGAAGTTCGAATAATAATCTAGTTATCATTGACTTTTATTCGTAACTATATTTTACCGGATGGATCCCAATCGCAAGTATTATTCAACTATAAATAAGATAATGTATTAGTACTTATGCAGTACGAATTAATCAACTATTAGCAATTTAAAGAATCATATCTTCTTTCTGTTTAGATTCTCAGCTCAAGAAAATCATGCTGCTATAAATGGTAACATATTCATTGATAAAATACGAATGTGTAAATAAAATTCAAAACTCTGAAAATCTTCATTGCATATTTCGCATCAGTTTCTTTTGAATTATAGTATTGCTGACTCTGTTGAAGCAGGAAACATCTTTATGTAGAAGTATACTATGTAAGAACTCTAAATCGAACATAAACAATTTGATCGTGATAAATAAACGAAACTCTTGATTTCGTTACATATCTATTGTAGAATTTCACGGCTCCTAATCGAAAAGAGAAGGTTTTGAAGTATAGAATTCAACCATTGGAAAATCTTTTTAATTTTCGGTTGAAATTCAGATTGCTTAACCATTTCAGGACGGTGGTACAACATATGTACCACTTACCCTGGAGGGGGTACAGACATTTTTAAAAAAAAAATTTTTTTGAGTCGCGGTTTAAAAGATAGCTTAAGAATAATACACTGATCATGAAACCAAAACTAGTCCTGAAAGGGTTAATCTTGTCGAGTCAATCACTTAAACAAAATTTTTAAAGATGATTTTCATTTATTAGCTTTCAACAAATTCGATAATACATCGAATTATTTTCATCAGATAGTTTCGATGATATGTTGTTACTTATTCCAATAAAATAATATATCAGTTAAAGTAAAATAAACATTTTGATAACAAATGTTTAGGTACTTTCATACATGACCATAAAACAATTGTTCATTTGAATATCTTTCAGTGAAATTGAATTATTCAGTAATCGATGATAACTCAATGATTTTTCATTATAAGTACATAAATGTTTGTCAATGAATTTAATAATGTAGTCTATAATCTTGGCTTTAATAGGTTCAGAAATAATCTACTTGCAAATGTTCACATTCGTTAAAAACAGAAAACTTCAAAAGATGGAAATATAATGCAGAGTATAAAAATCGATTTCAAAAATGTAAACTTTCAGTTTCGTTTTATTGTTAGAAAGTGCACTTCTATTGTATTGAAATTTCTATTTTGATATCGTCTATTCATCATTATATAATTATTTCTATTGTGTCTTTATACTTATAGGTATATTCTTTTATATTAGTCATACATTGACGTAGTAGGCATAAAAGAAAAAGTAATCAAGCGTAACAATTACATTCATATATTTTCAAACATTTTATATGACTCTTTCTTTTCAATTATTTATTTATAATATAATGCTATCAGTAATAAAATTGACAACCATTAAGTATTAGTGAACTTCTAACATTTAGAAATGCTTATAGATTTAATTTAATGTTATTCATTTCATAAACATACGCATGAAATTTTCTTAATTGTAATATAACTTACAAGTTCCATAATAATGACCTATTATTACTAAATTCTTGATGTATTTTGCTATTATATTAGACTACATGTGATCTTATAGTAATATCGTTTGTGTGACGATAGAAGTTTCGAAGAAATCTTTGGTATAATTTAACATATGAAATTCTTAACTATGATCATCATCAAGTTGTATCAAACCAAAAATATACGATATTGTAAGACTATACTATTCGATCAGTTGACTTCGTATCTCATATGTTTTCTCTTATATGTTTATATATTAATGAGAATATATTTTGTAGAAGCGACTCCATTTATCTAGTAATTACAAATAAAACTTTTTAAAGTGAATCATTTACCAATAAATGACATAATCTATTCACTAAAAAACTAAAATAATGATGGTTTTGATTGAGCTCTAAATAAATATTGTTGGTTTTGAAAAACCAATTATTTACATATATATCATGAGATAGTGGACAAATGTAAAAAAAAGTTATTATTCTGTCATAATATTTTTATATAAAACAAAAAAGAAGCTTTTATCTGAAGTATTCATCGTCCAACCACTTTGCTCTATAGTACGAAAACTGCTACACCCCTAACACAAAATCATATTTATTTGAATACGCAGGTGACTTATTATATTTCTATGTACTTTTCTTCAAAGATAATTTGCGTCATTTATATGAATATAGAGTACTTCTATATACATTTTATGACAAATAAAAGCAATGAGCCGTGTCTCATCAATGCGCATTATAAAGGAAAAAAAATATTTTATTTTCTAGCATAGATTCATTAGTAATACACGTAATGTTTTTATTCATATTTATTTTCTACTCGATTATTAACTTGATCTTAGCAGCGAACTATTCATGTAATACAGCTTCTAAATGTGGTTGTTCAACAGTATCTACTGTTGTCACATCAAAAATTCTTGGTGGAGAAGATGCAGGTGATTATACATGGAATTGGATAGTTTCTTTTCAATACTCTGGCGAACATAAATGTGGTGCAACACTTTTAACATCCGAGTATGCTGTAACAGCAGCTCATTGTACTGTCGCCTTATTACCTTATATGGCAAATTTAACTATTGTAGCTGGTATAAATGATTTATCAGATTCATCTAATACAGCTGTACAACAACGATCTATCATTAACATGTTTACACATCCAAATTATAACAATAATACCTTCGTGAATGATATTGGTATTCTTCAATTTGCTCCACTTAACATATCATCAGATTTTAACACCGGTATCATTTGCTTACCTCAAGCAAATCAAGATCCATTCCAAACGAATACTAGTCTTATAGCTATAGGCTGGGGAGTTACGTCTACCAGTATATATGTTGATGTATCAGACTCTCTTCAACAAGTAACTGTCCAAGCTTTTTCATCAACATCAGCCGATTGTTTACGATCAAACATAACCAATGCAACGGTACAATTTTGTGCAGGCGTTTCAGGAGGCGGCAAAGGTAGCGTTTTATAATATATAATTAAGTTTTATTTCTTTTTTTTCTTAGATACATGTCGAGGAGATAGTGGAGGTCCATTGATGGCTTTTGTTAATCATGTATGGGTATTAGCAGGAATAACATCTTTTGGCCATGGATGTGCTCTAGCAGGATACCCTGGAGTATACACACGAGTGTCTTCGTTTATTCCATTTATCAATTCAATTGTTTCTTTTCCATTCAATACATCAGTCACATCATCACAAGTTTTAAATGGAACAACTGCACAAAATCAAGGCAGCAATATGATATATAAATCTGGATCAATTTCAATATTTTCCTTCTTATTTATAATATTCTCTTTATTTTTAATCTAATTGTAAAACATATAAATTAAATAATAGATAATATTTTCCTACAATTATTTTAAAAATTTTGGTTATTTTCACAAAAAAATTTATAAACATCGACATTCAATTTAAGCAGTATATGACAATATTCCATAGGAAATTTTATTATTTCAGTTTAAAATACAAATAGGCTTTTTGAATGGTTTAACAATTTTTAAACTCATGAATATCATTTAATTAAATCTTATATTATAAAGAAATTAAAATGATCTTATTCTTACAATATTAATTATTTTTATGCATAAATTAGATTTAATGAACTATTGCATTACGAGAAAAACAACACACTTCAAACAGTATTGCATACTTATCGTTATTTGGTAAAATCTCGTTTTTTTGTAATAATCAAATTTGTAAAGAATATCTCAAATACGAATAAACTACTAGCCATAATTTTTAATCGTTATTCCAAGGTCTGATTATGAAATCAAGCAAAAACAAAGAGAACGAATAGTTATTTTCACTGAAGTAATATAAGACTCCATTATAATTAATGTGGGACGACAAGTAAATGACATATGTGCATCGGTTTTTCCTTACTACTTGAATTTTTATTTTAATTGCTATTATAAATTCAATAGTTTTACAGATTAAACAAATGTATGTATGCAATACTTGACCTTTATTATGCAAATACATAATCAAATAAAATTAATGTTGTGTTGTAGTAATACACGATATTGTATTTTTTTTGATAAAAAAAGGACACTTTGCTTTCATTTTTCTAAATCTAACAGAGTTTATAAATATCATAATTAATTTTATGAACTTTAGAAAGAAATGATTATCTTATTGATATATGAAAGTGTTATAATACGAAAATAGTTAAAGATAAGAGTACATAAAAAATTCATTATTGTTTTCCTATTCTTGATTAATCGAAGAATGACACCTTCTTCTTTTTGTCCGTATATTACAATCATATCTTTCAAATAAACAGAAGAAAAAATGTTCATTATATATACATACGATAGCAATCATTTACAAAATAAACAATTTCTTCATTGATTCCGTTCTTTTTTAAACAGATTATATTTTAATCGAAAAATGAACAAAATTTATTTTAGAACTTTATGAGAAATAGATTGCATACCAATGTTATGCTTGATTTACTTAAATAGAAATTCCATCCTTTGATATATATGTGTCTATAGATTAACTGCTATTACGAAATCTTAATGATTAGTATATACATACTTGTCTCAACAAGCGGAAAGACATCTGTTTCAATATATTATCGAAAAATCACCAATCAACGTTTATATTTTTTGATCAATAGCAATAAAATATATATATCTTAGAAACCTAATAAGAGTGAGAACAATCACCAGTTATTCATTCACTTGTTCTCATATAATAAAATTTAAATTACAAATCTTCTATAGAATCTTTTCAAGGTCATACAAATGTTATATTCTATATCGATAATGTAAAATCTTAGAAATAATTTTAATTAAATAATCAAAATAGATATTAGATTCAATGAACAACAAGCTGTTACTTTAACAGATATAATCTACATGATTCGAAAATAGAAAAATAACTTTATGAATATTTAAATTTGATTACTAGTCGTTTATTGAGACTTATATTCTATCTATTAAATTCATTGTTTAGTATGTCTACTTCTTTTTCTTTTTTAAGATCATACCGAACACCTGTCATTATTATATGATGGTAGGCGTATTCTTCGATCAATTAACTTTGTCATTATAATCAAGTGAATGAGTTGTATAGTATTATTTGTGGCATCGAATGTTCATTCATGCATATCTAATCACATCAGTACCAATAAAAACATTTTGTGAATAAGCAAAAATATTCATGTCGTCTTATTTAAACATTTTCATCAATGAATATGATTTCTTATCGAGAGTAGTGTATTGAAAAAACGAAGAAAATGATCATCAATCGTTGCAGGTGTCAAATTTTCTCTCGTCTAATCTTTCTTTCCCATTCGATACATATACATAGAGTGTCGTTCACATGCAAACATAGTACAACTAACAAACAAATAGAAGCCTAGCTAATGATCGAAAACGAGATGGTGTGTGACAATCATATATATATGGATTAGACGAGTGAAAGGAGGAGTCGAACTTTCTCAACATATTTTTCAATATGATTAAGTCACTCTATATATATGTATACATATCACAGATTAAGGAATAAGACGGTAAACATCATTCTTATCAATATTAGTATAACAAAAAAAAAACGAATAAAAAATTTTCATTTCTTTTTTTTTTTAATTTAATAATTATTCGCCCACTTGGCTGCTCATTGGATGTTGTCATTGATACTTGCTTGGGCATGTATATACAAATTGTTTATATTTTGCCGCATGGTTCATGTTGACACGAGAGACCAATGTATATAAAATAGAATAAAACGAGAAGTATCAATGTGGTACCCCTAGAGGCTTGAATAAGAAATAATAATAATCAATCATCTTCATTCATGATTACTAGCAGTCATCATTCTCTATCCGCACTCTTCAAACCAATTACAACAGCCTGGAGCTGTGTGTCCAAACGCAATTTGATTACAGCCATACACACATAAATACATACATATCGTCACGTTCTCTGTCTCGCATCATCATCTTCCTCATCTATTTCTCTTCTCTTTTTTTTTTGCAAGATCATCGACCGTTGAATAGACCCGTAATTGGTGAGACGTTGGCTCACTAGTGTGGCCAGGCAAACAACAACTATACGCGTGTGTGCGTTCGGGCTTTATGATTATTCTATTATTCTTGCTCGCCACTGAATAAGAAGAAGCAAAAAAGAGAGAACTGTAATTTCTTTGTCGACGCTAAATAAGTCGCTTCCGCTGCTAACCGTCTTTCGATGCTTACTTCCGTTCAACTCGTCGTCTTCATCTCTTTTTTTCCCACTCGACAACGAATTGTACTTTGCAGCCGATAGTTTTGGTTAGATGAAAAGTGTATATATGTGTGCAAGTTCAATCATCACTTCAATTGAAATCAATATATATATATATCATTGCGCAAGCAAAAGTAAACGTTTCAATAAAGAAAAGAAAATAAAGGCAAAATTTTCAAAAACGTTAAAGAAAAGTAATCAGAATAAAAACAATAACAACAACTTGTAAAATATTCATCAAACAGAGAAAACCGCAAATGTAATTGATGGATGAGAGAGGATTAATAGGATGAGAACTATTCATAGGCTATATTTTAAATTCTTACATATATAGGAAAAAGAAACTGATTGGAAAGAAGCCGACGATGATGAGATGTATAAATTGAGAATTTAATTCATTTGGATTCTTCTTGTTCTTCGTCGTCTTTTCTTTTCTTTTTTTTCTCTTTTCATTGTCCTATTTTACACATTTTATTCAGGTAATCGAAACAAGCCAACGATCAATGTATGTATATGTATATGTATATGCATGTATGCATTCGATTAATAATATTTCTCTTTACTTTCGTCTTTATTTTTCTTTTTCTTATATATACCATTTGTGAGTACGATTGATGCAAACCTTCATTATTACATACAGCTTGAATTGTTCTTGCTCTCTTCTCTCTTTTCTTTTCTTTTCTTTTTTTTCTTATTCAAAGACCAATAGACACATATTGTAATCGTTTTGTTGTTGGGCGCTGCCACTCTTTTTCGCTTCCGAGCAGGCAACAGAATAGAATAGAATAAAAGAAAAGAAAAGAAAAGAAAAAAGCGCAAAGAAGCGCAATGAATGGCCAATGACGATTTTTAATTTTCTTGCGCTTTCTCTCTTGTTCGTTTCTATTCTTTAATTTCTATTGGAGGGAAGAAGTAGATGGTAGCTGCTGTTGTTGTTGTTATTATTATTATTATTACTATTATTATTATTGCTCGTTCGTTCGCTCTTCCACTTGGCTGTCTCTATTTGAATAACACTTTTTGAGCGGCGACGAGAACGACAAATAAAAGCCCCCTTCTTTTCTTCTTCTTCTTTTCCTTCTTTTATTAGTGTGCTGTGCACATAGTTCAAGTCATTATGTTTCGCTTTGTATATGGATAGAGAGAATAAGAGGGAAAGAGAGACATAGAGAGAGAGAGACAGAGAGAAAGAAAAAACTATTTTCATTGCTCTTTTTTTCTCGCTCGTCGAATAATATAATAGGCTTTCATCGAATAGAGAAAGAGAACCTGTTTCTTTTATTATATATGACAAGAAAAAAGAATCTTGTGTGTTTCTTTTACTGTGCTTTTATTTTTATTTCTTAAAAGAAAAACTTCGATTGACTCATTTATTATCATCATTATCCAACCATGATGTGTAAGTATTCTTTTAAAGAAACGTTTTCCAAAGAAGAAGAAGAAAAACGAAAGATAATAAGAATAAGATATTTATTTAAATTATTTTTAAAGCTCATCTATTCAATGTTCAACATCCACATATAATAAACAAATCTTCTTCATCTTCATCTTCGAATTCTAATACTCCGATGTCGGAACATGTAAAACGACCAATGAATGCATTTATGGTATGGTCTCGTGGACAACGTCGAAAAATGGCTCAAGAAAATCCTAAAATGCATAATAGTGAAATAAGTCGTCGTTTAGGTATTGACTGGAAATTATTAAATGATGAACAAAAACGACCATTTATTGATGAAGCTAAACGTTTACGCGCTCTACATATGAAAGAACATCCAGATTATAAATATCGTCCTCGTCGTAAACCGAAATCTTTAATAAAAAAAGATCGTTTTCCATTTCCATTTCCGACATTTCCTCCTCCTCATCATCAACATCACTTTCAACATCATCATAATATGTCACATAAAGATTCAATCGATTTATCAACACATTCAGCAACTGATACAATGTCCGTACAACAACAACAATTTAATGATTCATTGGCAATGAATCTTGAAAAATGTCGTTCATTATTACCACCACCACCACCTCCAACATCTCTCTATCCATATTCAACAGGAAAATTAGGTGATTTCTCAACAGCCGCACTTGCTTATAATCCACTTGCATATGCAGCAGCTTTTTCACAACATTACCCATATAGTAGTATGTTATCAGCTAGTTTAGCTGCAGCTGCTGTTGCAACATCATCTTCATCACCACCGAGTGTTTCATCTCCTTCGTCTTCATCAGCTTCATCCAATAATTCTGCAAATCATTATCATTTTGGTATGCAAACAGAAAAAATTCATCGACCACAAGCACTTTTGCATGGTAAAATACAATAATTTTTGAACTTTAAACAATAATGTATCTTCTACTTTGTCTTCTTTTTTTTCTAAAACAAATATAAAGAAAATTGTCGGGATTGGTGAATATTTTATTCTCTCATTTGTTTATACAAATCTAAGAACAACTTAACTACTCGAATTTCGAAAGAAGAAACCTGATCAGAAGATTGTATGCACATTGAAGCGTTATCGATGCAGACAAATCGATCACTTTTTTTTTCTCTCTCTCTTTCTTCGTTTATGTTTTGTCATTGCGACAAAGAAAAGAAACAAACTCTAACTGTTTCGCTTCATTTCGCGTTCAACAGGGCGCAACATCAATCAGCATTTGGCTGCTAGGCAAAATGAGAGAGAGAGAGAAAGATGGAAAAAAAAGAAGAAGACAAAGAAACTAGTAGTCCTGTGGTTTTTTCAAGTGAGATACTTTTATCTTTTGCCGTCTATCGTCTTAAAAAATAAAATAAACTTTTGAGCAGCTGTATTAGTTATTACATCAGTATAATAACGGTTGATCATTTTCCGACACAGCAGGAGAGTGAGATGCTGGTAATTTTAACATACTCTTCATTTCGTCTATATTTAATTGGAGACATGAAGTTCATTTCCCTTCGTCTTCTTCTTCTTCTTCTTCTTCTACTGCGTCTTTTTTTTTTCTTTACTCCAGATGACCCGTTTCTCAGCAATTTAAACACATGATGTGTGTCAATAGTTTGACGATTGTGATAGATTAGAAACGATGATTTTTACACACTAGACTCTTGCTTTTGTCAAGTAGTAAGAGAAAAGAGAAGAATAAACTCGATATCTATATCATTTCCGATCGGAATCAAAACAGATTGTAGTCATAAATGATTGTCTAGTTAGAGATTAAAAAAAAACAAATTGAGATATAGAACGTTTAATGTACATGCCGACATGTTGTACCCTATCGGCAAGATATTAATCGAAGATGATGTAGGTGAAAAATTTTCTTTTTTTTCTTCTTCTTCTTCTTCTATGCTCGTGAGCAATGACAATATTACGTTGGCTTTTAATGGAACGAGAAGAGACGAACAGAGTCATCATTTATTCATTTGAACACCTATTATAATCAAACAGGCGGAATCCGGAATGATGTGACAGCATGTGATTAGATACATCTTCTACTTATTTCTTATATAGAAGACAAACACACTCACATGCATTAAAAGAAAATTTTTCTACTATGTCTAGCTCTCATCATCATACAACATATATATATAGATTGACAAATAATAGCGATTGTGCTCACCGAGCGTGTCTCTTAACATATAAATACAATGAATCTTTTCTTTTTCTTTAATTGGCCTCATTTACGAATAAAAGCAAAAGTATATGTATGTATGTAAATGAGTGACAAAAAAAAAGCTATAAAAAAAAAAGAAAAAGAAATAGTTGTACATAAGTTTGATAGAAAAAAAGACAAATCGAATTCAATTAGAGAGTAGTATGACACACTTGGCCATCTTGTCAGTGAACCCTCTGGCTAACCGACACACATACACCCCTCAAGATCAACAAACGAATCTGCCGCTCGATTACGCTCACTTGAACACTTGTCTATCATTCACATTCTTTTACTCTTCGATTTTCTTCTATATATGATATAGATTTGTCATTTACCGAAACGAATTAAACATATAAAAGAGAACAATATGATCGACATTTGATTGTAATATAAATCACCGAAACCCTCTAATTCAAATAGACAAAACAGAAATAAAGCATAACTTATCATTAAAATTTTTTTTATGTATAAACAATCAATAAATTCAGTCTTTAATTGTTTTGTCAAGGTACTATACATATATGGCAATCAAAATCTAAATCTATTAGTGATCTCACACACACACAAGTTGTAAGATGAAAAGAATGAATTAAATAATTATCTCTCTTATCTCTTAATTAAACGAATCGATTTTGTCATATTATCAATAAATATAATAATAATACAAAATATTGATAAATAGTTCATCATTTTAAAGTACTTAACATGAACATATTTTGAAATAATTACAAATTGAATTACTAATGAAAGATATAATGATGTGATTTTGTATTAAATTTTGTTCTTTTTAAATAAACAGAAAAAAAGTGAGTTATGTCTTGTATTCGAGGTTAAAAAAATATACACGTCCATTTTTTTTTCTTAATAAGTGTTGATCTTTTTTTTTAAACATTTAGTGATTAAATGTTTTTTTTTCGAAAGAGTAACTAAGTACATAATTGTCAAGTTCACATTTTTTAAAATAATATAGAATCTGAATCACTAAGATTAGTTTGCCCTAAATATATTCTTTTATATTTTGATAATTTCGACACAAACATTATCATAAAACGTTATTAAACTTAAAAAGCGAAAAACTCTAATAGCGATAGTGATCGGGTTTAAATGGACCAGCTTCATTTAAATCTAAATATTTTGCTTGTTCAGCAGACATTTTACTTAATCGAACACCTAAATGATCAAGATGAGCAGCAGCAACTTCTTCATCAAGCTAAAAAATAAAATAATTTTTAACAAAACAAAAAAAAAAGCAAAACTTATTATTTTACCTTCTTAGGTAAGATATAAACACCAACTGGATATTGATCATGTTTTGTATATAATTCAATTTGTGCTAATACTTGATTTGTAAATGAATTACTCATAACAAAACTTGGATGACCATGAGCACAACCTATAATAGCAAAAAATAAATCAATAAATTCTTATATTCTTTTTCTTAATTTACCAAGGTTGACAAGTCGACCTTCAGCAAGTAAAATAATAGAACGTCCACTTGGTAACATATAACGATCAACTTGCGGTTTAATGACTTCTTTTGAAACTGCGTTCTTTGTAAGCCATGCAACATCAATTTCAATATCAAAATGACCAATATTGCAAACAATAGCATTATCTGGCATTTCAAGCATATGTTGTGGTAAAATGATATCTCGACAACCGGTAGTTGTTACAAATATACGACCAACTTTACATGCTTCTTCCATTGTAGTTACTTCATAACCTTCCATGGCTGCTTGTAAAGCATTAATTGGATCGATTTCTGTAACAATAACACGAGCACCAAAATTTCGTAAAGCTCGAGCACTACCTTTACCAACATCACCATAACCAGCAACAACAGCAACTTTTCCAGCAATCATAATATCAGTTGCACGTTTAATACCATCAATAAGTGATTCACGACAACCATATAAATTATCGAATTTCGATTTTGTAACTGAATCATTAACATTAATAGCTGGAACTTTAAGTTTACCTTGTTTAAGCATTTTATAAAGTGCATGTACACCTGTTGTTGTTTCTTCACTAACACCCAAAATATTTGATGTAAATTCAGGATATTTATCATGAACAATACCAGTTAAATCACCTCCATCATCTAATATCATATTTAATGGTTTATTATCATCACCAAAAAGTATTGTTTGTTCAATACACCAGATATATTCTTCATCAGTTTCACCTTTCCATGCGTAAACAGGTATACCAGCTTTAGCAATAGCGGCTGCTGCATGATCTTGTGTCGAAAAAATATTACAACTACTCCATTGTACTTCAGCTCCTAAGGCAGTTAAGGTTTCGATAAGTACAGCTGTTTGAACAGTCATATGAAGACAACCAGCAATACGTGCACCTTTTAATGGTTGTGATGGACCATAATTACGACGTAATTGCATTAAACCGGGCATTTCATATTCAGCTAAGATTATTTCTCTACGACCCCATTCAGCTAAACTTAAATCAGCTACTTTGAATGCTTGTTTTTTTGTTTGAGTACTGGACATTTCTTATTTTGTTGAAAAACGTTGGTCGAAATAATAATCTAGAAAAATAATGTAAGGACAAAGTACGATGGAGCCTCTTTAAAACAAGAAAAACGAAATGAGAATCACTACTGATAAAAGTACAATGTGCTAATACCCCGACCTTGATACCAGATATATAGAATCGTGTTTTGAATAAATACTCTTCGGTGCAGGCTATTTATCTGTTTTAACTCCCTCTAAATAATATTTTTATTATAGAGTCACTCGTTTATGATCAACTAATAACAAGTTAAATATTATTGTGTGCAAAATAGATTAGATAAAACACATTTATCTTTATCATACAAAATTTTCTCAGTACAAGTCATACCATACTGTCAGATATTTTCTTTCTAATAACTTACTTTCGTATTCTATTCACAATACACAAATGATTTATTCAGAATATTCTTTTCATGCTTATATAGTTCCGTTTTATCTAGATACAAAAGACCAGATATGCAGATGTGAAAAAGTTTTATCTCTAAATAATAACTTGATCATAGACATGCAACCAGAAATACTCTCTTTATTATAATTATATGTAGTATTTGATGGCGCTAGGTGATAATAATGCTATTGGTTGATTTCTATAGCAAACGAATATGATTCTTTCTGACTGTTATAATATGATGATGTTGAAATCGTTTTCAATTACAAAATTACTATAGTCATACGAAACATGCCGCCTAAGAAGACTCGTTTTACGACTCTTGATTTGAAAGCATCTATTGCTGCAGTTCGAAAACGGTATTTAACAGTTTTAACTATACAATATCATTCAATAATTTTTATTTAGTTTTCTTGGTATTCGGGTTGTTAATATTTATGATGTTGATAATAAAACTTATTTAATAAAATTTTCAAAGTAAATATTCGAAATAATTTTTGTTTTCGAAACTTATTTTCAATTAAATAGACCGGATGATAAAGGAGTATTACTTATTGAATCAGCTCTTCGTATACATACAACGGAATTCGATTGGCCTAAAGGTTTAATTCCATCTGGTTTTGCTATGAAAGTAAAAGAAAACGATTTCATTTTTTCTTATCTTTTATTTTCAATAAATAATTTAGCTTCGAAAACACTTGAAATCTCGTCGATTAGAATCAATTGAACAATTAGGTATTGATCGTATTGTTGATTTACAATTTGGTAGTGGTGAAGCTGCTTATCATCTTATTGTTGAGCTTTATGATAAAGTATTTAGTATTTTTTTTTTAATAATAAGAATGTTGTTTTTTTCGTCTTCTTAGGGAAATATTATTCTAACTGATTTTAATTATATGATTTTAACATTAATTCGAAAACGAACAGATGCAACAACTGATGAAAGATTTGCTGTTAATGAAAAATATCCTATTGAAAGTGTAAAACAACCAGAAGACCTTATTTCATTAGAAAAGTTTGTTACTATAAAAATTAAATAGTTCTTTTTTTGATTCTATAATTCAATCTATAGATTAATTGAAGTATTGAGTACATCGAAAGAAAATGAATCTATTAAAAAAATACTTAATCCAATTTTACGTATGATTAATTGTGTTTCGAATATTTCAATTTTTAAAGAATTTGTCTTGTTTTTAGCTTTTGGATCAGCCGTATTGGATGAATGCTTATTGAAAGCTGGATTAAATACTGAAAATTCTATTATTGGTAAAACATTTAATATTGAGCAAAGTTAGTTTATTATGATCTCGTCAATAAGTTTTCTATAATATTTCATTATAGATGCTCCTAAATTACATGAACAATTAACACAAGCAATGAATTATTTAAAAGAAGCAGATACTGGTGAATGTAAAGTAAGTGAATTTCTTCAAAAGTTCATTTTTGAGTTCTATATCTAACATTTTAGGGATATATAACTTATCGACAAGAAGGTTCAGCAGGTCTTCTTAGTTATGAAGAATTTCATCCATTTTTATTTCAACAATTTCAATCGAAATTATATCTTGAATTACCAACATTTGATCGCGTATGATTTAATTTATTTATTTTATATAAATAATTGTTTTTAAATAGGCTGTTGATGAATTTTTCTCTAAACTTGAAGCACAACGAGTAGATGGACAAATTGTACAAAAAGAAAAAGAAGCTTTGAAAAAACTTGAAAATGTTAAAAAAGATCATCAAAAACGTCTAGATGAATTACAAGCAAATCAGGTTCGTCGATAAGACATTTAGTTCCAAAAAAATAAGTTTTATTTCTAGAGTGAAGATGAACGTAAAGCATATTTAATAGAAATAAATGCTGATCTTGTAAGTCATTTCCTTTTGCCTTATATGCTCTATAAAATTCTCATTAGGTAACTCGAGCGATGGCAGCAATTAATACAGCCGTAGCTAACCAAATGAGTTGGCCAGAAATTGAAGAACTTGTTGATGAAGCTAAACAATCAGGTGATCTAACTGCAAAAGCTATACAAGCTATTAAATTCGATATTAATCATTTAACATTACTTCTTAAGTATGTATGACATATTTACAACAAAATAAATTTTCTATTATCATTTTATTATAGAGATCCGTTTGGAGATGATAATGATACGGAAAAAAAATTTAGTGGACCTGTTAAAATTGATGTTGATCTATCATTAACTGCATTTGCAAATGCAAAAAGATATTTTGAACATAGAAAGCAATCTTCACAAAAACATATACGTACATTAGAAGCTGGTGAAAAAGTTCGTTTATTATCAATATAATTTTTTATCTTCTATATATCAGTTTTTCTCCTCCATTAGGCTATTAAATCTGCATCTAAACGAACAAATCAATTACTTAAAGAAGTTGAACGTGTAGCAACTGTAACAAAAGCTCGAAAAGTTTTTTGGTAATATTAATTTTGTCTTTATTTTTGAAAATCAATATTAAATTTATTTAGGTTTGAAAAATTCTATTGGTTTATTAGTTCAGATAATTATATTGTATTAGGTGGTCGTGATCAACAACAAAATGAATTATTAGTTAAACGTCATTTACGTGCTGGTGATTTATATGTTCATGCTGATTTACATGGTGCAACAAGTGTCATCATTAAAAATCCAACTGGAAATGAAGTACCACCACGAACTTTACAAGAAGCAGGAATATTAGCTTGTTGTCATAGTGCAGCATGGGAAGCAAAAGTACCAGCACCTGCTTATTGGGTTAAACATGATCAAGTATCAAAAAGTGCCCCAACAGGAGAATATATTACAACTGGTGCTTTCATGATTCGAGGTTTGATAAAATAATAGTATTTGTTTAATTATCATATTTTTGATTTTATTAGGCAAAAGAAATTATTTACCAAGTACACCTTTAAATTTTGGTTTTGCTCTACTTTTTAAAGTAAATATTTTGGATAAAATAAATTTGATCTTTTCTTTTTTTTTTGAATATTAGTTTGATGAAAGTGATCAACCAGCTATCGATCGACATAGTGACGAACGAAAACCAAAAACAGCTTTAGATGAACAAGTAAGAAAATTTCATAACGTTGAGATATACATTCTTAAATTTGTTTAGCATTCAAGACAAACATCAACTATTGAAACTCAAGAATCCGTTGAAGAAACTCTATTAGAAGTATCTGATAATGATGATGATGATGAAGAGGAGGAAAATAAACCTGATGAACAACAAGAAACACCTGTTGAAGAAACACAAGAGCCAAAAGCTCAGCCTCCACCACCATCATCTTCATCAGAAGGAGAAGATGAAGACGAAGAAGAAGAAACATCTGCTTATCCTGATACTCAAGTAACATATTCCGAAGAAAAACCAATTCAAACTAATACAAATGAAAAGAAACAAACTAAAGCTCATCAACAACAACCACAAAAACCAGCGGCTAAATCAAATAATGAAAATCAACCAATAAAACGTGGTCAAAAAGCACGCTTGAAAAAAATCAAAGAAAAATATAAAGATCAAGATGAAGAAGATCGACAAGTTCGAATGCAATTGTTAGGTTCAGCTGGTAATGAATCAAAAAAGAAACTATTGCTAGAACAACAACTACAAAAAGAGAAACAAAAAGAGAAACAAAAAATGCAAAGTAAAGACAATAGAAAGAAGAATGAATCAAATCAATCTCGACCACAATCAGCAGCTACAGGTGCAACAGCTATCGATGAAGATGAAGTTGAACAACAAGAAGATGAAGACGAAAAAGCTAAACGGTTATCAGAAGATGCTCGTTTACTTTCTACTCTAACTGGTCAACCAGTACCTGATGATCCGTTAACAAATGTGATCGGTGTTTGTGCACCTTGGGTTACATTAAATAATTATAAATACAAAGTTAAAATTTTACCAGGTGGTCTTGGTAAAAAAGGCAAAAGTATGAAATAGAAATAATTAGTTTATTATTTATATATAGAATTCTATTTATTTAGATGTTCAAGCTGCTTTAAAATTATTTGCAATGGATCGAACAGCAAGTCAATTAGAAAAAGATCTTCTTAAAACAGTGAAAGATCAAGAAGTAACACGAAATTTACCGAGTGGAAAAGTTAAATTTGTTTTACCTTCTTATCTTAAATTGAAATAAAACTGGAGTTTATTTATATTTCGTGAAAAATAAAAGAAATAAACAGAAAGATATTAGGTTAGTCATTGGTGCGAAATAATATTTAGCATGATTATCAACATCTGTATCCCACCATATTTCTAAATCATTATTCATGTCAAGATTATTTGGCATATTCAATAGTTCTATATCATAATCTAATGTATTTTTACTAATTGTATAATTAATCCAATCACGATAGACACTAACACGAGTATATACACCTAATTATTATTAAATTTTATATTATCTAATCAACTTAATTTACCTGGTTTATGAGCTCTTGCACATCCTTCACCATAGCTTGTTATTCCAATGATTTGCCATGTTTGATTATAAGTTAACATCAATGGTCCACCACTTAACAAAAAAAAAGACAAGAATATTTTATATAAAATAAACAAAGACAATAAATAGAAAACCTATCGCCTTGACAAGTATCTCTTCCACCTTGTGTGAAACCAGCACAAAATTGTTTTTCTGGATCATAGATTTGATCAGCACAATCTGACGGTCGAATATAAGGTGATTGAACAGGTAATTCTACTTGTAAAAGTACATTACTAGCACGACCGAATGAATCTTCACGTACACGTCCCCATCCAATTGCAACCTGAACATACGTTAAGAAGAAAAAGAAAAATCAGTCGAAATATTACAGCATCTGTTCGATCAGGAGGAAATGCTTTTGGATAACGTAATGTTGCCATTGGTAAACATATAAAACCAACTGATTTATCCATTAAATCAATCGATTGACTTAGCTCAACAAGAGCAATATCATTTATTTTTGTATTTGTATTATATTGTGGATGCATTATAATTGTATTTGCTGTTAAACGTAAATGACTATTTAAATATGTATTTTTTTCTGTTGAATAATGAGCACCAATTACAAAAAGATATTTCGATCTTATTGTTGTAGTCATCTTACCACCAAGCTTTTTCAGATCATCATAGAAACACTAGATAGATAAAGTTAAATTTAGAATTTTGTTCAAGAAATCTTTGTAACTACATGAGCTGCAGTAAGAACATATCGATCAGTAATAAGTGAACCACCTAAAATTAAAAGACATGCATATATAAAGAAAATACGAATTTTGTACCGCAAAAAGGTGAATTCGTTGACGCTAAACGAATACTAACAATCCATGGCCTGAAATAATAGTATTATTTATCTGCGCTAGTACTGTGATTATTTACCATGAATGTGGTATACTTTCGATACCGCCAACAATACGAGCACGTATTACTGGTTGATAGAATGCACAACCACATTGAATTGGTGACCTATTGTTATATGAATATAACTTTTGATTATATTATGAAATATATATACCTCACCATCGACAAATAGTACTATTGATCGTATACTGAAGAAAAAGAAGTTTCAACAATGTCAATATAAGAATAAACGTCATATGTGATTGCCAGTACTTATTAAATGATGACTCATCGAATGAAACGATAATGAATTTGTTTTTCAATAAAAGAAATAAAAGCGAGTTTAATTCATTCTAATGTTTAAAATTTTCGTATATCTAAATCATCCTGAGGGTGGGTGTGGATGTAAGAGAATAAAGAAACATCAACACTCACACCCACACTCTAGTTTTTGCTGTATTTGATTAAAACTCCATCGTTTACAGAGTTCGTAGTCTTCGAGCTGAATAAGAAGAAAGTATCGTGTACTTGATTGTATGAGCTATAAAAGTGATGAATAACGATTATTTGTTTTTATATTTGCATATACTCTGCTAAGTCACGCGAAAAGAAAATGTGGAAGTGAAAATATCGATCAATTTGCATATTTACTTCTACTCTTACTTGCGCATACATAAAATATGTTAATGTTACACTTGTATTATTAACTATTTGAGTCAACAGTACTTCACAGAAATGCATATAAACCCATGAAACTCTACCTTCATTCACTCTATTCGAAAATATGCATCGAATTGGCTGTTTTTATCTTTTGGCATTCGCGTTGCTGTGCACCGTTAGCAGCGCTCGTCAGCATGTACAACGTCGTCAGGCGAATGGATGTGGACCCGGCTATTTCAATATTGATGCAAGCTTGTGGGGTGTCGGTGAAGGTTCACTCAGATCATGCTGTAATGCGCATGATGTCTGTTATGACACGTGTGACAAGACACAAACTTCATGCGACAGTGACTTTCGTTCATGTCTCAACAACACGTGTGGAAAGCTGAAAGGTTGGTTCGAGTGGTGGGGTGACTTCCGTGTAGCAGCATGCAACCTAGATGGTAAAGTTCTCTATGAAGTTGTCACAGCCGTGGGAAGTATCGCGTATAATAGCGCGCAAAAAGCACACGGATGCACAAAGGGGTAGGCAATGTCCTATTAATTCCTCTCTCATATTCATATTTATGAACTATAATATCTGCGTTTTAAATAAATATAAACTCACTTCTATGCAGAAGATTAATGTTTTAATATATTCTAATGTGAAATCGAAGATCAACGAGTCAGTCGGTAATAATCTGATGTTTAAAGCAAATTGAGGGTGTGGGGGGGGGGTGTGTGTGTGAGTATCTCTTCTTTTAGTAAACACCAGCACTCAGCTCAACAAATAGTGAATACGATAGTGGACCAAAGGTTCACCGATATGTTACACAGTGAGATATATGATTTTAATTGACACGTAATTATGCAAGTGAAACTGTCGTCAAACTAGATTAAGATTAACGATAATCGATTAGAGTTCATTATAAATAATTAAAAATTTGTGATTATGATCGACTATAATCTTAATTTTGTTTCATAATAATTGGTTCTATAATTTCGATTATGATTACAGGATGTTGAAATTTTACTCGCTAAAATTTTCACTGAAAAGTTTCATAGAAAAAGTTTGTACCTCCCCTTGGTTAAAAACTACGGCTTATTTTAATATCAAATTTTGTAAAAAAAAATGTCTGCTCTATAAAATGACGAATGCTAAGAATTTTTAACGTATTCAAAAAGGAATTTTAATCGACTTACAAGGTAAAGAAAAGCCTGATAGTTGAATCTTAAGAATAATTTTTCGAATTTTTCGAAAAGTTGTTTAATACTCTTAAACAAAAATATATTCACATTTCTTGTTGTATTGAGAAATCTGTTGTATTGTAAAAAAAAACTGTCTTGTTATATTGTAAAATCTGTCCTTTATAATACGACAAAGAATATTTTTATGCAAAATATCTATCTTATCTTATTTCAATTTTTTGTTCAATCTTTTGTGCAGCATATCCAACTACACGCATTACATATTAATCGCTTGAAAAAGATAAACTCAATTCGAAAGGCCTAGCGTGTTAATTTCCTGTTCTCGTCAAAAACTATTTATTATTTAGTATTTTTTTTTATTTCTTTTCTATCCGTGTTTTTTTCATAAATACAATATAATTATTAGAAAATTGAAATTATTATTAATTTATTTATTATTTTTTCTTTGCTTTCATTATTTATTCTTTTCTTTGATAAAACTTCGTAAATTTATGTTGACAAGCTTAATTTGAAAAATACTTTTGAGATAAGATAAGAAGCAAAGAGTTATTTAACATCAGGGTATCTAACGTAAATAGAGAAGTTTCCAATATTGAGAGTGGATGAGTGTGGGTATTCTTCTCATATATTACTCACACTCTCTCTCAAAGTCTCAAGATGCTGAAGACTTCCACTAAAGATACGACTAACATCTTTTTTCCAGCTATCTTAAGAGTTTGGGAGAGGGCGTGAGTAATGGATGAGAAGAATACCCACACCCACACTCATCCACTCTCAATGTTGGAAACTTCTCTATTTATGTTAGACACCCTGATATTGAATAATTCTTTACTTCTTATCTTATCTCAAAAGTATATAATTTGAAACAAAGTAGGAAAAAAACCTGTTGTATTTGATAAGGGAAACAAGAGATAATGCTTATAAATGCTGCATTTTTAGTGTTTTATTGATTTATACGTTATATTCAGGGTCACGGTAAGAGGCACTGAAAACTTTTTTAAAACTTCCATTAGATAGATTACTTCATATGACAACATATTCTTGTAAGCGAAACACATATCAACTCCTCTAAATTGACTGCTCGATTCTACGTTTTGATATAACTCGTAGAAACGAAACAATGAGAAATTTTAATAATTTGTTTAAAATGGCAGCTAAGAAATCACATAATAAAATCTATATTTAAAATGAGCGATTTAATATATTTTCACTATTTCTAGATATAAACATCAATTTTCATTAAAATTTTATACGATCCAAATGAATAACGATAGTTTTTTAGCTACGTTAGACGAATTTATAAAAACAAGCAATCAAATTATTGAAAAATTAAAAACAGAATTAGAGTGGATTAATGATCATCGTACAAGATGCAATGTTGCTAAGACAGTGGGTACTACTGCAACAGTAGGCGGCGCAGCTGTTGTAGTAGGTTCACTTCTTTTAGCTCCATTTACAGGTAATAAAATTTATAAAAGAAGCATCCAATGACTAAATTTTTCAATTTATTGGATTTATAGGTGGTGCTTCAATTGTAGCCGCAACTGGTTACGGCGTTATAGCAGGTGCAGCAGGAGCCGCCGTAAATATCACAACTGATATAGCTGATCTGGTAACGACGAGAATTGAAAACAGTCAAGTCAAAGATATTTGTGGCCGAAGAAATTATGTAGCTGATCGTTTGAAGGTACATTTTGATGAGCTTGAACGTGTGGCTACGGAACTAAGACGATTAAATGTTGGAGAAACAGAAGCCTACGCTTTATCATTAAAAAACTTGGCTTCAAAAGGTAATAGCATCAGAACATCGTCTAGTAGTATAGTACAGCTGAGCAAATGTGCACAACTGGCAAATGGAACTTCTAGCATGCTTTTGCGTGGTGGTGGTAATTTTTGGAAGGGTATGAGATTGCAATCTGAAACATTAATGAAAGTACTTGGTTATTTTGGTTTTAATGTGGGCAAAACAGGAGCTATGGCCGTTGTTCGATCAGGTACAGCAATACTTAGTGGAGCTTTTGCAATCTATGATGTTTACTCGTTAATAAACAGCATTAAAAATAATCATCCAACTGCAGATGCTATTTCCGAAATGATCAAACAGATGAAAGAAGAGCTGAATGAAATGAATGAATTAAGAAGCATATGCAAGCAGCTGGTATAATTACATTTAAAAAAACTATCAAAAATCTAATTAAATATGGCCAAAAAATTAATTTTAATCAAGGGATAACAGATTTCAATAAGCATTTCCCAGACGAATCGATTTTATCAGATTAAATTATGAAAATTTTTTGATTAATTTTTCAAATTTAAAACACGAATGTTCATCAATTAAACTCTGAAATCAATAAAAACCTTTTATATCAATTGAGATTTTGAAAAATAATTATAAATATAAAAAATGCTAATCAATTAAAATCACAATGAAGGAGAATTGTGTTTTCTTCCATTCTTTAGAATCCTCGCATCGATAAATAGTAGGTACAACAGTAGAACAACCTATAATATCCTTATCATGTCATCAGAGATGATATAGTTCGATTATACCCACTCATTCATGCAAAACTACTGATGATCCAGATTAAAATCGATTTTTGAATGGAAGTCGAGTGAGATCAGATTAAAATCAAACATAACATATTCTAGATGCTTGCACATTTGGAGGGTAGTTAAAGAAAATCTTGGGGATGTGAGTGTGGGCCGGTGAGGATGTGGGTATGGATGCGGATGCGGGTGTGGGCGTGGGTGCGGGTGTGAGTGTGGGCATGGGTGAGAGTGTGGTAAAGAATAGAGGAAAGAAGCCGATATCTTTTCACCTGAACCTTCAAAGACGATCTAGATTAAGAATCGAAAAGAGAAAAATCGTTAAAAAAGAACAAAAAACAAGACAGACCAATAAAGAACGGCTGAAAAATAAAATTTTTCGTTAAGTTTCAGTTTAAGCTAGAATAGTTCTCATTACACGACAATAACAAATTACCATTTAATCCATATGCTGCAAAAGTTCTTGAGCGATATATTCGATTGCAATGCTTCCTGTAATTCCTCCTATAACACCACCGATTATGCTTCCAACAACAGCACCTATCGGAGCTCCAATTACTGCGCCTACTGGACCAGCTGCTGCACCAACACTTGCACCAACTTCTGCTCCCATCCAAGATCCACCAACTGCGCCCCCTGCTCCACCTATCCATCCACCGGCTATAGAAGCACCTACATTTATTGTATGATAAGGTACTGTTTTGCTTCGTTGTGCTTCTTTCAAACACGCTTCTAAATATTTAATGATTTCTTGAGTATCTTCCCGCTTTTCTTGATATTTTTCTTTTTCCAGATATTGTCTTAATTCTTTTATTGACTCTTGATAAAAACGAATTTCTTCGTCCACATTAATATCGTCATGTATTGCTTTTACAAGCCGTACTCCATCAGTTATTAAAGACACTACAAGAAGGCCTCGCCCAACGTATTCCAGTGTTGTATGTGCTACTTTCGCACCTTGTATAACCTTTTTGGACACTTCAATATGTGGATTGGCTCTATTTGGATATCCGTGTGGATCGATATTAATATGATGAAAATCAGCTCCTCTATGTGGGTTGTCGAAGCGAATGATTGAAAGTCCTAATAGATGAAAACAAACAGTCAATTAAAATAAACAATATGAGGCAAATTTTTTTATATGATTCGAGTCATCAAAAATTTCATTATATCGTTCTTAAATAGCTATTTTTGTGGAGAGATCTGTATTGAAACCTCTATTAATGAGCATCTCTCTGCATATTTTCTGGCCGGATAATGTTTACTATGAAAGGGTTTTACTGTAGTTTTCAGTAATAATTGATGATACATCGTGATTATTATTATCATAATGATAAAAATTTGATTAGCTGTTTGCATTTTAATTTACCGGTAGGTTTTCCATCTTTGATTCGACCTAAATGCATATCTCTTATACCAGCTTGAGTTGCTCCGTTTAAATGACTTGACGATATCAACTTATAGCGCGTTTGCATTGTTTTACTCGTTTGCAATATCTCCATGATCCTTCCCATTTTCTTTAGACCTTCGTTGGATTTTTTATTTTTATTATTTGCGGACATTTTTGTTTTGAAGTTTGGCTAAAAACAAAAGATTAATTTAAAATACTGATGTTGCAGAGTAAAGTAAAAAAGATGCAATACAAAATCCATTTTTTTCATTATGATTTCAGTGAAACGACCACCTGCATTGCTCTTAATGATTCATCAAAGATTGAATTTAAATACTATACTCACTATTCAAGCAATGAACAATATGTAAATGATATACGACGTGATAAGTACGTAAACCAAAAGCAAAGTTTCAAGCAGTAAACGGCTATCAAATGAATTATAAAACAAAAATACTATTTTTGTAATGTCGTGACATTATTGTCGAAATCTTCCAACAGCGTCACATTTTTTCCCTTTACATCTATTTCTTTTTTCTCTTTCTTTCTGTAGAATATTTCACCACATTGCTTACGTGTGTATATACCTTCATATCTCTTATTTTGCTTTAAAACATCAGCAACTATAACATCTTGTAAATCGTTTGTATGCATAAGTGGTTACCACATGCTACAGACTTTTTTCTCCTATAAGCGTTTCCGAGCAATACAGTTTGCTTGCATAAACAAAAAAAAATATATCTTCACATCTCTTATTTCATTAGTAGATTCCTTTATCCTATTTGAAATGCAGTATTATTCCACCCGGCACTACTTCTTGATCATTCGTTAAAACGTGACAATTTTCGATAGGTAACGTTGATTGTAAAATATTTGACTTTGCATAGAATACTTTTTTTTAGTAATAGGCCGCGCTTTGACGTGTTATTTTTCATTTCTTATCTGCTAGAATAGTATCATGTCCTTCGACCATAATATATATTTTGTACACTCACTATTGCCTACTGCTCTTTTTTCTCTGTCTCTCGCATGAGAAGAGGGCGTTGGTTTTTATTTCGCCTTTATCATAAAAATAATCCACAAGCAACTTCAACAGTGTTAGCGTTGGTAATGAATCACTCAATGCTAAACTTGAGATTAAGTTGGTCTAATTGGTTTACGACATATGCCTGGATTAGAGTCTCACGAAGATCGTACTTTTCTCTTTCTCCTTCGTATAGTTTTATAGAACTATTTTACTTCATATGAAAGATTTCTGAATATTTTCAAAAAGTAAACATTTTTTCTATTATTATTTCTTTTGATTGTGGTATTCTTCTAATTTGGTTGATGTTAGATTTGTGTTTAACAAGTAAACTCTAAAGAAACAATGGATTATACAATGAAAAAAATTAGTAAAAATATAATCTCATTGACTCAAAGTGATTCTGATTCCGATGGTTCAAAATGGGTGGAAAGTAAGAAATTACTAGCTCGCAAGATTTTCTATCAAGATCAAGCAAAGGTGATTGTTGTGGTTTCGAAGAGTGGTCTTACAGACATATTAAGTGATCAGGTGTCAAGTTTTCGTGACTCTATTAAATACAGTAATGATTTATCAATCACATCGTTAAAATTTGATAATATCGACTATTATATAACGTTAATGGAAAACGTACCCGAAGAAATTATTGATGATTTAGTAAACAGTCAAGAATTCATATGGGGCAATTTGTGGTTATTCCGCATAAATAAAACGGAATGGAATTTGAATGATAATTTAATTAATGAGATTAGATGTGTATTATCAAAAAGCACTTTTTTAGAAACGCCCAACATTAGTAGTGAATTATTAGCAAGTACATCTGATGGCTGTGAATTGTTATGGTTCAATCCAAGTTCGAATGAAGTTTGATAAACTGCTGATTTATTTTGTTTCTACTTCATTCATGAAAATATTTTCATTTGTCTGTCTGTTTGAACATTGTCCTTGTTATATTTGAAATAAATGATGAAAAATATTACTCAATGATTGACTGTTTTGATATTAAAATACTTTTATTTACAAAGAGAAAATCTCATGAAGTTCTATATAAAATGTAAAATATCCTTTGTTTTATACAGTTATTTTTGCCTGCATCGAATCTTCAGTTGATGATGGCGATGCATTGACATATACAAATTGTTAAATCACAGATCTATGTTTTTTAGCTAGCTTGAGAGTGTGAGTATATTCTACTGCAAATACTCCCACACCCACCCTCAAGATGCATGAATATTTTATTTCTATTTAATAATATTTTTATTAAAATAATTGAATATTATTCCTTCGCTATAAACACATACTACAACAAATAAATATGTTTAAAATACAAAAGCATTGAATAATTTGTGTTTATATATAAATGATATCACGCAAACATATATATATATATATTTCTAATATTGTCAAATTCATGTAAATAAAAACAAGCAAACAAACTACACAAAAACATGCAAACATTCTCAAAACATACAAAAAGCAAAATATCACCGATTAAGAATACAATTTAAAGATGATAATGAACGAGTTATATGTTCATTCTCATGTGAAGTAAGCATTGTTGTTGATATACTATAAGCACGATCACGAATTCGTTCTTCTTGTGAAGGAATTGAAATTAATGTATGTGGAAGTCTTGCAGGTTTATCTGATATCATAGAAACGGAAAATGATCGTTCACGAAGACGATATCGTAATGTTTCATTCTCAAATTTTAATTGACAATTATCTCGTTCAAGTTGTGTTACTTGTTCTTTTAATACATCACGTTCAACAACAGCAGCTCTAAAAATATTCAAAACAAACACATTATTTAATCCATATAAGAATTTAAAGAAGAAAAAGCAGTGATTCAATATCAGCTTTTAAATCAAATAGTATTGTCTTTTAGATGATGAAATTTATTTCGCTTAATTATATAGAAGCAATATGTACTTAGCAAATATAAAATAAATAGATTGAAGACCAACTTTAAAGAAAAAATAGTTTAGATGTGTTTCCTAATGGTTGAGAAAATTAAAGAAAATTTTTTTAACTTACTTTTCACTTAATTGTTTTTGTCGTAGAAGATATTCAAGATCTTGATTTCGATTTTCAGCCATATCAACACGTTTTCGTAATGCTTTAATATCAATTAACTTAAACAAAAAAAATTTTAGAATTGAACAAAAAAAACATCTTTTGATTCTCATACTTGATTTTCTTGTTCATGAAGTTTTGTTCTTAATTGTGCAATTTCTTTATTTTTAAGTTCAAGTACTGTTTGTAAACTAGTTCGATCTTTTTCTAATGTATCAACATGACATAATAAAACATCTGCATGTTCACTATTTTCCATTGCAGTTACAAAACCATTCACTTTTTCTTGTAATAATAAACAATGCGAATCAACTTGAGTTTTTTCATTCTAAATATATAAAAAATTTTTTAGAAAAACTAATCCATTAAAATATTTACTAATAAATTATTTAATTTTTGTTGAGATTCATTTAATTGTTGTTCATGAGTTTTATTAAGTATTTCAATTCGATTTTGATATTGTTTATCCAATGCAGTTAATTCATTCTTATGTGATAGTTGTAAATGTTGAATTGAAGTCTAATTAAGAAAATTTTTATTTATAAAAACAAAAAAAGTTTTGTTTACTTTTAATTGATCATTTTTTCTTTGAACTAAATAAGAAGAAAATAATTTATTAGAAAATAAAATTAATAACAAACCTTTTGATAACTGAGATTCATGTTGTTGTCGAATATGTTCATTCTAATAATAATTATAGAGAAAAAAATTAATTAAAAAAATAATTTTGTCTTTACTTCATCAATATAATATTGACTGAAAATATGCATAAGATCAAATTTCTTAAGTAAATATTGGTAAGAATTTTTTAAATGTTGATTATTTGTTTGAAGAGATTGATTAAGATTTTTTTCACTAAATTAAAATAAAGCGAAATATACTTCTGTTTTTTTAGACGAATATGAAATTTACATTATTAATTGCTGTTCAAGCTTATGGAGATTATTTTGAGATTCCTCAAGTTTTATTAAAGTATTTTGTGTATTCGAACTTTTAGTAACTGATGCTAAATCTGATTGACTACTGTTCAATGAGTTCGATGACGAAAACGATAAACTTTGTTCTAAATATAATAAAATAAAATTTTTCATAAATATAATCAAAATTAACATACTCGATTGTGATGTAAGTGAAGTTACGGATTGTGCTGAATTAAGTTTAAGTTTCGGTATTGATCCTTTTCTTGCTGGAATAATTGATGGTTTTCGAGGAACTATGTTAGTAACTGGTCGTTTTGTTGTTGGTGGTGGTGGTGGTATTGGCCGTCGTTCTACCGCTAATAATAAATAAATTTGGATTTTTTTATTATTTTTATTAATTAAAGAATCTCTCTTTACTTTTTTTGATAGGTTGAATTGCTGAAGGTTTCTTAGTGATATTTATTCGTTCATCTTTTTTATTTATTTTCGCTTTATCAATTTTAGTAAATGAAATATTATCATTTGAATCAAATGTTAAATCTGTTTGAACAAATTTTGTTAATTCGATTGGAATTAAAACTGACGATACAGATGATTGACGAGTTCGATTTAATTGTTCATTCGTTGTAGATTCAACTACACTTTCGTTATCTAATTCATCTGTTTCTTCATCAGTTTCTTCTTCACTAATTGTTATTGACGATGATTGTCGATCGATTTGTTGTTGTTCTTGTTGTAATTGATGTAAAATTAATGAAACACTATCAGTAAAATCCACTTCAATTGTTTCTGGTGCTATTTATTGAAAATTAATATAAGATGAATAAAAAAAAGAAGAAAATATTGTTAAAACATACGTTCATCAATTGCGATGGATTGTTGTTCAACCTTAATAGTTGTCTCTTCCTTTGGTTGTTCAGCAGTTAATAAAATAATTTCCTAGAGTATGTATTAATTTTATTAGAAAAAAAGTCTTTTTCAATACTACAAACATGATTATCATTCACTATTGGTTCATCGAATGTCACCGGTTGCGTACTTGTTGGAGTTGGTACAATATCTGGTAATTGAACAGACTTTGATTGATCAATTTTATTAATTGATGATGTAAGCGTTATTGAACGTGTCAATGTTGGACGTTTTAAACGACTTACTGCTCTTTGTTGTGACTAAAATATTATATTAAAATTTAATTTGAACGAAAAAATTTTCTTACTGATGCTCGTGCTCGAGGTGCGCAAATAACTTTATCGTGAGGTACAAATACTCCATGATTTGATGGGCATTGAAAATAACTTCATAAGCGAAAAAAAATGTAGATAAATATATTTATGAATAATATTATTTATACCGAACATCTTTTACTTCACCATCATGTTTACCATCTGGTTCATCGAGTTCAACACCACAAAATATACCTTGTGCAAATTTTACTATACCTATATAGCGTAGAGTGCCACCTTTAAGTCCATTTACTAAAACACGACTGCCAACTGTTAATGATGGTTTACTAAAAGGATGAATAAATAATATATGTCGATTAATAATGCATTAACTCACTTATTAGTTTCAGTAACAATTGGCATCGGTACTGTTGGACGAGGACCAACTATATCGGTTGTTGGTCGTAATCGTAAAGGTAAAAATGATTTACGTTCACTTGCAACCTAACAAACGAATAGATCGATTACATACACACAAAAAAAAGACACTTCTCTGCTCACTACCAGACGCATTAATCTATTCTTTAGCGAAAAGGAAAGGTGGTTAACGATCGATATTTATATATACTGTTTTATTCCCCGTTGGCATGAGCATGAACAGAAAGAAAGAACATTACCTACTGTAACTTTAATGTACACATATACACATATATATATATAACATCTACTGCTTTTTTTTTCTTTTCTCCAATATGTTCATTGTTACTAATCATTCATCTGAAGATGCCTTTTGTATATTATATATGCACGGATGTTAGTTATCAATCAAATAGATAGATTGAGCAATACAAAAGAAAAAAATTTATCTTACTGGAACACTCATGTGTTTGTTTGTATTTCAATAATGGTTGTGTTAAAATAAATGTTTATTCACAACACATTTAATCACCGGAAAGAAAGAGACCTTGTAAGACATCTTACGAAGTAGAAGGTATATGCTGAATTTTCATTGTCATTGACATGTCTTCTTGTTGAAGTTAATAGGACTCAATTGGTAAATAAGTAACAACCAATAGAAAATGCGCTTAAAAGAGAGCGCACTTGTGCAATTATAATAAATTTACAAACAACAAAAAACAATTTTCATAGTATCTTATTTAATTTATTAGAAATAAATTTATATTCACTAGATTACATGAATAATATTATTTTGATTATTAACTATCACATAATGTGAACATATTTAAATAACTCGTTTGAAATATATGCATCGATATTTATTTTACCTTGACCTTTTCTTTTTTACTTCACACTAACTTTAAGTACCACTTAAAAAAATATGAAACATTAACAATCAGATTTGTCAATAATAAATTTTTTTTTCAACTTCACCTAATCGACAGGATCATTCACAATGAATAATTTATGTACATAAAGATAAGAAGACAATACATTAGATCTATTTTTTATTTGATCGAAAGAACAAAAAATAAGTGATAAGAGAGTTCAATATCTTTGATGTAATTATTTTGAATTCAAACAAATTTTCTAGTTCATCTTTTTTATCATAAATTGTCATGACGTAATGAAAAAAAAACAAGAGAAATTGTGCATCTTATATTTTTCTATTCAAATAGTATTTATTTCCTTTCAATTGCGTTGGAATGTAACGATGCATTATTGATTGAGTATAATTTCTCATGATCAATTTAATTTATATATTTCCTGTATGTGTCACAATCATCATGGGAATTGATATTAATAAGGATTTTTCTTTCTAAATTATTCTAATTAATAAAGACAAAGAAAGTGTTCAAGTACAATTCTATTGATATTATGTCACTTATGAAGGTTATTACAATCAAGTAAATAGTGATGAACTTATTTCCATATCATTAGATCATTATTGAATTATGTTATACTACAATAGTAATAAAAAAAAATGTTTTTCTGTTTCTTGCAATTCAAGACGATCTAAATAATAAACAATTGACATAGGACTTCTATATTAATCCGATAAATGCAAATATTGACAGTTGTTTAATGAAAACTCTTTCTGAAAACAATATTCAATTGAAAAATCTTTACAAATAAATTTATCTAGTTGATCTGATCAATCAGAATTTTATCATACTTATTTTTATTTCCTTTCACAATGGAATTACTAAGAATCGAAAAGTAGCCCTCAATCTTTCCCTAACACCGACAAAAGTCGTTTCTTTATTGCCACATTATATTTGTTATATCCAGATTGATTATCGACATAATCCACTAGTAAAATATTATGAAAAAGAATATTCAATATCTGGATTACATATTCAGATCAATATCAATATTTATAGTGACATTAAAATATTTTTGTATTATTGTTTCAATTATTAATATTTTCCATTTGAAAAAAAAACTTCTTTATGACTTGTATATCCTTTCTTTTTATCTAATTCATAAATCATTTTTTATATGAACAAGATACGATTATGTGAAGTTATATTTACTAAATAAATCTCATTAAAAAATTCGTCTAAAATTTATGTGCATAATAAAATACAAAATAAACGAACAGATGAGTATATTTATGTGGAGCAAATTCTAATAAAATAAAATAAATCATTATTTTCTTCCCATGAGACGCATTACTAACTTTTCTATTTGATCATATCAAAATTCGTTGTCCTTCGTGTGGATGTTATGCATACTAGTCTAACTCCTCAAGTTTCTTTTGACTAGAATTGAAAAATATTATACTTAACTAATATTTAGACAGCAGCGATCGGTAAATTTTTCTTTTGTAACTAAAGAAATTAACTTTTTTTGTATAAAAATAAAAACAACAACAAAAGGATCATATTTCAATACGTTTCTATCTTTGTCAAATGGATAAAGATGTGTTTAAAACAAAATGAGTAAGAAGTTTGAATTCGATTAGCTACATAACCTACGCATAAAAATAAAATTATGAAATAACTTTATTTACTTCATTTTAGTATTGTATGCAGATCCTCTTGTTTCGAGATGATGAGTAATATTTTGCCTACACACTTAACATTTGATACGTTTCTATGTACGAAGAATAATGAAATGGCATTTGCGTATATTGATATTATACTCATGTTGTTAGTGACCATTTTCTCTCTTCTCTTTCCGATTTTGTATGGTAACTGACAACAAAATCCGATCCCAAAAGAAGTTATATGATATTCTAGGATAGAAAAAAAAAGATTTTATCCGCCTCTTTACTTGACTAATTCTATGGAGAGACAGAGAGAGAGAAAAAATTGAATATCGCATATAAAAATCAAAAGCAAACGAATTTCTTTCATTCATTTATATTCAAGCAGATAAACTCGATTTGAATATACATATATATTATTTCATTGTTCTTTAGATTGAATTCATTTTTATTCTTTGCCGACTTAACGCAATGTTATATTTTCGCTCTATACTATTCCTTGGAACTTTTTTACTTATTTTAATCTCATTGACAAAGGCCGGTAAGTTTAATTAGATTAGAATTTAATTTATTTTCTATTGTTTATGAATAATAATATATAGCTAATTTGGATATCAGCTGTACGGAAGTTGGACAATGTAATGGAATCGGCACAGCATGTCGAGGAGAAAAATGTCAATGTGATACCCCATGGTACACTCCTTGTGGCACAGAATGTTGTATGTATTTAATTGTTTTGAAGAAAACAATAATAAGAATTTCTTGTTTATGAAATATTTAAGCACTTCGTCATCAATTTGTCTATGAAGGAGAAGAATGTCGAGATACTGCTAATTGCTTAAATAATACTGTATGTACTGAACAACGATGCAGATGTATGGCAGGTTTTACATCTACTAATGGATTATGCTGTAAGTAGTAGTATGAATAAAGAATTTTAAGATGATTCAGATGGAATTTTTAAGGATATTTTATTTGTATAAACATATGATGAAAGAATTATGAAATATTTTCGATTCTCTATAATGATCATAGTCTTATTTCAACTGTATATAGAGAAAAAAAGATCATCAAAAGAAAACATGTTTGAATAAAATTTATTTTTTATATAGATAAAAATTTAAATGCAGCATGTTCCTTATCATCTGAATGTTGGTCTGGTGAATGTCGTGATACTGTTTGTAGATGTCCGCTTGGTTTTGCACCAAAAGAAGATAATACTCGTTGCCGTAAGTTAATTTATTTTTTTATTAAAACAATAATAAATAAAAGATATCTTTCGATAGAAAAAACCCTAGCTGAACTTTATCCAAATCATGCTGCTGCTGCTGCAAATAATAAAAGTGATTTTTGTTATCCTGGTTCAGGTACGCCTGGCTGTCGTGATCCAGTTGCAATTTGTAAAAACGACTCAGTAAATGCAGGAAATTTTTGTCAATGTCCACCAGAATATATTGCTGATTATGAAAAACAAGAATGTCGTAAGTAAAGAATCGCATATGAATCATAATTATTTTTGTTTTAAAGGATTAAACGTATACAGTGGAGAATTATCACCTTCAACAGAACCATTACCAAATAATCAATGTGGTACCTGTAGTGATGAAAATGCATTATGTGTTTCTGTTAGTAATCAAACAACATGTTGGTGTCAAGCTGGTTTTGAGAAAAACAACGAAAACAAATGTGGTATGTACTAAAATTATAATTGTGAAAAAAAAGTATTGTTTAAATTGTATATTTATTGTTTTGAAGAGAAACGCCGTCCCGGTTTTATCTTTCCTAATAGCGCGGATATAAGTTCTCATTTTGGATCATCTGCTTGCTCAATTAATGCATATAACGATACAATTATACAGAGTAATTCATTATGTACCTGTAAACCTTATTACGAATTCGTTGATAAAACATCATCTTGTCGTAAGATTAACTTATTATTAGAAATTATTTTGTAAAACAATTAATTCTAGGACCTATTACACCTAAATGGCAAAATGATGCTTTTGAATATGGTGTATGTACGCGTATAAATTCAAAAGGTGAACCTCTAAAAGTTGATAGCTTATGTCCTCCTCCATTAACTTGTCAAGCACGACAAGATAAATTTGTATGTGCATGCAGTGGACGTTCTCAATATTTAGATGAAAGTAACAATACCTGTTGTAAGTGTTTAACAATGATAGTAGTAGAGATAAATTAGCAGAGACAATTTTTTTTTATCAAGATCATTTCGTCGAAAAAACGTTAACAAATCCCGATGGTAGTCGTTGTCCATCATCGTCGATCTTGAATAACACACAATGTCAATGCTCACCAAATGATCTTTATCAACCATCCAGTGACAATAGACGATGTGGTATAGAATTGATATTCGGTTTAATTTCTCAACTGTTTTAAATATTATTTAGAACTTAACTTGGTTAGTAGTGAACCAGATAATTCATGTGTAGCTAATTCACCACACGATACAACCTGTGTAAACGCCTATGGTGAAAATGCCAAGTTTTGTAAGCGAGGAGAATGTCGATGTACACCTGGTAACTCATACTATAACAATGGCACATGTGGTATGTTAATAATCTAAAAAAAAATAAGTTATTTAATGAACGATTTTAGTGACACTACTTCATGTAAATATTGGTAGTGCACGTTTTTGTCCAAACAATGCTGGATTGAATAATGGCCAATGTAGATGCAACGATGGATATCGAGCTGCGGCTGGTAATCGCACTTGTGGTGAGATAATATAAGATTATCTTTTGATAAAATATGTGAAAATAATTCTAATTCATAGAACCAAAAGTTAATCAGTTGCTCGGTCCAACCAATAGTCTAGCACAAATTCCTCCAACAGACGTAGAAGACAAGGATTGCAGTGCACTATTTCCTAATGCAAATGCTCGAGCTCATAACGGTGATTGCGTTTGTGTTGATAACACATTTTTGTATAATTCTACATGTGGTATGTCATTAGAAATATTCCGCTACTCACACTTTTATATATCATATTATTTGTTTTTCATAGTTTTTTATCTTGGATATCAAATACCAGAAATTGCTGGTATAAGTGCTATCTGTCCCAATTATGCGTTTCCGGACACAGGAATTAGAGGATGTGCATGCACAAATGGTTATAAAAATGATGGATCTAATCGTACATGTAGTGAGTAAAAATATTAAAACAAATTATTTAATTGATATAAGACTTATAATTATTGTTAATTGATATTTTTCTCACTCATCTTTATCTTCTTTAGCTTGATCGATAAACTCAAAAGTTATGTAGATTTTTATAAATAGATAAAATTAGCATTTTATATTCTATAGAGATTTTATCGGATAGCGTAAAATCTTATGTTTTTTTTACTGAATTTTAAAAATATAATCCAATAATTGTTTGGATAGGTACAGTTTAATCAACGGAAATAATTGATTATAACATAAGAAAGAGTTTAAATATATTTTCAATAGATCTATTAACGAAATGAATTAATTACTGATTAAATCTGTTTATTTTTCAATTTTTTTAATAATAATATCTTTATAGTCTTATTTGGGTAAATTCTTTCATTGTTATTACTTATTTAAAATGTTGATTATAAGTCAATAGTTTAGTTGAGAATTTGATGGATCTAAACATAAAGAACTATTAATGGAGTTTCTGATATTATAGTAACTACAGTGTTGCTAGTTCATTCAAAAATTATTTTTTATAAAACAATAAGTGATTATTTTAAATAATTTTTTTCCTTATTATTCTTAAACTAAACTATGATTTGTTTATATCTTTGTAGTTCGAATGACAGACACAGTTTTTGCATATAACGCATCGGCAACTGAATCAATAACAGGACTTACAGACAGAGGCTGTCGAACGTTGTTTGGATTTGCTGCAGACATAGCACCGAGTAAAACCAATTGTGAATGCCTACCTTCACATTTAGCGTTCTGGAATAATAAACAATGCTGTATGTTTTTGATGTCAATGAGTTTTATATGTGCAAATAACAACATTTTATTTTCTAGATTTTCTCGTTGAAACAGCTCAAGCCGCTACTACCAATAACGATACCTGTCCACCTAATTCCATAGTATGTATTTATACAATTACAGATGTATTTCATTTTGTTTTTATTCATATAGCCAGACCCTAAAACTGGTCACAGTTGCAATTGTCCTGCTGGATATCAACCAGATGCACAAAAACAAACGTGTGGTTTGTATTTAATATAATTACATAAACATTACTATTATATTCTTTCATTTAATTTAGTAACAAAAGCAGTGTATTCTCAGAATCTTGAATCGATTGACACAAATGCTGGTGCAACAGTTTGTAATGGATCACAAGATGCTGATGCGGATTGCGTAGGATTACATGGCACGGGTGCTGTTTGTCGTAATAATAGATGTTACTGCGATCGACGTCTAAGTTATGTTCGTAATAATCAATGTGGTAAATTTGTTTTTAGAAAGTATAGTTTTTGTTTAGACGAAAGAATTCTGATTTATTTTAGAACTTTTTGCAAAATATGTATTTCCTGGTGCACATGAACGTTCTTCAATGACATGTAATTCACAAGAAGATTGTGGTGCTGACTCAGATAGCAAAGGAATTGAATGTAATTTTATAGCTGGTTATGAAACTGATTATAAAGTATGCAAATGTAAATCTGGTTATCTCTTAAATCCAACTGATGGAACCTGTGGTATAAGAAAAACGATTTTTGAAAAAATTTCGTTATTTTATTTATTCTTTTATATATTTAGTTAATCAACGATGTCAACCACAATGCCAAGCGAATGCAGAATGTCACGGATATCAATGCATTTGTAAACCTGGATTTTATACTCTTCCATCAGGACAATGTGGTAAGTATAATAGATAAAATTTTTCTTTGTTAGTTATACATCAAAGTATAATATTAGAGATATAATAAAAAAAGATTATATATATTTATTGTATCTAAAGAATTATTTTTCTTTCGTTTATTCATTTAAGTGGAACCTGGTGAAACACTACAACTTCATAAAAAATGTAATACAACAATTTGGAATGTTACAAAACCAACCACTGAAGAACTGATCTGTTCTCCATATTGCCAACGTGCTCAATGTACTTCGGGTTATCGTGATGATGGTTCACAATGTGGTATGATTTATTATTCTAGTGAATACAAAATTCATATTTCTTATTTTTAGTTAAAAATAAATTTGATGATCGTTGTGCACATAATTCAGCTTTCTGTAGTCAATTCAGTTCGAATGCTTTCTGTTACAAAGATGAGAATAAATGTACTTGTAACGCTGGTTTTTATCAGTCTGACGGCGAAATTATTTGTGGTATGATATTTGAAAAAAGAAATAAAAATGAAAGATTCTTTTTGTTTCTATAGCCAGAGCAGTAAATGGTCCTTGCAATAATGATTATGATTGTGGTGAATTTGGTGAATGTTTGGGTAGACAATGCAAATGTAGACCAGATCGAAAAGAAGAACAAGTTCATGATTATCTTGGACGACCAATTACACGTTGTATCAATGGTAATATAAGTTTTTAGATGTTTTAACAACAACAAAAAAAATTGATTTCTTCTAGGTGTTGATCAAATTCGATACAGTCCAATTTTATTCTTATTCTTCGTATTAATGCGGATCATTTTTTCATAAAAGAAATTGAATTATATGATGAATATTTCAAATAAATAAATATTCGGAAAATATTTTTTTTAGTTTTGCCGTCCGTTTAATATTGTATTTTGTATTACTGCTTTTTTGTCTTATTTTGTAAGATCTATTTCGTTTAAATAACAAAAATATATTTTATTCAAGAAATTGTAATTAATTGATTTATTTTTAATCATAAATGAAAATTTAATTAAACACATTATGTTATTACTTTTCTCTTAGTTACCGGGATCAAGGCTAAAATTGTCAGCTAATTCCACCATGTTTTTATCAAGTGTGAAGCTAGACGTTGTCTTACTTGTTTTTTTCCTTAATTGAGAATTGACAAATGTGTTATTTTATAGTTTAACTTTAATCAGAAATAAATATATTTTCACATTATTTCTGAAACAGCAGATCTAGAATTACTTCCTTTTAAACACAGAATCGAGTACGCGAATCGTTACAGAATTATTCTTAAGCTTTTATCAAGACCAGAATCAGGACCGGGACCAAAAAATAGTGATTTTGAAATTCTCTAAGTAGCATAGAAGTGAGAGAATAAATGTACGGAACTCTAAGTGCTCATTTGATAAAGTGATTTTTGTGGAATATCAAAAGTATTTTGTCACCACGTATGTCAATATGTTCAGATACTAAAATATGCAGACCTGTCTAACTAGTTTACAAATAATGGTATACTCGATATGATGACATTTAACAAATAATATATCATTCACTTCTAAGGTGCTAAACATCGTTTATATTACCTATAGAAATATTTGACTATAGTAACATTCTGGTGTACATTCTAAATGCTTTCAAGATGATAAATTTTGATCATACTGCTAATTATGATTGTTCAGAACTTTCTAAAAATAAGAATGTCATCAATGTAAAAGCAATAATCATGACCAGTAGATCAGCTACGAGTAATAAAATATAAAACGATCTGTTTATCCTTTAAAGATATTCAATCGTTTTTTACTAGAATCATGAAAAGAAAAGAAAAAGTGACCAACGGCAACAGAAAAAAAAGAATAAAATATTCGTTCACCTTGATTACTGAATCTCTTTCTATTTCTTCATTTTTTTTTATTCATTCTGCTTATGTAAATATCAACATACATTTTTTTTTCTTTCTACCAATCTACTTTAACTTTAAAGAATATATTTTCTTTGTTCACAAAAAGATCTCATTTCATCATAATAAATCTTTTCATATAATTTAGTAAATGGCAGTTACAACTACACAAACATCATCTATAATAATTGATCCTTTAAGTCGTATATTAATTCTTGTGGCTAGTTTTTTTACAATAATTGCTTTAACTTTAGTAATCATAGGTACAGCTACACATTCATGGTTTTATGATCAAGATTCTACTGGTATAACACTTTCGTATAATTTTTTTACTCAATGTACTGGTAATTTATTAAATGGAACATCGAATTGTATTGATATGCAACGTAATACACAATTGGGTCTTGGTACTCAACATGCAGCCGCACTTTTAGTTACTGGTATTTGTCTACTTGGTATTGGAACATTAATTACAATAACTATGAATTGTGTTCATTTAAGTGGTAGTTTATCTTTTATACCATCAATACTTCTTTTTCTTGCTGCACTTTTTATAGTTGCAGCATTTGCTGAAGGTTCACGTGTAACAACTTACAATAGTTACAGTGCTAATCTTGTTCAAACTGGACATTTACTTACGATATTTTCAATGGGTATAATTGGTTTTGCTAGTGGTCGATCCCATGTTCAATATCATGGTGAATTCTAAACATTTTTTCTTATCTTTTATTTCTCCTTTGTAATGATAAAATTTTCTAAGGAAAATAAATAATTTAAAATTGAAATAATAATCTTCTACTTGGATTGTCTTTAAAACAAATGAAAGAAACCACATCAAATTCAATTCTTTTTCTTTGCTATGGTTGTTGAATAGCATGAATTTACATTTTGTATAGAGGTGTTGCCATGGTAAGAGTAAATAAGAATGAAAAAAGATAAAAAGAGAAATGAATAGATTGACATCATAGGAATTTTAAACATGCAGCAAGTGCGTTCAAATCGAGATTCATCACATGAATCAACTAATCGTGGAGCAGGACCACTCATTGCTGTTCGTACTGATCTATCAACATTATTAAACGACTATACTAGTTCACAAAAAAATCGTATATATATTTTTATAATAAAATTTTGTTCTATTTTTTTTTAATAATTTATTATTTGTAAAATATTTAGAAAATGATCGACTTGAATCTCTTGAACGTGAAATTGCTTCACTTAAAGGTTCAGTCAAACAAGCTTTTGTACCACCATCAAATGAACATGAAGTAAATCGAGCAGGAACAACTAAGAAATCATCAACATTACATCCTATATCAAATCGAAGTATGAGTGCTCCTCGTATTCCATCAACAATGAGTGGTCGGAAAGTATCGAATGATGAACAACCATCACCACCAATAGTTTCTACCAATGATGGACCTTTTTCACGTCCATTACCTTTAGCACCTGTTAATCGTAGTCGAAGTTTTAATGATAATACATTACATCCACCATCATCTCCATTAACAAATAATACTTTTGATGAAACTAATCTTCTTCGATCGCATAAAGCGCATCTTGAACAAGTACTTCGTAAAGATGCACCACCATTTTCTGATGTTAGAATACCAAATTATATATCTATAGAAGATGTCTTAAAATCAAATGAAGTATTTATTTAATTTCTATATTTTTTTGACTTATTATATATCTATAAATTATTTAGCAATTATTATTAGAAAATGATCGTCTCCGATCGGAACTCAATCGATTACGAACTGAAAGTATTTTATTACTTCGATCAATGAGATCACCAGCAGGAAATGAACCAAATTTAGGCAATGAACGGGTTTGTAAAACAAAAGATTTTATTTATTTCATTTGATCTATTTATTTTTTCTTTAGATCAGTGCTGAACGTGAACGTCAAGAATTAGCTATTGAATTAGCACGACAAGTTGAAGAAAATAAACGACTTCGGCGATCATTATTATCTCAATCAGCAAAATTTGTAACATTACGTCAATTGACAAATCCGTCTGAAGCTTCTTTACAAACATTTGATGATCATCATAATGTTCCTGTAAGAATAATTTTTTATTTCTTAAATATATGAATTTTAATTCGTTATTTTTTAATATAGAAATCTGCACCACATCCAACATTAAGTTTTAATAAATCTCAACAACAACAACAACAACAACACCAACAACAATCAAAATCAACTCGTTTAGTTTTAGCTAATCGAGGTCACACTCGAACTCAATCATTCAATCATGGCTCACACGATCCATTGTAAATTATTCATTGTAGATCTGTGTGTGCAATACATCTTTTATTTCATTGTTATTTCTATTTGACACACATTATTTGCAAGTTTTAATAACCATTTGACCATATTTTTTACTTGATTTGATTAAAAAAAACGTATTTATTTAAATCGAAGATATTTGATATTCTCAAATAAATCGATTATTTATCCAGCTAACTAAAATTCATTATTGGCGAATATAGTTACATCAAGATATATAAATAGTAGAATTAAAAGTATAAAGTTAAACCTGACGATTTTTGTCTGTTAAAAAAACATGTTCGATTATATTTTACTTCTACAAATGAAATGGCATCAATTTGAACCAGATATAATATAACTTTAATAACATTTTTCTCGAATATATTTGTTATCATTTACATACATATATCGCTAAGCATTCGATGAGGTAAATGTATTTGGAAAAATTCTGAATATTACACTACTTTTCTTCATGTATTAGAATAGTAATGCAGATTCAATCAATCACTTCATTTTTTATCGTTGTGTTTTATTATTGTAGCTTTTTTTAAATATTGTTGGTGTGTATGAGATTTATTGATAGTGAAAAATTATTTCGTTGTGATAATAATTTGTAGAAAGTGGCAAATTTTTTGATAATCCAAGTCGAAATAGTTTTGGTAAATGTCAAGTTAGCTCCACTTTTGTTGGTTTTGATAACTTCTCCGATAATAAACCACATGCTGAAGATTCATATTCATAAGATGCCTTTACACAACATGATTCGTCAAATGATAATCAAAATTAGAAAAAAACTAAGTTGTTCGATTATTAATGAATCAATCATGTATTGAATCATCTATTCGGTTTCTTCTTCATTTTTATTCATGTGAAAAAATAAAAATTGCTGATGTATTTCACCATCTACGTTTTACTTTATACTCATAACAAAATATGAACTTTGTAATCATAAAATAATGTGATTGAGAATTTTTCATTTATCCAATAAACAAGGAGAACTTACATGTCATGCTACCTTGAATAGTATTGATGCATTCTCAAATTTTTACTAGAGGTGTAGTAGACAGATAAAACAAAGGAGATAAAATGTCAAAAACGAATACGTAGTAAAGACGAAAAGTAACTGATTTTGTTTCTTTGTAAATGAAAGAAATAATGGTAAGATACGAAACGATCAATGTTACGTAAATCATGGATTACTTCATAAATTTTCTAATGGAGGAAAAACATGATCAATATGTAGTCTAATCGATTTATTTCTTATTGATTGGTCAATATATCAGTATAATTAAAAACAATAAACGTCATGTATGTCCTTTCATAATAAACAAAGCTAATCTCGCTATAAATCTTTGTGTAACGTTCATTTCCGAGAAAAAAAATGAAAGATGATAAGTCAGAGATGTCTCTTCCACATGTTCAAATTGCTTCAACAGTACATATCGTGGCCTCCAGCCGTGATACATCATTCTCTTTCATCTATTCTCTTAAGTCATACATACATTCTTGAGTCATATACATATGATCGGAATGCGTGAGTCATTTACATATAATCAGGATTCCTGATTCATTATGATATGATCAAGTAGTATTTTCGTTTGATATATATATATATATATGTCGGAGTACAGAATGGAATTCAGTTCAGTTTAAAATTGTCTTAGTTTAGATTAAAATTTTGATTCGAACTAGGACAACATGAAACGTGTTAAAATAAGACCGTTATATAGTTGTAAACAAAAAATAGAATTCGTGATTGATTCAATTTTTTCTATATGTTGGTTCTCGAAAACATGTTAAGGTGTATAAATCTAGGTCAGCTGTTATCATACGACATGTGTATTCTCCTTTATCTTCTTCCTTCTTATGTGTTTTTCTTTTCTGTCATATTCTTCGTCAGCCATCTTTTCTTTGTATTACCTCTCTCTCTCTCGCGCTCATTAGGTATTTTCCATTTAATAGATTATGGATATTTTCTTCTTATGCCCTGTCGCCATTTTATAAATCGCTATTTGTGTAGTTACAATAAACAAATAGAAATCTGTGTAATATAAGTATTCGCTTTTTGGTATTTAATGGTTAATTCCGAAGTAATCAATATAGCAAACAATTTTATTCTGAACTGACTTCTATTCTGTACCCTGACATATATGTGCTTTGATGTGTGCAGGGATTCGATTTCCTTATGTCTTTTCATTTGTTTCACTTCAGATAAATGGCTTATATCTTCACAGTACAACCTTCAGAATCAGTCAAAGATCCATTTATATCGACATCCAATGCTTCAATTCAACCAGTACCTTCTCACAATGATCCCAAAACATTATCCACTAAACTCGAAGATGATGATGATGGATGTCAATGTTGTTCTGCATGTGATCAATGCTGTGGAAGTTTTCTAGATTTTTTTTGTAATTGTTGTGTATTGTTTACATGTTTGGCGAATTTGAACTGACATTATTCTGAAGATACCTTTAAAAAATGTATATAAATAACTAAATCAAAAAATTTAGTTTATAGAAATCAAATCGATTTCGAAGTCTGAAAATGTTGTACATCCTTCTAGCTTAACGATCAGTATTCTTTACAAACGGATAGCAAATTTTTGGCACATTGAAATGTTTGAATATGTAGCCTTTAGTTTGTAACAATTATTATTTTCAACTACGAATATTTTTTTAGGATGCTTATAACAAATTCATTTTGATTTATTCAGTCACAAGTTATCTGGTATCAAGAAAAAGAGATGAGTCTATGGAACAACGATAAAGTGGTAAAATATAAGCAGCTGTTGGCAAGTATTAGGTTGCTTATGTATATCGCAAGTGTTGCCTGTCTCTCAATCACTTGATGATGCTGATAAAATTTGACATATCGATTTTACTGGTTGAGCTCAGAAAATCTTGAGATTCCTTTCAAGATTAAATCACAAGTAACAATCCATTATATAGTTCTCGTCGTATGTACTAACATACATGAATTTTGTACTTTAAACGTATCTATATTTTATTTGGATGATTACAAGTTTTGAGTATAATTTTATCTTTCATGGATTTATTGATAAAAACAATCAGTTTCTTCGGAAATGATGAGTAGCTATACATTTCGAATATGATTTAATTGATTCATGTATAGATAATGATTGCATTTGTGATTAAAATCATGCCTTTCTATTTTTTAAGAATTCAGCAAGAGACAATTTATTTGTCTTGAATTTTACTTTCACAAATATTTACAATAGTGCCGGTGGAATAACTCTCTTCTTGTTGTCAGCTAATATAGTTTCAACATTCACATATATTTGTTGATTTCTTACGTGACTTAAATTGATATCTTTAAGACAAAATATTTTTCGATTATTACTCATTCTTATTCAAAGTCTTTGTAACTAATATTTCAACATAATAGTTGATCATATTTGTTAGATTTGTTTTATTTTTTTTGTTTCTAATAAAATGTTTATAATGAAATATGGAAAGAAAATGTTCATCGTTATTGTAAATAGTTAAGAATAAAATTTTTTATTTTCTTTAGCCATATCAACTAATAATTGTGTTGGTGCAAATCGATCACCATATTTACTACGATAATTATTCATCAAATCAACTACTTTTGAAACACCATATGTATCCATAAAACGGAATGGTCCTTAAAAACAAAAAACATATAAAAGAACAAATATTTTAAAAGAATTTATCTATACCGCCTTTCATTGGAGGAAATCCAAGACCAAATACTGCACCAATATCACCATCAGTCTAAATATTTAATATTAATATAAAAATAAACTAATTATATATTCATACTGGAGATGTAATTATTTTTTCTTCAAGACATCGTGCTGCTTCATTTAAAAATCGAAGACCTGTACGCCATTGAATATTTTCCATGGTTATTCTAAATATCAAATTAGAAAAAATGATTATACATTGTAGACATTTTCATAATGACGTCTCTCAAAATCAGGGAAAAATGCTTAATATCAATTGAATATATACATTCGTACTCCTTTAACGATAACAATTCTAATAACCCTCATGGATAATTTAAATCATATTTACTCTTCTTTAGGCTCCAACGAATAATTTTTAATTAATTCTGTAAATTTTGGATTAATTTCTCGGTTACCACCTTTAACACCTGCTTGATAGATATATAGACCTTGTCCAGATTTTCTTCCAAGTAAATTATTACTAACAAGATCTTGTAATAAATCTGGCATTGATTTATCGGCAAGACGGTCACCAAAAGTTGTGTGCATATCACGCGCAATATGAGCAGCAACATCAACACCAACTTCATCAAATAATGTTGCTGAACCAACAGGAAAACCAAATTTTTTTGTTGCTTTATCAATATCTTTTGGTGTTGCACCTTCTTGTAGAAGACGAAATACTTCCGAACCAGCAAACATTAATAAACGTGTTGTATAAAATCCAGGACCATCACCAACAACAATAACAACTTTGCCCTGTTTAAGACCAACACTAACAGCTGAACGTACTGTATCTTCAGATGTTTTCTTAGCTCGAACAATTTCTAATAATTCCATTTTATCAACTGGTGAAAAATAATGCATACCAATTACCTAGAAAAAAACAAACGAAATATGTTCTTTATGTTAAATTCAAGTGTTGATATTTACTTTTTCTGGACGTCGGCTATTAGCAGCAATTTCATGAATTGGTAATGCAGATGTATTTGAAGCAAATATACAATGTTCAGGTATACGTTGTTCAATTTCAGCAAGAACTTTTTGTTTTAATTTAAGATCTTCAAATACAGCTTCAATAACCATATCACATTTTTCTAATCCTTCAGGTGTTGTTTGACAATTTAAATTTGCTAATGTACGATCATATTCAGCACTAGAAATACATATATATATTAAATTTATTGAAATAAGAAGAAAATATTGAATTTTATTTTACTTCGTAAGTCGTTTTCGTTTAACATAACCTTGATAACCTTTACTAATTTGTGAATAACCACGTGAAAGTGCTTTAGTTGTTGTATCACGTAATAAAACATTATAACCTTTATCAATAGATACATGTGCGATACCAGCGCCCATTAAGCCAGAACCAATAACAGCAATATTTCTAGAATTATTTTATATTAAAAGAACATACACATAAATGAATTTTTATGTATTACTCACTTTACTTCTCGTTCAGGTTTTCCATATTTATTTTTCTTACATTCATTTCGTCCATGAAAGAGACTAATTAATGCTTTTGATTCAGTTGTACTACCAAGATCAGCGAAACCCTAAAATTATTATTCGATTTTACTATAAAGTTAATCACATTTGATTCGAATATTTTAAATCGTCACGATTGACTGAGCAATATGTACAGTATGCTAATCATCGATATACATGTACATAAGCGATAAAAGACAATCCTTACTTCAGCTTCAGCATTATATCCAACTTTTGAACCACTTTCTAAAGTTTGTTTAAGAACCTAATGATAAGAAAAAGAGAATTTTTTTTTGTAAAATATAGAATAGATTCATACATCTAAAATTTTGAGTGGTGCTGGATAGAGACCTTGAGTTTGTGACATAACCTTTTTTTGAGCTTGTTCAAAAATATAATTTCGAACATATGATGTTGACATGATTTTTGATTTAATATCTATAATAATTATATAGTAAATTCTACGAAATAATGAATATATCTTACTTTCGAGTAAACCAGGTTGTTTTGGAGTATGTTTTCGAAGGGTTAATTCTCTAAAAGAAATATTTTCTTCTTTTGATTACTTTTACAGAACGAACATACTTTGCTTTTTGTACAGCAACTTGACGAAGATAATCAATATTTTTTTCTTCTGCTGTTTGTAAACCAGGTCCAATAGGTTCAACAAGAGCATCAACTAAACCCATTGATTTTGCTTTTTTTGCTTTTACTTCTTTACCAGTTAAAACAAGATCAAGTGCATCAGGTAATGAAAGTCGTTGTGCTAATCTTTGTGTACCACCAGCACCAGGTAATAAACCTAATTTAATTTCTGGTACACCAAATCCTGTTCGTTTATCATTCATGGCAATACGATAATGACATGCTAATGCAACCTAAGAACAAATAAACAACTTCTTTTTACAAAATCTCAAATAGAATCAAAACAAACTTCAAATCCACCACCAAGACATGAACCAGCAATTGCAGCAACAATTGGTTTTCGTGATTGTTCAATTTGATTCATAACATTTTGACCATTACGTGATATTTTAAGTAATTCATCACGATTCTTAGCTGATTCAAGCATACTAAATAAAACGAAAAATAGAGATATATCGACAAATATAAATATTTATTCTAACTTAATATCAGCTCCAGCAATAAATGAACCAGGTTTAGCGGACATAACAACAATGCCTTTGACTTTATCATCATTTTGTAATTGTTCAAATACTGGAACAAATTCATCCATCATTGCTTTTGACAATGTATTAACCTGAATTGATTTTTATTAGAAAAAACGAATGACATTTATTTTTTCATACTTTAGAATTTTCTTGATTGAATTGGACAATAGCAATATCATCTTGATAATCAATTTTTAAATTTTTTAATTGTTTTAAATCCGCTAAAGAGAGATTATAGATTTAAGATTAAAACAATAATTGAATAAATCGATTTACTAGGTTTATTTTGAGATTGTTGTTGTGGTTGTTGTTGAACTGATGTTGAAGCAAGTCGAGTCCATAGTTGTGTTGCAACTAGATTTAAATTAGATAAGTTTAAAAGTCTTTTTTTTACTATTATAATTGAAATTTTTACCAGGTGAACGTGTGAGTGATAAAAATCGTTGTTGACGACAAATAAATGTCGTGAATATAGCTGAAGCCATTTTAACAACAATCTACGATTTAATTCAGTCAAAAAGGGTTATCATTCAATGAAGCAAAGCGCGGAGCAAAGGTCTTTTTACTTCTATAAATTACCATCCGATGTCAATTCTACCAATGATAATACGAATATAGAACTATATTCATAAAAGTATACAGTTGAATTAAATATTAAAGTTATGCAATTAGATATTGATTAAATAAAACTATTAAAAAATAATACAATCTATAAATTATCATATACGAGTGACATCTATTGATTTTCTTCGTTGAGGATGTGGGTGTAGACTTAGATATGATTATATGTCATCCGTCTTGACACTCTCAGTCTCACACTCACCCACACCCTTCTGAAATGATCTAGACGATGGTCCATTAATTCATAGACATGACAATTTTCATCATAAGATAGATCAAAACCAAATTTACAGGGAAGTTGGTATATCGAAAGCAAAGAATTTTGTAAGCATCAATAGAGCTACTTTTTCAATAGAAGTTTCGTCATACGTTTATTTAATACATGCCTATCAATAAGCAAAACATTCAATATACCGTATCATCTCGAATCTCTTCAGAATGTGATTTAATCTTAATAATTTTAAATAAAACTCAGCAGACAACTGAGAATATTGCCGATATAGTTTTTAGATATAAACAAACGAATGTTCTTCATTTTTTATTGTTTAAAAGAAGTAACAGAGTCATCTAATGGGCGGCGCGCTAGCAAGCAACGGGTTAGCAACTGCGTCCCTTAAAAAATTGAAGCTGCGCCACCTATGAGTCATCTAATATATTTTCAAAACTGAAGCTTTGCGTAAAGACTAAAGATACGTTCTTGACTTTTTGAATCAATATATGATTTTCTTTTACATGAATAATAATTTGAATACAACAATATTTATATATGTTCTAAGTAGATGTTCGAAAAGTTCTTTTATTTCTTTAATTTTAATGCATTACATAATAGTGACAAGCAATAAAATACTAAAAATACTTTTTCCGTGTTTAACTACTTTCTTCGGCGGGTGAAAGAAGTTCGAAGAGAACTTGTTCAATTGATCGACCTGATTCTTTAGCACGTTGAACGCCAGAAAGAACGATACGTGCACGTTGATCAGGTTTAACAATTTGATCGAATTCATCAAGAACCTTTTCTCGACCTTCGGAGATTTTACGGAAACCTTCACGTAATTTTTGTAATAATTCTTCAATTTTAGCACTGTCGTTGGCTTCAACAGCTGCTTGTAATTGTCCAAGGAGTTCTTTACCACCTTGACGACGAGCACCCATTCGTTCAACAGCTTCAGTAAATAATTTTTTAAGCTAATATAAGCAATAAAAGAGTTACTATAACAATTAAACACAATTAAATTCCTACTTTTTCTTCTTCTTCAGCTGATAAAGTTAAACCGGCTTTTGTTTTCCATGTTTCGATGATTGTATCAACACGAGCTTGGGCCATTTTTATCTTTAAAAACTAATTATTTTCAATAAAAAATAAAACAATACTAAACTAGAAGAAACTTACTTATTAATATGAAATAAGTTACTGTGAAAACAAGTGAGTGATGAATACATTGATATTCTTCAGTTTATATAGTCGTTTCAGAAGCATAAGCAAACAGATGTTTTATCGGTATTTTGATAAAAAAAAAGTTCGACGTTCTTCGAGAACAAAGTTTAACTCTCTAAACAACAATCCGCCCATATGATAGTTATCTTTCATATCTTCAAGGGACTTTAATATACGCAAAAATATAGCTTATCAAAACCAAAATGTCATATATTCTTTTGTTAACAATAATAATTCGTGGTCAATACCCCAAGTAAATATAATACAAGCTTATCAGTTATATTATTTTCATTTTTATATTAATACGTTATTTATTTTCTACTATTGTTGTATAACTAAAAAATAAATAAATAAAAAGAAAAGAGAGCCTAAAACAGTTTGTCCGTCCTATCTTATGACTAGATTGTATAAGAATACGGAAAGAACACAGTATGGATTGAAAGAAGAAGAAGAAAGAGGAAAATTTATCGTTCATTATAAAATAAATTTATGTTGATTGGATTGTAAATATTTTTGCAAAAGTGTTGGATAATCTGTCATTATACCGGTTACACTCATCTTTGTGAAAGCATATTGGAATTCTTGTTCATTATTTAATATCCAAACATACACCTAAATTGAAAATAAATCAATGAAATAAAAACAAAAAGGCAAAACTTACTGGAATACCACGACGTTGTAAATGTTCAAACATTTTTTGATTATTTAATGTACTAAATTTATTTAAAATCGAATGACCAAAAATATATTTTAGGGAAAAAATTACCGTTCAATTATATATAAAAGTATTTTAAATTTCCAATTTACATTTTCAGTTATTTTTCTAGATTAAATAAAAAAAACTATTTTATTAAGAAAAAAATAAACAGAAGTTTTCTTTCATACTGAAATACAACACCAGGTATTGGTATTTCGAAAGCACCTGGTGTTATTGGTAGAAATGGTAATAAACCAATCCAATAAGCTACTACAATACCAGCTGCTTCTTTCATTGAACAAAATCGAACAATTCGAGGATTCTGAAAGATCTGAATTAATATCCAAACATAGAAAAATATCAGAATCATACTTGTATAGTTAATTTTCGACATATTTTATGACTGAAACTACCCCAATAAGTAAGATGTTCTCGTTGATATTGTTGAATCAGATCAGAGACCTAAAAAATGAAATTATTACAAAGAATCTCATTCTATTAAGATAAAAGAGATTAAAGAATGATCTGTTTTTTAAAAGCAATGATGTCACCTTTATTTAATATATTGAAGAATTAATTTTTCTAGTATAATCATGTAATATGATATAAAACAAAACTCAATTGAATCATATCTTACCTGTTTAATAAGTTCATCATTATCTTCTTTGATATCAATATTAATCGGAGTTGTTGGATAACGTTGAAAAACATCTTTTAATAATGGTATACGTAATAAATCTTCATTTTTTGGATTATTATCACCTGATATAGTTATATCTATAAATTGAAATTTGTTAAAAAAAAATAATTTTTTCTGTTCTCTCACTTGAGTCATAATAAAGTTGCATAGTATTAGTAATTCTTGGTAATTTCTAGAAAACAAAACAAAATGAATGAATTATTTTATAATTAATCTTTATTTTTATTTACATCATATTCAATATCTTTGATAAATCCAAGTTGACCTGTCGTTCTATTTAATAAAAAATCATGATGAACAACTGTTTGACGATCTTTTGTCATATGACAATCTAATTCAAGCATTTCCACGCCATTTGTTAATCCTCTAGAATTAAAAATAAATTTAGACATTGCTCCGTAATCTTTTGTTAATTTACCTGTCAAATGCAAGTAGAGAGTTTTCGATGGATTCTCCCGCTCCTAATAAAAGGAAAAATGAACTGGTTTTTGCAAAGATTAATTAATTCATTAACCACCTCCTCGATGTGCAATATTTCGAGCAATGAATGCTGGTCGACGTTTTCGATAAATCCATTGTGGTCGTCGTAGAAGCACAAATGAAGATATTGCATAAACGGTTGCTACCGTCGTACAAACTACAAACACTGACATAATAGAAAAGATTCAAATGACTTGATCAATGACCTTGCTATTTGATTAATTGAATATTTATTAATTTAGCGACATCTATGTATATTTTTTATTTATGATTAAAATTAAAAGATTTTTAGTTATTTAGATTTTATAAAATTTAAAATTAGAAAAAAAAATTATTTAATAAATTAATAAAAATCGTTTCAACCAATGAAAACTTCGACCATTGTTGTCATGGTGTCCAACAAATTTTATTCACAATTGATTAATTACATAGAACATGTCTGTTGATAGTCTTAATGGCGATGATCCTATAGATCAACGTAATGATAATGATGTTGAATTACGTGAATTAGTATATCAATCGCTTGAACGTGACGGTTTAATTACACGTTTAAAAGCACAATTACGTGCAGCTGTTTTTAAAACCATTGAAAAAGCATCAAATTCATCTGATGTAATACAAAAACCTGGTTATGAAGGTACAACTGGACGAATCTGCCGTGCACTTGTTCTCGATTGGCTTGAACAATCACGTTTATTATATACACAAGATATATTTAAAGTTGAAACATCAGGTCCAAATCATCCACCACCATTAACACACAATGAATTACTTGAACAATTACATCTTGATACAATACAAAATAAATCTCAACCGATTTTACATGCATTACTTAATCAAAGTAATCATCATCAAGTAAGATAAATATAAATTGTGAAGAACACAATATATATGCTATTTGTTTTTTTTAGTCTGACAAGATCGTATCTCTTCCTGATCATATTAAACAATCGATTGATATGAAATTTCCAAATGAAAAAATTAATGATACAAATCGATTACGAGAACATTTTCGTTCACTTTTTTCATCAGTCTTTGATGTATCTGTATTAGATGCTTTTCTTAATAAGAATATTTTATTATCAACAACGACTATTCCAAAAATGGATTATGAACAAATTTGTTTAAAATGGATTCAATCATGTTCTAAAGCTTTGACACCACAATCAAGTTCTACTAAACAAACATCACCTATGTAAGTTTATCTATGCTATCTGACATGTTTTAAATAGAAATCTATCTCAACGAGTGACACAACATGCAATAATATTTTTAGATTTAGTTTTACGTAAAAATATCTGACCTTGACATGTGCCCTTAAGCTAATTTATTAAATACACAGGAAATTTCTATCATATGTCGTCTAAACAGGATGAATATTTTATTTTGATCTAATACAGATTTCCTGACATTCTTATCAGAATGTCCTTATATTTATATTTAGATAGCAGGGCTTCGGGTGGCACGACAAGCTTTCTAAAAAAACAAAATGCGCTACAATATTTTTTTCAAGAGACTCTATGAACTAAATATCTTTCTTTCTGATTAAAATGATGCCTTTTCATGTGGAGAATTTCTTCTAGACGTTATGCTGATTTTTAAAAAGTCTTTTGGAAATTGGCGACTGAAATACGCGACATTTTTTTAAAACTGGGCGCAACGTTTAGCAGAAATTGCCTATATGAAAAAATATTGTAGCGCATATTTTTTTTAGAAAACTTGTTTAAAGACTGTTATCCTATGCGGAGGTCTGTTACACAGCTATCTACTCGTTTCATAGTTCTGATTTTAATAGAATTAATTAACAGTTTTATATTATGTATTGAAATATTCTTTTTTTAGTATACCAATACAGCCGTTAACAACACGTAGTATTGTTACTAATGGTCAACCAACAACACGAGCTCGTCGTTCGACATCTCCACCATCCGAATCAAATTCTTCGTCAATATCAACTTCATCGTCTGAAAATCCACGAAAAAATGCTTATGATTTTCCATTACCTACTACAATAGATTCCAATAAAAGTGTTATAAAAAAAAGTACTGATGTATTACCACCACCATTACTTAATTTTAATAATAATAGTACAAATGAAGATGATGATGATGATACAACATCGTCATTATTTTCTCGACGTAATGCAACACCAGCTGCATTAAATCATTTAAAAAATATTGAAGATATTATTCATGATAATGAAACACCACGTACAAAAACAGCCGTTCAAAAAGTCTCATCAATTAATGGTAATAAAGATATTCCAATTGAATATGATGATGAAAGTATGAGTCAAAGTCAATTGAGTAGCATTGATGATGTTACAGTTGATAAAGCTTCACCTTCACCATCGGCTCATATCGATTTTTTGGAAGATTTATAAACATTTCGATTATTTCATGTCTATGATATGTTGTATATTGGTTAGTTTATTAATAATTAAGCTATTTTTCTTTTCTTTTTTGTGTGTCTTTAAATGTAATGCAATTTGTTAACAAATAATTCAATATTCAGATGAGCTTTTCTTATTCAGATTATCAATAAAATTTATTTATGATTATACGAGTGTTACAGTCATATCGTTATATGCCTTCACATTCTCTCACATCATATCTCGTTTCTCGTTATACACATTCTTTGTTTCTTTTTCTCTGTATATTTTATTTAGTCATTCGAATAAAGATACAACTAAAGAGAGTCGCTCTCATATTTGGTGCCGTGACCCGCTCTTTTCTTGCACGTATCAACACAAGAAAAGAAAAACAGACCCAACTACAAATACGATTACATTATTTTCACCTTATTTATCATCATCATAATATGACTCAATATATTCATCAATCGGATCTTATTTGTTTCAACTGCGTATACATGTATCATTATACAGTCAAACCGTGTCGCCATACAATTTGTACTGATTGTCTATATGACGCAGTTCTAAAAAAAGTTGAATCACAACAAGATATATTTATCTGTCCGCGATGTCCTGCTTTCGATATACATGAAGATCATCATTCCGTGCCTGCGGAACAAAAATGTACTATCCCACAAACCGCACCATCATCTATTACTCAAGATCAAACTACGTCTGCTTTCGCATGGCCCGATGGTACTGAATCGTGGCATCTTCATGAAATCCGATCGCAACGGGAGTCATTTGTCAACAAAATCGATCCAGAACCGTTGATCATTACACCAGCAAGTTCAGTAGAAAGAGAACATCAATCGGTCGAGCGTGTCCAACAATTGGATCGGGATTTATCTGAACCTACATCAAAGGTTGATCAAATATTGGTTTTACCTAATCAAGCAATAAAACATTTTCCTGACGTAGTTGATGTCGATACTGATCTACGAGAACCCTCACGACCATCCGAAACTCCAAGTATTTCGAATGTTTTGCACCCTCAACACCCGGACCGATGTGCATTGACATTGAATAATCTCGTCAACGGTTCATTACTTCCTTCGTATTTTCTACAAAAACTCCAGTCCCGAGATCAATGCCGCAATCGGTTATTACGGTTATTCGGTCTACATTACGTTTTCCTGTTGTCACTTTTATTTACAGTGCTAATATGTTTCGGCATTGTCTATCACTTAACTAATCGGTTTAACGAGGTTGCCATACAATCTTCAATTTTCGCATCGATATTCATACTTATGACTATGTATTCTCAGCATCATCTCACAAAATCGAAAACGCGCATTACAACGATAGATATTCTTCGAAATTTGGAATCTCTTTTAATATATGATATTACATGATTACCCACTACTACTCCGAACTCATTATTCGTATATTCGACACCCGGTTTCACATGGATAACGATTTTTGCCTTCTTCTTCGTATAACATATTGGCAGAAAACCTCTATAACTCTAATCTATCGTTTCGATTATTCTCGATAATACCTTCTCGTTCTCATTTTTCCATTTTGCGTCTTGTCTGAACGCCCCCCAACCGTTTTCATTTTTTTCCACTGATTTGTTTTTTTTTTAGCATTACAATTTCGTTTGTCTTCATACAAACACAACTATTCGAGACATTTCAGGTTAATTAATACTATTTGTCGTCTTCGTATTTTCCTGATTGTCTGATTTCCTGATTAAACTTATCGAAGTTATAACTCATCGTCGTTCTTGCATTTTCTTATCGGCTTATTCATCGGTTAAACATACCGATATCGTTCGCACCCTTGTTTATCCGTCGTTACGGAACATTTTATTCTTTTCAAGGATTTTCGATTTATTACGTGTCTTTATTTTATTCATTTTTTCTTTTCGTGTTGTTTCTTGCTTTTGTCTTTTCCGAATGTGTGCGGACACACATTTTTTTTTTGTTGGTGGGGAGGTATGTTACAGTCATATCGTTATATGCCTTCACATTCTCTCACATCATATCTCGTTTCTCGTTATACACATTCTTTGTTTCTTTTTCTCTGTATATTTTATTTAGTCATTCGAATAAAGATACAACTAAAGAGAGTCGCTCTCATAACGAGAAAAAACAGTTGTTTTAATATTCACTTACATAAATCATTAAATATCGAGATTAAAAAATTTAAGTTTTCTCCTGTCTACAATATTGACTTTGTTTGGCTTGATGACAGAGCAGAGTCATTTGCTAGTATAAATCATTTTTTTTTATTTCTTAAAGATTAAAAAGCAATAAAACTGAACTGTTTATAAGCATACAACATCAAACGACTAAAATTTAATACTGGAATTGATTAATTGAAATAATGTTAAATATTTTATATTCACTTCAAAATCTGAAAGTTAATATTGCTTGAAATAAATTATATTCGGCACATATATATATATAATTACTAATTGCACAACAAAAGAAAAGGCTATTCAACGTCGTTTATTGCTATTATTAGGTAATCTATCCATCATTGAACATAAATCATCTTCATCTTCTTCATCATCATTTCTTCCTCGGCCCGATGGATTTTCATCAAAATCTAAATCATGTAAAACATGGGATAATCGAGAATTTCGATTTCGCTAAAAGAGAAACAATAAGAATATATGAAGTAAAGATTATTTGTAAAATTTACATTTGACACGTCAATAGTAACATCCTCATTTTTTGGTCGATGATCTCTTGATGATGTTTGAGAACGTGTTTGATTTCTAAATATAGAAAAAATGAGAAAAGAAGTCGAAAGATAGAAATATTACTCACTGATTACTATTATCATCTTCATCGTCATCATCATCGAATAATGATAATTTGACTAGACCAGATCGTGATGCATTACCACTTGTATTATTACCAATAAGATCAGAAAGTAAATTCAATTGAGCAATCATTTTTGGATCAGGATTAATCATATCCTATATACATTCAAAACAATTTGTGAAAACTATTAAGTTTAATACGTTACATACTATATCTGATGCAGCATTAACCATAGTTGGTGGTTGATGAACAACAGTAGTAGTCTCGTTTAATATATTTGTATTTGCATTTTTACTTTTCGAATAGCTTAAAAAAAGAAAAATTGATATTTATAAAAATTTTTGTAAATCCTTTTTCTTACATATTTAAACCCAAATGAAAAGTACGATTATTGTCTGATGGTTCATGACGTTCACCTGCATCGAATGTATGTGTACTATTTAGACGACCTCGTTTGTATGTTCTATATTTTAAAGAATATTATTTAAATATTATTTAAAATTTTACAAACCGAATTTCACCAGGTGGTTGAAAACCAGTTGGAACATTTCCATTTGTTGTCATAATAAATTGACCTTGTTGAGTTTGTAAATTTTCTCTTAAGAAAATCGATACCTATATCAAATAAAAATCAATTGTAAACTTAGTTTTTTTCTCTCTCGGATATAAATCTTTTACTCGTATATGAACATCTTGAAAGAAGAAAAGAATTGTGTCACGAATAAGTAACCATTCAGTATCATTCAATCGTTCATATTGCTATAATAAAAATCCTTTTCTATGTATATATATAACAAAAATATGATTCTTGAATACTAACCTTATTAAATGCAATAAAAGCTTTGTCTAACAGATCAAGTACTGCTGGACTACGGACTAATTTTCGCATTGAACTGACATGATTATATGTTACTTTAATAATATCAGATGCACATGGGCAAAGCATCATTTGAAATTTAACTGACATTGTCATAAGATCATATAACTAAATTAAGAAAGAAAATGATCTTTATTCAATATATTTCTACTTGATAAAAAGAAGCAATAGGAGCAATGGCACCCTTGAAACACACATGAAAGGGCAAGAAACTAACTCAAGATTCTAACTACCAGAAACATGGACCCTGAAGGAGACCAACAAATGAAAACTACTTGCAGTCGAAATGAGGATAAAAGAAAGACGTTATTGAAAATAGATACCATACTAAAAGATGGCTGGACGACGGGTCTGCTAGAAAAAGCCGGAAGAGGAAAACGTCGAAATGATCGATCTATTTTTTTATGTATGTTAAGTACTATGTTTATTAATTCATAAGAAAAGAGACAGCTAATATTCGTTCTTTCGTCCTGTTACGTAAAAGCTTTGCTTCTATTTGATCCGGATCTACAGAATGAATATGTCTACCATTAATACTTGTATGTATGTACATACAGCATTATTTTTTGGATTGTGTTTTTCTATTACATTTGAATAAGTAATTTCCATATACTAATTGCGGTTCACCTTTGTTCGATAAGGTAAATGATACTTTAGATAAAATGTTTTTTGTCCGATGATAATTAAAATATGCTGCTTACAAGAGTGACCAATAAGAACAAAAACAATAAAAAATTTCTACTGTCATTTTTAAGTTTCAATGTTTTCCTACAACCCCATCCCTATGGGACATTATAAATCATGATAAAAAGCTCCTATTCGTATTATATAATAAGTATATCTTCTTGTATATCGATGTAATACTTTAAATATTTTTTGACAACCCTTACATACCTTATCCATGCTTGCTTCATTTAATCTCATAATGCTTGAATGAGCAACTTTTTCAAAAATATGTTTAACAGCTCGTTTTGGATAAAGTTCTTGGGGTCGAAATAATTCTTCAATAAATTTTCCATTAAACATTGCACCAACAATATCATTAATGACTAATACAAAAATAATAAAAATTACTCATCTAATATTTTATTTTTATACCTTTAGTTGCTTTTTGATCAACAATTTCTTGAGCTGATAAACGTTGTTCTAATATATAGACCATTTCACCGCCCATATTAATGAAAATAATTGGAAAACTTTTTAATGACATGTTGAAGACAATTGAAAGATAGTATGAGAAAAAGTACTTTTAATTCTATGTCATATTTTTTTCCGCCATCAACTGATATAATGTTGTGGTATTTCCTCTTTCATAGTTTATTATTTTTTACACAAGATGGCGCAGTAAACCATATATACTTCAATTCAATCATATCTTCATTATTTGATTTTAGATTGTTGTACAGATTTTCTATTAATATGAAAATTATCTTGTATATTTCTCTTTCAACAATATTTGATCCGTGCATTTTAAAATACAATGCACATTTTTTTTTACATATTGGTTTTAAAAAGTACATTTGATTTCTTATGTCAACAGAAGAAAGAGAACAGAACATTTTACTATTGCCTACCGTAAATTTCATAGGCATATTACCTGAAAGAAGAGAAAGGGGAAAAAAAAAAGCATATTTTTAATAGCGTATACGAGCCAGGTAAGAGAAGAACAATGAAAAAAAAACGTGCAACTCAATTTTGACTATCTACTCTTATATGAATAAAAAGTAGTCGGTTTTTTTTTCTTCTTCAGGTTTTCAATAGTATACATGTTGCCTTATCATTGATATATTTTATGATGTTTCAATAAATTTTATACCGATATGTACAATGCGTTTATTTATTCGTCATTTATCAACATTATGTCGTTCACGACGACGAGTTCCGTTTTTATTTCTTATTGGTACACTTCTTAGTATAGTATTTATATCATATCTTATCAATCATAACCAACAAACAGAAGATTTTATAAAGCAAACTAGTAAAATAGACGATGAACAATTAAAAACAGCAAATAAATTGTCAACATTAGTGCCTAAAACTAGTCACATTCAAAAGTAAGTGCTCAACATTAGATTAATCTACCCATGGGTGATTTTATTGTGAACTATAGAATATATAATTCATATTTTATGTAATTAATCGTATACTCGACTAAAAGCTATTTAATGAAGAAAAAAAACGATAAAAATCTATTTTTCTTTTAGGAAGGAGGGTGGTGCATGGCCAATCGATGAAAAAGGTCGTTCATTGAAAAATCATTTTTTAGTTCTTGATTTAACTGGATTTTTTGGTGGAGGTGCTAGTGAAGGTGAACAAGTGCAATGTCCATCATCAAATACATCATTTACTTGGACTCGTCAACAGAATCGAGTAAATGAAATTGATTTTGTTGTTTCACATGATGCTCAAGGTGGTGGAAATATTCCATTTGATCGTTTACAACTTAATGAAAATCAACAGCAATATTCAATGGCATTCGTAATGGAAAGTGAAGTACATTCATCAACAGGTGATGGATGGGCAAAATTTAATTTTATAATGACCTATGATCTTGATAATAGTTATCCTGAACCTGCAACTTATTTTGATATGAATATACATCTTATTGATTTACTTACACCACCAAGTGTACCGTTTGATAAGAAAGACAAAGATGCATATGCTGTTTGGATTATTTCAAATTGTAATGTAAGTATTAATTTTATCAACAAAAAAAACTGTTATGATCTTTTTTAATTTTTAGGCACATAATGGTCGACAAGATTTTGTTGGTAAATTAATGAATGAAATTAAAATTGATTCATATGGATCATGTTTAAATAATAAAAAAGGTTATAGTGCTCGTATGGTTGATAATGCGAATGCATATAAAAAATATAAATTTGTTATTGCAATTGAAAATTCGAATTGTTTTGATTATGTTACTGAAAAATTAGTTAAAGCAGTTGAAGGTGGTTCGATTCCGATTGTTGCTGGTTATAATAATCGTTCGGATTATCGACGATATATGCCTAAACATTCATTTATAAATATATTTGATTATAAAACAATAAAAGAACTTGCCGATGATATAAAACGTATTGGAAATAATAAAACATTATATGAATCATATTTATGGTATAAAAATCATAGTAAAAATATTGAAGAATTAAAAACACTTTCATTAAATGAAAAATTAAAACATTTTGCGGATGTTGTTGGTGCCAATGCAACAATGATTACAAATGGCATTGCTGGTAAAGAAAGAAGTGAAAATAAAATTTGTAAACTTACACGATTTGTTCGTCAAACACCTTGGCAAGATATTGCGGCACATAAAAAAATACCGAGAGCTGATGCAAATACTGCTTGTCTACCAGGAAGATATATATTAACACATTTTAAATCATAAAGTAATAAGAACAATTCATAGGTGTAATATGTCATGTTATTTATTATTTGTCTTGTTATAAAATTGTTGCCTTTTCTGTGATAATATGCATTATTTTTGTTTTTGTTGTTGAGAATTATAAGTTCTTTTTCTTTTTTTTGATATGAAAGATCAAAAGTTCTACATTTACTGTATGCTTGTAGTTGCTAAAATAAATTTTGGCAATCATTTTTATATTTAAATTTTTAGTTAGATACGAACGATTGTATTAGTACTCAGTAAGTATATCAATGTTTAATTTAGTTATTATAAGAATTCATTTGAAACAGTATAAGTAGCAAAATTGATTTTGAAGGTAAATCAGAAAATTTTTCATTGAATAAGCTATATTAAAATATTGCGTGACTAGTGGAAATTGTGAATAATAAATGTCATGCGATAATCTACTTGCTAGAATTAACAAAACTAGAAATTAGTTACTTATTTGACAATATTATAATCATTCCAATTTTTTTATTAAGCTTCGCAAGAGAATACAAAATCATTTTCTTGCATATATAATGAATGAAAGAAGACTGCAAACTCCTTATTTTGTTTTTTATTAATGAAAAAAAGCAATGCATTACATTTTATTTCTAACCAATTCACAATTAAAATTTCCTAATTCACGATTTGAGTACAAAAATTTTAGCGTAACAAAATATAAATCGATGAAGTACATAAAATCGATATATATAAATACTCAATTTTCAGCGTTCTTTTTAAAACTTTTTGAAGAACACTCAAAAGTCATCGAGATTTATATAAAAGATTTGTTTTTTACTTTTTTAAAAATATATAGAGCGAAAACAGTCTCCACTCTTTTATATTTCATGGTGAAATACAACAGAAAAAACATATATTGAATAAAAATATTTTATCAATAAACAAAAAGCATTGAATACGTAACAGTCTGATGAAAACTTCCATGAAAAAATAAATATAATTGTAATTTTTACAAATTTTAATTATTTGTATTTTATAAAAATAATTTTATATATTATCTAGAATTTTTATTCGATCATCTGGTCGAGATAATACAACGAAAAGTTGCCATGGAAAAGGAGCCTTCTCAAGATTAACTGATAGTATATGAGTTTTGTTTGTACTTTCATGAGTGAATTCAATTTGATGTTTGTCACAATCAAATGTAAGACATAATATATCTTTTGTTCTTATTTCACTACTATCATATCCAGTTTCATTATCATTTGCTTCGCAAATACCATGTTGATAAATTTCATTACAACCAAACCAACCTGCAACAAATGATGAATTGTAATTCATTGTACTATTCTTTAATTTAGATGAAACACATCCTAAATAAGTATCAAAAAATAGTCGATTAAATTCAATCATAAATCGTATCATATGTCGACCAGTAGAATATTGTCGTTCACCAAAAACAAATCCATATTCTCCTCGACAACCAATATGTCTAGCAAGAAGATCTTCATCTTCAATTATAGCCGTACCAAAAACTTGTGAAAATCTTTCTTGTGCAATACATAGCAATGATGATCTACTCCTCCTTAACATTGTTTTCGTTGAATTATTAGTTTTAATCATAATTAGTGGAATTACGGAGTATTTATTTTCAGTTAATTTAATTGTTGGTGGTGTTGTATATTGTGTTTTAAGTTCATCTAATTTCTTCATCCATTCTTTAATATCCGATTCACAAAAATCATCCGCTTCACGAGATGATTGAACATTGAGTGCAATATCATGACATGTTTTAAAAATTCGTTGTTTTGAATTTGTAAGAATTTCCATTAAATCTGCTCGTGCAACTTCAGCAGCAACTTGAATTTTTGTTATTGATTCTTCTTCCCATTTATCGATTTTTTTCAATAAAGAATTATTAAGTCTTAATTTATCAAGTTCTTGTTGAAATAGATCATAATCTTGCATAACTTCATCTAATTGATTAGCAAGTTTTTGTCGATGTTCAATTGTATGTTTACTACAAAATAATTGTTGACATCCATCACATATTAGAATACCACTACTTTTATTACATGTTACACACTGTCGTTTACCGTTTACATTTGCACTCATAGTTAATATTCGAATATGGACTAAGCTACATGACACGAAAAACTAATAGAGAAAATTATTGTTGTTTATCTATTTTTCTCATTTGTTTAATGAAGCGAAACAGTCAAATATTTGTCATTAATATATGCGATGTTCGTTTATATTATATATCTCGTCTCTACAAGAAATTAAAACGTATTCCGTGATACGTATGTTTGAATAAAATATTTCTTTTAATAAAATAACGGAAATTATATAATAATGTGAATTATGTTTTATTAATACGCATGCGATATTTATTTTCATTTCAGAAACATTTCATAATTATTTTTAAAATATTAGATTAGTCTTGTAGAATGAACAGTATTATTTCCGGTTAATCTATGTTCGTTCGAATTAAATGATGATTGAAATTTTTGATTAGTTCCTACCGCGCTTATATATACACTATCAAATTCTGTTGAGTACCGTAAAAATCGATTTTTGGCTTGAATTTAAGCTAATTACAGATGTGTATCGGAGTCAACTGAATCTCTTGCCTATAATTCATTTTTTATATTAAATTTTTTTTGAGGGTTCAAAATCAATGTTTTATTGAGGGTCACGGATACAAGAAAGTTGGATGCATGTCTCTAACTGGTTTGAATTCAAGCCAAAAATGGATTTTTACGGTACTCAACAGAATTCGATGGTATATATACTATTCGATAGAAAAAAATTTCTCTACAAACCTACATATATCTCATTCCTGGTTCAAATTTTACTATGAAATTTATAATCGTCGTTTTATGGATCTGAGTCTTTTTAAAAATATCCTTTCGCTGATTGCTATGAATAGTGATAAACTAAAGATTTGCAAGTACAAAACAGCGAATATATTCAAATGATGTGAATATCGTAATTATTTTATTTATTGATAACAATATTGTCTTTCATTAAAAGAATAACTATTAATTTTGTGTGAATAAAATTCAAGCATTATATAATATTCTAACACTATCATTTTCATATGTTAATACTACTAGAAGTTGCCATGGAAGAGGTGCTTTGTCTGTATCTATTGATAGTTCATGAATTTTCTTTGTACGTTCAGGATATAATTCAATTTGTTTTTCATCACAATCAAATGTAAGAGATAATACATCATATGTTTCGATTTTATTACTATCGTAACCATGCATTTGTACATCCTTACTAGTGGAACCATGATGATAGACTTCATTATAACCGAACCAACCAGCAACACAAGATAAATTATAATTAATTTGATTTAAATTCATTTGTGATGAAATACAACCAAAGAAAATATTATATGGCATTTGACTATGTTCAATTTTAAAACGAATAGTTTGTCTACCTTTAGAATAGAGTTGTTGACCAATAATATATGCAAATGTAGAATTTTGACAATTATGTTTAGCAAGAAGACCATCTTCACTGATTGTAGCAGAACCAATTACTTTAGAAAATTTATCTTGATTATGAGAGGTTTGTACACGTTTTGTAATGGAAATAATTTTGACTTTTTCAAATTCTTTATTCATAAAATCAGTACCTTTTATTGTAATTAAATGAATACTGGAATTTTTATTTTCAACTAAATTAACTGGTAAAGGTGACGAAATTTTCATTTTTATATCTTTTAATTGTTGCATTGATCGAATAAGATCATCTTGACAAAATTGACCAGCTTCACGAGATACTTGAAGATTTTTTACAACATCATGACACGTTGATGAAATACGATCTTTAGATGTTTCAATCATTTCTCTTAGTTCTATTCGTGCAGCTTCTGCAGTTGATTGTATTTTAATCATCGATTCTTTTTCCCATTTATCTATAGCTTTGAATAGAAAATGTGAATTGGATGTATGTTTAATTTCATCTTGTAATAAATCATGTTCTCGTATAAGATCATTTAATTGATTAGTAGATCGCTGTCGATGTTCAATAACATGTTTATCACAGAATGTATGTTCACATCTATCACATGACATAACAATTCCACCTTTGTTACATGTAGTACAAGATTTTCGTCCAGCCATACGAATATCTTTTTCAATCGATAGTGAATTATAAAAGAATGATCAACAATCTTTTAAATAAAACGAACTCATTCTAAGACTTATGTATGTAAAAGCAATAAAAAACTGAAAAAAAAGTTTCGTTTGTTACTACAGTAAAAATGTTCTTCATCATGAGTTATATGATAGTTTTATTATATGTAATCACAAGTTGTTAAAGATACATATCGATTATAAAAGGTATACTAGATTAAAAAATTAAGTTTTACAATGGACACTTAATAAAAACGTATTTTTTTGTCAAAAATATTTTAATAAACGAAATGCGCTCTATGTAAAGTAACAAATTCTATTGTTAGAGACTGTAATCTTGATGACGGAGATTTTTATATTTTGATTGGAATTGTTGTCTGGGTCTTCTGCGTTTCACTCAAACATCGAAAAACAATGAAGCAAAATGATGATCGATATCGAACGACGGCACTTGAGATGATAAAACACAATAGTAATCAGCCTTTCAAACAGTGGGACATTAGATCACTATCTACTATCAAATCTATATTAATGGCGAAATTTTGAGAATATAATAATTCCCAGGTTTCAATTAATTATATTCACGAGAAAAAAAACAGAATAAATACCGATTACTAGTTATAAAGAAAATGTAAATGATAATATAAAAAACGATATGCCAGTTATGACTAGTGTTGTCAGATGTCATAACTAGAAAACCGGTATTCCAATGTCAAAATTGGAAAAATTCTCAAAGCTTTTTTTATTAAATCCGGAAAGGTTTTTAATAGTTAATTTTTACCGGCTAAAATAAATTTCTCTAAATCTTCTTTTCAATTATATCATTTTTTATTTAAAAAACACACGTTTCAATATATTAAAATAAAATCAACATCAAAATTTAAAATATAATAAACTAAATATATAAGAAGTATAAGCCACTGAGCCGTTGTCAAACAAAAAAAATTAATTCACTAAAAATCATCTAAAATCCGGAAAAAGTGGGAAAATACGGAAGATCAGGCAACGCTGTTCTACACCCATATTTATTCTGTACTTGAGAAAATGTATCTAAGTGGAAGAAGTGAGTAATTGAAAGAAAAAGGAAGAAAATGAACAAAAATTAATTTTTATGTAAAAGACAAAAAAACAATCATCGACGCACCCTTTCATACTTGTAAATGACTAATTTATCGACGATGCATTCTTTTTGTAATGTTACTACTGCAGCTGTTTACACAGTAAACTTAAAAATAAAATAAGAGAATAAAATGAGTAATCGTTCATAAATGACCAAGTTAATATTTGTATGCTTGGAAATTTCCTACAACATTCTTATAAGTAAAAATATTACTATACACGTCATTTTTTACAAGTCTTCTTTTTTTTCTGTTCGTTTGGCTGGGAATAAAGACCAGTACAACCATTTTTTCATTCGCATTATGCAGCTTTTTTTTTCGTTTAACATAATACTCATTTGACCATATAAAACACACTTTATTCGCTTAGATAATAAATATAAAAATAAAAATTGAACCTTTTTCAATGTTCATCTTACTATAAAAGGCGAGTGAGTATTTTTACAACAACTTTAGATACGACATAGATAAAGAACTGAGATTTTGTTTTTAAATTATTTAAAATAAATTACAATTTAATTAACACAAAAAGCGGAACTTAAGAGATCGTATAGTTCTTGAAGAAGAAATTATGTAATCTCTTCTATTCTCTTAGATTTTTAGTTCCACTAAAATGATGTGTTTAATTGTTAGATTCAGAATACATCCTTCATCTTCCATGATTACACAATTACTTATTTTCTTCTCAATCGTTGATCTTCTAACATTCGGTTTACAAGCCACCGATTTTTATGTCCATGATTTACCACTTTTACCAAAAGGCGCTTCTTCTATTCGTATGCATGCTGGACTTCTACCTGTCAACCCACAACATAATGGATCTTTGTTCTTTTGGCATTTTGAAAGAAAATATGCTAGCGACAAATTAAGAACAGTCATATGGCTTAATGGAGGTCCTGGTTGTAGTAGTACAGCTGGAATATGGATGGGAATTGGTCCTTTTCGATTTCAAGATAAAAATACAATGATCGAAAATGATGGATCATGGCATTTGCACACTAATCTTCTATTTGTAGATCAGCCTGTTGGTACTGGCTTTTCCACCATTGATACGGACTCATTTATTCATGAACTCGATGAGATGGCTAATCAGTTTCTTGGCTTTCTTGATCAATACATCAAGATTTTTCCAGAATTACTTGAAGATGATATTTACTTAGATGGTATATCTTTTGCTGGTCAGTATATTCCATATATAGCGAAAGCGATTCTTGGAAAACGACCAGCATTGAAATTACGTGGTCTTTTAATTGGAAATGGTTGGATTGATCCTATTACCATATATAAATCATATTTACCATTTGCAGTAGCAAACAATTTGGTCGTTCAGAACTCTAATCTTTATGAACGTATTAACATTGAAGTCAAACAATGTGAACAGGTACTTTCCAAGCAGGTGCATGTTTTCGAGGAAGCGTGTAATTCTATCCTCTGGAAGATAATGGACAAAGGTCCAATGAATAATAACCTCATAGAAAAACACAAAGGTAGATGTGTGAACATCTACGACATTCGACAAAATGATACGATATCGAAGTGTAGTCTAAATGGGTCGCTGGAGTGGGAGTATGTCACATCTTACTTGGATAGACAAGATGTTATGTCGAGCATACACATTAATGACAAGAAAGTGGAATGGGCAGGATGCTCGGATTCTGTTTATAACACGTTTGAAGCTTATAATTCTACACCATCGATTACATTGTTGCCTAATTTACTTCAGCAAATTCCAATTATTCTATACAGTGGTGAATATGACTTAATTTGTAATCATTGGGCGACTGAAGCAATGATTGATGGTATGACATGGAACGATGGGACTGGTTTTGATTTTGGTAATGGAACATTATCTCCAAAAGAGCAGTGGATTGCGGAAGGTGAATCTGCTGGTTTCATTCGACGTGCGCGTAATTTAACTTACATTCTTTTCTATAATGCCGGTCACAATGTACCTTATTACTATCCACGTCGATCACGTTTTATGCTACATGAATTCATACAGTTGGATCTAACCTCATTTACTGATACAACAACAAGAAAGAACACACAAGAGTCTACTCGATCAAGACGTCACATCGCTTTTATTGTATTGATTGTTATTATTATCATTCTAGCTTTGACTGGTCTTATTTGGATTTTTGTGCACAAATGGTATCCTACCAGACTACTGACACCATTCAGTATTATTCGTGTGCTTCGATCAAGAACTCGCGCTGTTGAGCGACAACAGTGGGTGGCGTATTCGCTTTTGAACGATTCCGATACAGATTTGGAAGTCGTAGATTCTGAAGCTTTTGTATGATGCGGGACAGTATTACCAGATGTTATAATCAGAAAACCAGAATTCCAATGTCAAAATTCGAAAAATTCCCGAAACTTTTTTTGTTAAATCCGGAAAGGTTTTTAACAATTAATTGTCACCAGTTAAAATATAATTCCCTAAATCTTGTTTTCAATTATATTATTTTTTATTTCAAAAAACACATGTTTCAATATACCTAAAGAGGATCAACATCAAAATTCAAAATATATGAGAAGTATAAGCCACTAAACCATTGTTAAATAAAAAAAATTAGTTGACTAAAAATCATCTAGAATCCGAAAGATCTCGCAACATTGGTCATGACTGAGAATATAGTTGAAATTATTCATATACAATTCTTTTTTCTGGATAAATAAAAATTCATATATATTTTACTTACTCTTCATATATCAGCAGATCTACGAGAAATCAAACTTTATTTTAATTTATTTTTCATATGGTATTTTAAAAACAATTCTATTAGTTGTTGTTGAATAAGAAAATACTTTTACAAGAGTATTCTTTTTGAAAATTTTCATCTATAAATTCAAATATTAACGTAAAATCTATTTGATTCATTTACTTATGTATCATTAGCTATAACATTTTAGTTGTTTATTTCATAAATCAAATGATAAGAATAGGATCTGTATTAACCATGTACTTAAGCCAATCATCTTGAGAGTATGAGTATGAAATGAAGATAATATCTATACTTATTCACACTGTATATGATCGAAAATCTATTTCAATAAGATTATACATCTTATTAATGCATTACTTTAAATTTTGTAAAAAACAAAGTGCATGGTTGTTATTCTATCTATTCTATGATATTGTCACGAATAAAATCATTTTTTTGTCGTCAGCTGTTTAATATCTCAGAATTATTTGGTGTGATAGTTGATAGCTTATGCTGGATAAATTTCTTTCTTATTTAGTGTAAGTATCATTGAAACAGAAGGTTTATTTTTATACGATGCAAATGATGAATGCTATGATCGTTCTATTGCTCAGTTTATTTGTAAATGGTCAAATTCCAAATCCTGGTCAATATCGATTTACTTTGACAACAAATGGTGTTGCTCAAGAACGTTATGCTGTTGATAAACAAGTGGGTAAAATGTTACGTATTTGGTTTTCGAATATAGGTGATGAAGAATTTGGTGGTAATCAAGATATCTATGTACGTGCTGATAATCGTACTTATTTCTTTGATTTTATGTCACAACCACCACAATGTATAGCTAATCGTGGTGGACCATATAATGAAATGAACTACTGGCCAAAAGTTGTAGACGCATTTGGTGGTGAAAGTAAAACATATGATGAATTAATATTTGATGCAGATTGTGATGGAACTTGTTTAACATGGACAATTGAATTTAATTCAACACAACATTATCATTATCATTATCAAGATCGTTTGTATGTGAAAAAATCTGAACGAAAACCAATAAAATCGGTTTTAAAAGGATATAATATGGATACAGGTAAATTAGTATCAACAGATGTAACGAGATTTATCGGTTGGAATACAGACAAAATACCAGAATATGAATTTGATTATCCAATGGATTTAAAAACATGTTATTATGCATAACTTTCGTCTTTTTTTTCTTTTTGAGACTATCATAAAATAAAAAATATATTTATTAGAATTAAAAGTTCGGCACTTATTCAGTGTCTTAAATTTAGTGATATGATTCGTAAGTAGTTTTAATATAAATTATAAAATAGATTGTTTTATAACTGATAGCTTCATTTGTTCTCTTATTTTTAATAGTCAACATTAAATCACGTTCAAAATTTTCTGATACGTAAGTAAACTTATTTTCTATTTTAGACTAAAGAGGCGATCGATTGGATGATTAATACACAATCTTTTAATCAACCACTTATTCTCGAATATTCTAATATAGTTTATTCGTATGAAATAATTATTGAGAAAGAATAATTAAACTATAAGATCCTAAACCAACATTGCCATGATATTCACCTTCACTAGCTGTTGTTGTATATCCTTTATTATTAAAATCATCCGAATATTTCTTCGAATCAGAATCAAAACGAAGTTCCCATGTACCCAAACTTGGAAAACCAATTGTATATGAATCAAATGATTGAGTTGAAAAATTAGCAACTACAATTACATCATCTCCTTTTCCACCTTGCATCCAACGATGATATGCAATGATTTTCTTCTCATCATTAACATGAAAGATATTTATATGTTGACCCATTAAACCTTTAGTATTTTTCTCTTGATTTCGACGATATCGGATTAAATCACGATAGAGTTGAAAAATTCCATTATTCTTCTGTACTTTAGTCCAATCAAGCATGGCATTTAAATTAATATCTGCATTGTCTGTCCACGTGCCACATTCAAGAAATTCTTGACCCTAAAAATAAAATAAAATATTTGATATGAGTACGCGACCATTCATCATTACCTGAAAAATCATAGGGACACCCGGTGCTGTGAAAAGAATAGCAGCTGCTAATGTTGATCGTTTTCGACTAGGCCATGAATTTGCATTACCAGGCCAGATTTTTTCCGGCATTCGACCTAATTTAACACCAAAATGTTCTGTTACTTCATCATGTGATTCTGTATAGATAACTCGTTGAAATGCATCATTATTATAACGTTTAGTAAGTATATCACTAATAGAAAACATCGATCGTGATTGATCTTCTGCGAGTACGACATTATTTCGAATAGCCTTATAAAATCCAATATCCCATTGAAAATTAAAACCAGCACCACCTTCGTCGATTTGTTTTGTTAACCATTCATTATCTTCAAGATCTTCAGCAATTGTAATTCTATTCGATTGTTTATCTTTATTAATCCATTGCATCAATGTCCATCCATCAGGTAAATCACCTTGTCGTGATCGTCGAATATTAATTGTTGAATCAAGACGAAGACCATCAGCATGATATTCATGAAGCCACATCATTGCATTATCATGTAAGATTTGTCGAACTTCATATCGTCCATAATCAAGTCGTGTAGCTCCAAAATCTGTTTCAGCTCGATTATCTTGATAGAAATAAATTCCTCCATACCCGTCTTTATGCCATCCATCAAAGCGCCAGAAACATTCGCTTAAATCATCGGGACCTAAATGATTATAGACAACATCAAAGATAACTGCAATTCCTCGACGATTAGCTTCATTAACAAATCGTTGAACACTTCGTTCTTCTCCATAATGATTTTCAATAGCAAATAATAATGAAGGATTGTATCCCATCGATGTGTTTGTTACAAATTCTGTACATGGCATTATTTCAATTGCATTGATTCCTAATTCAACAAGATAATCTAATTTCGAAATAGTATCGAGAAATCGTCGAGCTAGTTGACCATTATTAATAAATGTGCCAAGATGTAATTCATAAATAATTAATTCATTTAATGGTGGCATTTCAAATTGTTTCTTATCCCATTTGAATACATCTGGATTGATAATCACACAGTTATGATAACGAGGAGAACCATTTCGTAGATCAATATGACCCGTTGTCTGACGACAATAAGGATCTAGTTTCCATAGATCAGGTTGATCTTTACGAGAAATGACGAATTTATATTGATCTTGTTCTTTCGCTTCGGAGACAAAAACTGACCAGAAGCTCGATTCAGCATCTTCACGTGCGAGTGGAATTTTTCCTTTATTCCATGGAGGATTGGAAAACTACCAGCCACATAAACTTGATCGGCATAAAGTACCCAAACACGAAAAGTTACACCATCTCCATTTGGATTTACGCTAGCACCCATGCCAGGCAATAAACTTGGTTTAGATATTAATGGCGTCATTCTTGATGTAAACGGCAACCAATGTATTTATCAATATTTTATTGCAACATACGAAATAAACTTGTAAAGATTAAATGAACATATGTAAGATAGTTTCATTACACAATGATCTCCTCTCACTGAACTCGAAAGAAATGATAGACAATGTTTTTTCTCACTGTAATAAAACAACAGTCGAGAATGAGAACAGACAACTTTATCGTATACAATTCGTTACGGATTATTTATCACATAGATAATAGACAAACATAAAGATAAGGAAAGAAAAACTGATTTGATCGTTACGACAAAGATAAAGATAATTTGTACCGGTTCTGAAATTTACAAAAAAAGACCATATCGGCATATGCTAAGAATACGTATTTATCCTTGCGATTTATCTCCATAAGTTCATTAAAAAAAGATATTTGAGTCGTTATCTGTTAAGATAAATATTCTTCAAAGCACAGATGCTAGCTTTTTACTCGAATAGCTACATTGACAAATGAATTCAATGGATCTAACGTGACTATTATTAAAAATCTTCTTCAACATTTCAGGGTGTGGATCTAAATACTCTGTTTTTATCATCCCCCTCACCCACACCCTCAAGATGCGTTGCAAAAATAAAGAACAATTTTACTCAAAAATATTTTTTCAAGAATTATTCATAGATAACATATCATCATTAAATGTAATATATCGAAACACAAGTCATTAAGTATTACTTTTCTTGTAAATGAGAAGTTTATTTAGTTGGACATAAACATTTTTTTAAAAATGCTACGAATGCACCAGCACAAATACATAAAGTACATCCCAAAGCACATGCAATTGCAAATACGATTGATCCATAAGAAATTATAGTAATAATATAAATAACAAAATCATAAGTTTTTAATCCATCTCGATTTTGCAGCTGTAGAGAACAGTAAACTACCGCAGTAATTATAAGAATTGGATCTATTATAGCACCTAATATTCTTAAAAATCCTTCCCATACTTCCAATACTTTAGTTTTTTCTTCATCCTTGTCTTCAATATGACATGCTTTTTCAGTAGCTATATCTATCATAGGTAAACCAAAAAATGTTGCTAATACCATTAGAACTTCATAGAATGTATCACGAAATGGTGAATTTGCATCGAGAAATAGAAAAAATATTTGAGTTTCAAAGAGTGTTCCGTATAAAAGTATACGCAATGGTAATAAGCAACAATTTTTTCCACATTCTTCTACGTTATTTCCACTAATACCACAAATACAGATAATAGAAAGCATATGAAAAATAATTTCAAGAACAAAAAATAAGATGGCAACGATCATTAAATTAGTTGAATTGGGTAATAATGTTAAATATGATACTAATTCACCAGTTTCAATACACATACTGAATATAATTCTTGCGACTGGATGACAGAGTAATGATTTAAATAGTGAAGCACCGCCAACACCGAATAAAATGAAAAAAAAGCGCTGTTGAGAAGTTTCATCCAAATCATTATTTTTGGCAATGAAGTAGATACCTAATTGTTCAGCAAGATTGAATATATCAATAAAAACACAGAAAATATTAGCAATTATTAATCGTGTATCTCTACTAACCATCTTTTAATAATACTGATAATCTAAATGAGAAAGTATGTCATTATAGTACAATAAAATCACGACTGAAGATCCTGTTAATGGTAAACAGTAAATTTCAAGACTTTATATCTTGCAATCTTTGTTAGTTTTCTCTCGAAATTTCTCATCAACTCAAAACATTCTTACCAATTGCATAAAAATAATGAAGTTTATAAAATATTTCTCAATCTTTTTGTGACGTGTTTAATCTTATATTGCAAAAAAAACTATATTTGTATTTCATATTTTAATCTATCAATGATGTCGTCAACAGTTCCATTCTTCGGTTGTATTGCATGTGAAAGAAAAACTACAATATTAAATTTGCTTACTTGAAAACAGTTCTGTTTTTATATGAATAATTTCACAATTAACATAGTAACCGGTGACGTTTTTTATTTTTATTGAGCAGTGACATACTTTTCTCCGTTCTTTTGCTACTATTGACTCATAATTTAAAGAAAAGATTTTTCTTTTTTGAAGAAATGTGAATAAACAAAATAATAACTCATCAGTGCATAATAAACTTTGATCAATTTCAATGCTATTGTTTTATATCAGAGAAAGCATGAAATCTCCATTCGAATTTTAAGAAACCACAAAAAATTAATGAGAATCAAATAACATCTTCAAAGAGATAGTTTTTATTGGGTCAAATTTGTTACAGTGTTAATAAGTATCTAAAGGCTATGACACACATACTCACTCTACAAAATATTGTTGTGATAAAAATATTTGTATTGTGTGGTATGAAAGAGTGCAATAGAGCAAAGCATATTACAAAAAGAAAGAAAATTTGTTTGTATTATTTGCAGTCGTTGACAATGCGAGTTATTTTGACATACATTTTTTCAACTGCGTTGCTGTTTTCTTCCCTTCCATTAGTCGTCATGTGATGCATTTACTAAGAACTGTTCGATTTCTTCTAATATACCATGTTTTATTACTATTTTAACTTACGTAATCTTCGCCTAAAATCTGCTCTGCTTTGTAATAAATATCTTGCTTATTGTGACAATTCGTCTTTTTTATTGAAAACATCGCTTACTCGAAACAACAGAAATACAGTTTTATGAGAATGTGAGTGAGAATGAGATATTAATATATCATTTACACTTACTCGCAAGAATATCTGAGATTCGTTTCAGATGAAGTAAGAGATTTTATAATCAGAAGTGTAAGCCGGTAGGGTAACCAACGATGGCAGCTCGAAAACTTGAAAATTTTGAATAACATCGGCGGCGGCGGCTGTTCACCTGTAGGGCGTACATCCCTATTTATAACATTTCATCTATACTGAAATCAATGTCAGATATGCATACACGTTTTTATGAAAAACTCTGCAATCAATGAGGATTTCAGAATTTGCTCTTTCAAAAACATTAAACAATGCATCAACAATTTTCAGTTTATCTAAAGTATTTACTGATTAAGAGCTTGTCGACGAAATTGTCATGATGACTGTAACCTATTTATTCATTTAGAGAACATAGAAATGTTTTCAAATTTATCGACATAAACGTATAGATCCATTTTTTGATAATGGTCATACTTATTAGTTGACATATAAATATATATATGTATAAAACTAATTCACAAGAAAGTTTTAATATCTATCGATTTACCTGAAAGAATATAAAATAGTCTTTTTAATTTAAAAATTGACATTTAATTACTAATATAAATCTTGAATGAATATCAAAATACGAAAAAATATGAGAAAATTTATATAATAGTTCACACTAATATATTGTACTGTTGAATACACATTGTTTTTAACAAGTGACCAAAATAAATATCACAATACTAACTCTTTTTTTTAATCACAGTAGTGAATCATACTAAATCTTGTTTTCTAGTCTAAATTAGTTTTTTTGAGGTAAAATTCTGACATAATCATTGTGACGATTTAATACTAATAAAAGTTTCCATGGTAAAGGTGCTTCATCAATATTGACTGAAAGTGTATGACGTTTATTTGTACGTTCATGAAATAATTCAATTTGTCTTTGTGAACAATCAAATGTAAGTTGTACTATATCATTTGACGCTATTTCATCACTCTTATATCCATGTATTTTATAATTATAATTAACAGCACCATGTTGATATATTTCATTACAACCAAACCAACCAGCAGTTAAAGGTGAATAATAATGAATTTTATTTTCGTTTTCAATCATTTGAAATGAAATACAACCAAAGAAAATATTATATGGAGATTTACATTGTCCAATTTTAAATCGTATCGTTTGTTTATCTTGTGAATATACTTGTTGACCAAGAATAAATGCATAATCTAAATCAGTACCTGTACATTTAGCAAGAAGACCATCGTCAATAATTTTTCCCGGTCCAATTACTTTCGAGAATTTTTCTTGATAAGAAAGATCTGTAGGATTTTGTATTACAAACTCATTATGATAGGGAACAATTGCCTTGCATATAGATTTATTTTCATAAATTTTAATTAAATGAATAACAGATTGTTCATCTTCTATTAATTGAATTGATGATTGTGATATAGTTTCTAATTTAAGTTTATCCAATTGTTGTATCCACCGAATTAGATCATTCTCAGAAAAATCATCAGCTTCACGAGATGATCGAAGATTAGCAGCAATCTCATGACATGCTTTAGATATTTGCTTTTTAGACACTTCTATTTTCTGCTGTAATTCTGTTCGAGCATTTTTTGCAGCTGTTTGAATTTTCATAATTGTTCGTATTTCCCATTGATTGATTTTTTCGATTAAAGTATGTTCATCAGATGATCGTTTAAGTTCTTGTTGTAATAAATCATGATCTTGCATAATATCATCTAATTGATTCGCAAGATTTTGTCGATGCTCAATAACATGTTTACCACAAAATCTTTGTTCACATCCATTACACGTTAAAATACCAATACTCTTATTACATGTGACACATTGTTTTTGTTTGCTCATCATTTACCGATAAATAACAGTGTCTTAAGTATAAACAAGCGACGATAGACGAAATAAAAAAATTATTTTTCACTATTGATATGCTGAATCGGTAAGGACGAAAAAAACAGGTCAGCTGATATTCTTTATAAAAGGTCATATTTTTTCTTCTCGTTTCATCAATTATAAATATACGTGATTTTAAATAGAAAATAATCAATTGAAAATACTTATAAACTGTCTAATCATTATTATTACAAACACACATTAGAAACAATCTAAATTAAGAATTATATCACGAAATTCACTTAGTTGTTACTTTATCGCTGCTTATATTTATAGCATTCATGTAATAAAACATTAGTCATATATAATATCAATAACTGTCATTAAATATAGAAAAAATCTTATAAAAGCTTATTCATTTATGATGAAATTCAATTTTCCGTGTTGCATCAGTTCGTATTTTTTGTAATTGCACAATAAAACACGTTTGTGACACTCAATAAATACTTCTCGTTTTTTACTTGATACATTACTACAAGCATGCCATCTACAGCCGAAGATTTACCGTCAGAAATCTGGTTTTATATATTTACATTTATCGAAGGACATGATATTGTTCAATCATTTTCATCTCTAAATTCTTTCTTTAATTCACTTTTACATTCACAATATTTACAATTACATATTCGAATTAAAAAAAATGAATCAAATAAACGTTTGCCTCTATTAACTTGGTCACATATTGATCTACGAAATATCTATTCACTTTCCGTTGGACAACGAAAAGCAAACTGTCTTATTCAATTTCTCCGTTGGAATGCCAGTTATCTTATTTGTTTACGTTCTCTGTCGATTTATTTGCGAAAATCAAAATTTGATAATTATATCCAGATTATAACATCTGCACTTCAACAAATGCCATCTCTTAGAAATATTCGTATTAAATATACAGCACAATTCAATCCTGATATCGATCACTTTGAACCATTAATGACATATATCTTTAGTACAAAATCTACTATACAAAAATGTTCATTTGATTTTCGTATGTTTCATTACAATATGATAGTGTCAAAATGGTCAATAAGTCCAACATTAAAATATCTTAATTTCTATAATACTTCTTGGAATAATTTATTCTCTATCCTCAGTTTAACACCTTACTTATATTCATTTCAAGCACTAATAAAGCAATCGGATACAATTTTGAATAAGGATATCGTTCTTACTCATCTGAAAAAAGTAAATTTATATCTTGTTCGTCCACATTTGATTCAACTTGAAATGTTGAAAGATGTAGCACCAAATTTAGAATCTCTTCAAGTACAAGGTAATTTCAGTTCTAAACACCCCGCTTATTTTAATGAAAACTTATGGTATAAAGTATTGAATAATTTGAAATATTTTTATGTCAATTTAAGCACATATTCAGAGTCTAATTCTGAAAAACAAGTTTTAAGAGATTATATTCTTGATTTGAATGGGAAAGGTTGGTTTACTTGGGAAGAACATATACCAAATTTATATGCGTTTATTAAATTTACATCAGTCACAATTTAATTGACAATTTCTTCTTTTAGGAAATGTAATAATAAAATATGTAAAATAAAATCTGTTTTTTTTCTTAAACTGTAACAAATAAAAATGATTAAAAATGATAGTTTATGTAGAAGATTTTACTCTAGTAGTATTTGCGAAAGATTTTCTAAGAAATATATCAATGCTGAATGTCAATTGAGAATTTTTACATAAACTATAATAATCTGATATTTGTCATGATTGTGTTATGAATAATGACTGATTATATTCGTCTACTATTATTTCTTTCTTTTATTGATAGTTCAGATCAAATATCAATATAGTAATTATGTATTTTCTTTGACGGTCGTTACACTATTGACTTAAAAGTTAGTGTGCATATTTATTTTCATCTTCATATAAATTAGTAATGAGAATTTATTTACTTGTTTATGATGATCACTGTGAACTAGCACTTCAAACGAATGACGTGTTATATGTCTAAAGAGATATCTCATATTACTCTATCTTCCGATACCTGTATATTAGTACTTTACATAAATATTTATCTGTTATTTATCAAACACGAACTAAAACCAATATTGAAGTGCTTTAATTCAGCTATTTCGTGTTTCATATTTTAATTATACAAAGATTGCGCTAACAGCTTTTTATTAATGGTTATAAAGAATCATTTAGTTACAAGATTGTATTAGTTTGCATTAAGATATCATTCACAAATTGATTGATCTACTAAAGAAGATTATTATTCGATATAAGCAAGTTAAAATTTATGATAAAAAATCAATTTATTACAAGACATTACGTCAAAAGAAGGCAAATTGTAATTAGAAACTCCCGAGAAAATTGCGGAGAGTATTAGTATGTGAAATTTCAATGGAATGTATCTATATATTATTGTCATAAAATGGAATTGTTTTGTTAACGACGTGTAGTTGTTAATGGTTGTGTCATCATATGAACAAGATTATCATAAAAAACACGACCATCAGAACCAACATTTAATTCACGAAGCATAAGATCAACTAAGAGAAATTAAAAAATAATAATTTATATATTCATAAATTTATTTTACCATCTCTGTCAGTTAATTTTTCGCCTGTATTAGTTAAGATATATTTTAATTGTTTGGAATCAATATAACCAAGTCGTTGGGTATCATATTGTTGAAATGCAGCTAAAATTTCAGTGGATGCATTTTCAGTTGATCGATGTTCCAAAACAATTTTGAGAAAATCATCAAATTCAACAACACCACCCTCTAATACATCAATACGATAATTCATTAAATCATACAAGTCGTCTTTATAGTTCAATACCTTTTTTATATTTAGCAAAGTAACGTTTAAGTTCAGCAATTGTCGGTGCCATACTTAACGATCGCATTATAAAACATAATTTATCTGGTGTATCGACAAAACCTTGTGGAGCGAATAATTGAAAACATTGCCGAAAATCTATAGATATACAATAGCTCACCATAACAATAATAATAATAACAACTTATAACTTACTATCAATTTCTTCTTCTTTAAAATTTTTCGACTAAAATAATAGAAATAAAATTTGAATAATAAATATAATGCATTGAATTACTTACCATGATTTAATGAATTAAGCTTAATTAAAACGAATCTATAAATAAAGATTCAAGGATAAAAGAAAAGAAAAATAGCATTTTAAAAACAACGATGATAATAATTTATTCACAATAACAACCCAAACGAAAGAAAGAAAAATGAAAGAGAATCCTATTGATGTGATAAATATTATTGACCCAATTTGGCAAGCTAAAAAACAAAACAAAGAATTATAATTCTAATCGGTACAAATGAAAACTTTTATACTTGTTCGAGAAATTGAGAAGCATTGACGAGTTCCGTACAACCATAGACAATACGTTTGGTTGCCATTCTTGATGGTGTCTTAGCATATTCTTGTAAATTTTGGTATTCAATGTAATTACCACCACCAACCATAAAGACAATAGCATCATTAAAACCTTGTCGATTACGAGCAATATTTGCGCTATAAAAAGAAAAGATTGTTAATAGAATTATTTTCCTCTTAATTTTCTTATTTTAAAAACTATTTTCCATATTAGTGGGTTCAGTAATTAGCCTTTATCTATCTTACTTTTCCTCAGATGAATTATATCTATTTAAAAATATAATTAAATATTAAATTTTGTTCATTTCTTATTTTTTTTAAGAAAAACAAATTCTTTTCTTTTTCAAAAAAATATTTACGCGTCTGTTGGTCGAAGAAGTTTTGGATCAAAATAATGATAATCATCTGTTTCAGGTGATGAACGACATTCCATTAAATTATCAACTATTTTTGTTACTGGTAATTTCTAAAAATAATACGATGAAATAGAATGACAAAAAGAAATCATAAAATATCTATTTACATATTGTTTAACAACAAGATTTTTAACACCTTCCATTGCAAATTTCGAAGCTTTAGTTACCAAATTTGAAAACATTCTAAAATAACATATATTATATTTTTCCTAATTATGAACAAATTCAGATTCAATGCGACAACACTATTTTATTAATAATTATTATTCAAGTTGCTTATTTCATATAATACAAATATTTATCATATTTCAAATTAGAAAATCTTGTTTGTGTATTACATTTGTCATCAAAAATAATATCGTAACTAGAGAGCTGCATCGGGTCCGGCGAAAGAGTCGTAAATTATTCTATCATTTCAGACACTGAACTATTATTCGTACGCTCATTTTGTAGAGAACTGTTTGCTCTTTCAGACTGTATACGTAGAATCGTGCAAGAGCCTTTCATAGCTGACATTTTATGAAAAAACGATTCGAAACCGTACTTCCGGGTTCGGGTCTAGACCCTGGCTTTTATTCAAAAGAATTTCGACTATGAAAGGCTCTTGCATGATTCTAAGCACATAGTCTGAAAGAGCAAACATTTCTCTGCAAAATGAGCGTTCGAATAATAGTTCAGTATCCCAAATGATAGAATAATTTACGACTCTTTCGTTGGACTTGATAGATCCGATGCAGCTCCCTAATCGTAACACTCCTTATCTTTAGAGTACGGAGAATATGTGTCATATATTCATCCCTTACCTAATCATAGTCGAAAAAATAAAATCGGAATTAATTACAGCCGAAATCCCTAATAAAGATAAACTCACTCTTGAATCTATCAATTTATTATCAAACGAGCCGGATCAATGATAGATTTTGTATATAAAAATCATTCTTACCCCATTGTTGTTGTACCACCTTCTCTTGCTTGTGAAGCAACACTACCTTTACTAAGTGATTTCCAACGTTTAATATATGTAATTGCATCTAAACATGTACAATTTGATCCTCGTAATATTGTCATATATTGATCAAGTTCTCCCTAAAAGAAAACAACATATTTTTGTTTTATACAATTAAATTAATTGAATAGGGATGTACTTGTGTCATTGTTGGTGTACAAATATAATGAATTAAAAATAAACGAAGTTTATCTTCTGGTGTACCAGCTAAAATAAATAATTTATCTAAGTTTCTTTTTTTTTGTTTTTATTATTTTAATTTACCAGCCGGATCAGAAAGAACTTCCATAAGAGATTTTTCCTATTAATTTAGATAAAAATTATTAGAAAAAAATAAAATTTGAATTGATATATATTTACTTGAACTTGTTTGCTCATTAATTTTTCTTCAGTTTCAAAGAAAATATCTAATTTTCGTTTCTATTAGATAAAAAAAAATAAATAAAAATAAAGATTTAAGAAATGTAATTACTTTAATTTCATCGAGAAGAGCAGTTGCTATATTTGTATGTGCATCGAGTAATCGTTTTTTTTCTAATAATTCTGGTAAAGAACTCACTGCACTTGTTAAACGACTTGTTGTATCATTTAATAAACTAATAGCTAAATCTTGAGCATCACCTTCAATACCCTATTGTACAAAAAAAGAAAATCTTTCATTTGATTATTAAATATCAATAAAAAAAATAACCATTGCAGATTTAAGTCGTTTAACTTCATCTTCTGATTGACGATATTTTTCTAATTCTTCTTGAATTGATTCAGCAACAATTGGAAATGGACTTGAAATAAAAACAAAAGTTTTCATAAAAATTATAAACTATGAATTAATTTATTCTTACTTTCCTTTTTGTTGTTTCCAAAATTTATCTGTTGGTATAAGATCATATGTTCGTTTTTTCGATGGATGTCGACCATCACTTAATACACGTGATTCATCAACTTCTTCAATTTCAACTCGATTTAATTTAAAATCCTATATTATAACTATTTTTCTTATTTAAAATATATTATAAAAATAACTTACAAAAACATCATGAGCTAAAGCTTGATAAGTCCATGTATGATGAAGGAGAGATGCTAAATCAGTACTTCGATCCAATATCACAAGAAGTGGTCGTTGAAAACTATTAAAAGAAAAATTAGGTATTTATACTATTAACCCTGATACGCCCACCTGGGTTCCGCACGGACCCCAGTCGAAAAGGAGGTGTTTCCACCATCAGTGAAGGACTGAAATTAAGTGACGCTATTAGGCGACACACAGCTCATCTGTCACACATGAAATGAACCAATGAAAGCGAAACACCGTTCTTAAATGATTATTTCTTGAAACGCTCAAATTTCGAACAAATTACAGGTGGGTGTATCAGGTTAACAGTACTAAAAATAATGCTCGAAGTAAACCTTATTGATAATCGTCAGAACTCATTATTTAAATAGGAAAATTCTCGGTTGACTAAATTCAAAGGCGATAGAGTCTATAAAGTCTAATCCAAAGGAATAATAACTATTAAGACTTTTAAAAAGATATGTAATGTTATAGTCATTGACATAAATATAGGAAAAGAGTTGTGAATTTATGAAACACCACGGAAAGAATAAAAAATGTGGTTGGAATTCGGCTTCAAAGATTTCGGACTTATTAAATTAGTAGTTAGCCATTTGTACTAGTTACAATTAATAGGTTGGAGTTGTATTTTGACATATGCTTGTAAGTTTAATTTCTTTCTCTATTGAATGTTCATCGACATACCATAAAAGTATATATTAGGGATTTGTGGTAATTTAAAATCTTCATGCTTATCAATCTCGGCTATGATTCTTCCTTTTTAATTAGTAAAATACGCAGTACTCTAATGACTAATAGTTCTCTTACAACATATAATTCTTTGAAACACAATGCGAGAAAATGTATTGAAAATTTTTACATCATAAAGTCGTTAGGTTATATAAGTTAATGACTTTATGAGAATAGTTATTAGTGATACGTTCGATTTTTATATCTATGCGTCTTTCGTGGTAGATGTGTGAAAGTTTATTACTTTTTTTTTCGTATATTTAAAACTTGCAATCAAGTATTTTAACTAACCTTAAAGCTCCTGTAGCCATTGAATCCGTTGAAAATAAACTATTTCGAGAATCACGTAGATTTTCTCGTAATTTCTTATCAAGTTTCTAAATATTAAAATAAATAATAAATATCTGTTTATTTATTTAATAACTAATAACATACTTGTCCTATAATTTCTGCAAATTCACCTTTTGAACACCGGATAATTGGTACTGAACCTAAATTTAAATCATATAAAATCTTAATTCTAATAAAAAAGTAAAATTTTCTTTCATACCGAGTGTTACACATACGGAAAAGAGACTATCAACAATTGCCCCCGTAATTTCATTCATATCCTCATCACGCATCTGTGGACGATTAAGTGCTAAAAATTTAATATTTATTTATATATTCTTAAAATTTTATTTTTTATGTACCATAATAAGAGACACTATCTCTTCCTGTTTGTCGTAAACAAAATAATTCATCTTCCAATGTAATAAAATCGAGATATTGATCATAAATCTATAGATATTCAATAATGAATAAAAGAAAATCTAATGTTTCTTTTACTTTTGTAATATTTTGCTGAGAATTAGATTCAAGTGCAGCTGTAGCTAAATCTTCGAGAAGATCACGTGGAATCGGTGCAATAAAATTTAAATAATATGATTCATATAAACCTTCAGATAAATCCTATATTGTCAATATTTATATATGATCATAAATTTTATATGTAAAATATTTTTTTACTTTTCCTATACGAGTTATATTATCTCTTGTTGGCATAATAAAATAAACAGCAGCAACTTCATCAACTGGTCCACGATCAGATTTTAATGAACTAGAGAAAAATAATATTCTTATTAATCTTTTCTTTCGTTAAATTTTCAAAATATTTACACATGAAGTGTTACACCTAAATCACGAAGTTCTTTTACAGTAAGTAATGGTCCGATAATATCTTGACCAAGTTCATCATAAACTAGAACTTTCCAAGCTAAATCTCCTCCAGGAGATTTTAATAGAGTCGATGGAGACGTATTAAGATTGAGCATTTGTTTAAGAGTAGCTAGAAATATGAAGAATTATTTTTTTTTTCGATATGAAAATATGTTTTTATTTGTAAAAAACGAACCGATGTGACGATCTCTTAAAGACAATGGTGCGATCGATTGAGTAGTCATTTTAAAATGATTAATAGGAAATTGATGAGCGACACGATACAAATAATGGTGATGCTGGCAAAGCTAACCGATTCGAAAATGAATGAATCACTGACTTTATTTATTTGATACTGATATTTATCCATTAATATTTTAGCATAATTCTAGAGGGCGCTATAAGGCACTCTATTGAACTATATTGCAGCGAGTGCAATTTTTATTCTTATCAGTATACTGGTTGAACTCTATATAAAGATAGATTTGTATTAACTGTTAATGTGAATGACTTGATAGCGGTTATTATCCTTTTATAATATGCGCTATGAGAATGACGATATGCTGGTATTTTTTTGTATAAATCTTTGTGTGTGAAAAAATATAGAACATTTCTGGAAGTCAATGAAATGAATGATTTATTTAATTTCAAGTTTAATACAAACATATAATAAATAAAGTCTCTGTTTATGAAATCTGTTTTTAAATTTTTATCACAAAAAAATAATAAATATAAAAACTCGTAATTAAAATGAATGATAATCATCAGTAAGAAAGCCATTCGTAGCTTCAGTAAGATTAGATACATGTCGAATTGTAGGTCGTCCATGTGGACAATTCTATAGAGAAAAGAAATTTTAAGATTATATCATCATGTATATATTTATTTGATTTACCCATGGTTTAGCTAATTGTGCAAGATGTCGAACAACATTTATCATTTGTTTTTTTGTTAAATCAGTTCCAATCATAATTGACATACGACAAGCTTTAGAAGCGAATACTTTTCGTAAACGAGATGATTCATAATGTTCTTCTTGACGTGAGTGTTGGCTTGTATCAGTTAAATGTGAAAGTATTTCATCAATTTCATCAATACCAAATACACATGAATGAGCACCTGATATCGTTGGATATGCATGTACACGACAACGACGATCAATACGAGATTCATTTTCATCAATTTCAATATCAAATCTAAAATAAAAAAGGTATATATTTTTATATTTCCTAAGTTTTGATTTTATATGAATTACCCAAGACGAGTGAATAGATCGATATGTTGTTGAAGAAGAACTTGTCGTGATGGATCAAGTGGAATTGTTTTAGGATGAAGAAGTGGTTGTCGACTAACAATTGTTTGATCATAAAGACGATGAAAATTATAGATTTCATCAGCTGCATGTTGATCAACAATAAATAATTGAGATGAATGATCAACAAGTGTAACAAGAATGAAACCACGATTAAATTGTCCGATTATTGACATTCTATGAAATTATAATTGAAGAAAGAAAGAAAGAAATAATTAACATCAGACAAACCTTTCAAAATCAGTTTTATTAATTTGTCGTCTTAATTCATCTTCAGCTTCTTCATTTTGATCTTCTCCAATGTGAATATTAAAATGATGATTTGATATAGATGATGATATATCAGTTTTTTCAGCCATTAATTGATATTTTTCTTTAAGTTTATTCATATTAAATTTAACTTTAATTTCACATGATTTATATGATGTTACTTGCTAGAAATAAAATATAAGGTAATATTACTATCATTTTAGGCTTGTCCGAATTTTGTCAGTTGGCGAATGTCCAGTGTGCATTCATTATTCTTTAAAAACGGTATCATAACAACCCTTAGAGATTTTAAGCCTTCTGGCCATCCTCGTAACTGTACAACGAAAAAATGGTACTAGGTGTTTTGGACACAACTTTGAAAACGTCTGAACTTTGTTTTCGAGAGTAGTGCAACTTGTCGATTACACAAAGCAGATTACTATGTCTTGATTTCGTGTATATAAAGAATAAATGGAAGTGTTGAGAATTTAAAATCAATCCCCACAGCAATGATTAATATCTATAGGAACTCTGTTATAGTTACGGAAATTTGCTGTCGATTTTATATGAATTTAACATCAGATATTGACTTACAATACTTTTCAGTTCTTCAACAGGTTTTGGTTTTTCTTTGGCAATTGGTGTTGATGTATACATTTGTAAATCATGATCAACAGAAATTCTTATTTCTTCACTTTCTTCATCGTTTTGTTTAAGTTGTTTAACTTTATCTAAAAAATCTTTTTTCGATGGACTACCATGAAGTAAAGTTTTATCATGTGGATCATCATCCTCATCGTTAACATCATCATCGTCATCAACACTGCATTCTTCATTTTTAGTATCTGAATGATTATTATGTTTCACAATATCATGTGATTCAAATGTAAATAATGCTCGATCTTGTGTCGATAAACTTGGTGACAATGATGGAGTTGATTTTTCACTACGAATCTAAATAAATCTATATATTAATAGAAGAAATAATTTCAAATAGTATACCGTAGTAAAAGGACAAGAAAATTTTGATAAAGGATTACTAGTAGTCAATACTGGTATATCATGTGACTAAATAAAAGAAATTTTATGTCTTAATTAAATAAATATATGTATTATTATCCTACAGTTTTTTTAACAAAACGTTCAATTTTCATTTGTTTTGTTGGTGGTGTTGGAATATCATTATTCGTTTCTGCTGTTTCTTGTTGTCTTTTATTTGATGAAACATAAACATTACTACTTGATTCAAATAATTTATTAAGAATAAGACGAATTTGATCACACATATTGGATAAATGTTCAACAAAAACAGTTCGTTTATCCGGTGTACAATTAATATCAAGTGTACTTCGATCAAGTACTTCAATACTCAATGCAACTAGTGGATATTGATTGGGATTAAAATGTCGATAGATATCATTTATTGTTCGTAAGAATGGTGCACAATCTATAGGTCGATTATTAACATAAAGATATTGTCGATCTGCTGACGAACGACCACAACCATGTTGAGGTCGAGAAATATAACCATCAAACTAAACAAACGATGTAAAAATTGTTTTTTTGTATTTACTAATTTACTTTAAATTCTTTATCTTCATCATCATTATTATCCTCAATATGTATAATACTCTCAAGTATTTTTTGTCCAAATATTTGTGCTAATGTATCTTTTAATGAACTTGATGGAGTTAATGTTAATAATGGATGTGAAGGTGGATGATTATCAGCTGATGATGAAATTTGAAAAAATTGGATTTGTCGTGATATAATTGCAAATGATTGTATAATATTTAATGCTTGAGAAAATTCACGTTTTGAATGTGATTGTAATTCAGTACGACGAACAGGAAAACGATTAAATAATGAACGAATTGATACAGTTGTACCAATCTATATAATATCAACATTATTCGAATTAAATTTAAAATAAAAACTAAATTTGTACTTCTCGAGGAAAGGGAGTACGTGAAATAACTTGACCTTCACCATCGAATATTAATTTTGTTCCTATAGATGCAGATGCATGACGTGTAAGAATTGTTACATCACTAAATAATAATATTATTTTCCTTTTCAGAAAATTAATGAATATATATATACGCATAAATACAAATTGATGATAAAGCTTCGCCACGAAATCCGTATGTATTGACAGTTTCAAGATCTTCGAATTGACTTAATTTTGATGTATGATATCGAAGTCCTGAACAAAAAAGAAATATTTTTTTTTCAATATTAAAATGAAATTTTTTTCTATAAACCAATTTTTTCAAAATCATGTTCAGCAATTCCATCGCCATTATCAGTAAGTTCAATAAGATCTGCACCATGTGCAATAAATGTTAATTGTAAACGTGTACTATGTGCATCAAGACTATTTTCGATTAATTCTTTAACACATGATGCAACACTAACACAAACTTGACCGGCACATAAACGATGACGTGTCGTTCCAGCTAATGGACGAATTTGTGCTGGTCGAAGATCTTCTTCATCCATCTGAAAAGAAAAAGAAAAAAGACTTGTATTTTTTGATTAAATTTAATGAATAATTGAAAAAGTAAACCAAGATAAACAATAAACTGAAGTTCTTTTTTCAATAGAAAATGATGGTAAACTTCCTAATTGTCCATGTTTATTCGAACCACATAACCATACATAATCATTTGCACCAATAAAAGCACTATGTCTTGCACCTGCAGATATATATGTACAATCGATATCTATTGGTATACAAGTAACAAGTGTTGGATCACAAAATACACCTCCGATATCATCGTTATCAGACGATTCAAGACCAAGAGCACCATCATTATTCCAACCCCATGACATGGCTGATCCATCCGAAAAAAGAGCTAAAAACCAAAAACAAAATGAAGACGATTAACTATCAAAGAATAATTTATTCTACCTAATGAATGCCATCCACCAGCAGCTATATCAATAACATTATTAGATAATGATTCAATATGTGTAGGTTGAAAACATGGTTCAAGATCTCCTTGACCAAGTGCACCATGAAGACCATTTCCATAAGAAAAAACTCGTCCATCAGATAGTAAAATTAACATATGTTCTTTTCCGCTACATAATTTGATAATTTTTGAATCAAATGACCATCGATCATTGTTTAATGAATATATTTGTGATTTGTATGCAATAAATATAGTTCCATTATCAAGAGAACATAGATGAATTTTTTCATTAATATCAAATGATTCAATTATTAAACTTTGTTCTTGTTGTTGAGAAGGTATTGAACATATTTTTAATTCATTAGGATTATCTAATGAATGATAAATATAAATAATTCGATCAATTGTTGATGTTAAAGCAAGAATCGAATTTGGAATATTAATTGTAGTATATAAATTATTGAATTCTTCTTTAAGAAGAATAGAAGAAAGATCATAGATCGTTAAAATACTATTTGATGCTAATACTAATTGACGATAAGTAGCTGCAATAAATAAATGAGAAAGATCGATTTTTTCATCGATATTAATATGTATTTGTTTATCATGATTTAATAGATAAAGATGAGACATTGAAAAGTAAAGACTTCTAATATAATCGATTCTTTTTCGATGAAATTTACATTGGTTAACATTACTATTCTTTACATGTCAAATCCGGCAGGTGTCGCAATTTCACGTTTTTCCTAACAAAAACTATTTGTAAATGAAAATATTCTTATATATATATATAAGACAATATGTACTTGCATAACATCCTTGCAAGTATATAACACAAGGCAGAAGAAAACAAATTTTTGTTTCAAAAGAAAATTATATATGTTGTAAATTATGACAATAAATTTCCTACAAAAAGGTATCTATTGTATTAGATCTGTCGTTTATGTGTACATAACACACATTATGAAAAGAGACATAACTGATTAGAAAAAGATTTCAAACGATATTGAGGGTAGGCGTGTTTGTGTAGTAAGAGAAAAGAATGACTTATACACTCACATATATCCTCAAATCCGTTTACTTTAAAATATGGTGTGTATATTTGTCGAACAATGTCGCAGAGTGGAGATAAGGAACTTGTACTTGCCCGTCATTTCTGAAAAATTACATCTGTAAACACATGACCGGACTGTCTATAAGACTGAAATATTGCAAAGCTCCACCAAAAGCAAAAAATATAGTAATTGGTGCAAAACGAAAACGAGACAGATCATCTAAAGTTAAAAAAGTTTTGATCAATCAGTAATTTTTCTGTTATTGAAATATAAATTTATTCTTGCTCAAATATATATCTATTACTGCAGTTTAATCAATTAATTATTATCCATTCCGTAATATATAATTGCTGAAAAACATTTTTTTATCGCTCAAAAATTATTGCTAATTTATATTTTTTGATTACTGTTCACTTCAACTTACAAATTATCCAAATAAATGCTAGTCAAAAAATATTATATATTGAAAGAAGCGTTTCGTAACATCGTATTGATTACTTATTTCTAATATCTACGAAATTAATATGATATTTTCAATGCTCTTTTATCTATCTGAATCTGACATTTACTTTATAGATAAAAAAAATCCGTATCTTCGCTTATTTTTATTAGCAACTGACAAAACTCTACATATGTACGTTTCTACTAATGTTGTTCATTCTTATATTTGAATAACTGTAATATAAAATATATAGACAATTTATTTTACAGATTCATATAAGAATTTTTAATTCGATCCTACGTTTTGTTTTAAACAGTTGGTAATATTGTTATTAATGGTTTAAATTGCCAAAGTATAACTAAACAACAAGCACATTCAGCAAGAAATTCAAATCCAGTACTAATTTGATCACATAAACGGCATTGATGATTAACAAAATATAACCATTCATTAACAACACTTATTGTAATAAAAACAACAAAAAGCCAAAGTGCCCATTTTAATCGAAGTGTAAATAAATGATAATAAACCGAAATAAAATCGTATAAAATAAATAAACTTATATTAGCTACTGTTCTTTTAATAAGATCTTCTTGAGCAAATATAGGTACAAGTATAGCTAAAATAACTTCAAGACGTGATATAACATTGAATAAAGCTTTATGTTGAATACATATAAGTGGACTATATGAACGAATTTTATAAATACATATCGAACTAATAAATATTGTATCTTGTATTGTTCGTAATGCAAATATACATTGATGAAAAATATTTTTTTCATAATGATGATAAATAAAATAAACAATATTACCTCCAGTCTTAAAATATGAAAAATATATTTATTTTTTTTCGAAATATCTTTACTTTAAATATCCATATAATTATATGATAGAGATACGTATAAATATGTGTAATTGTTTTTGAATGACATTCAAGATGTGTATAAAATTGAAGGAAATAGAATATATGAAGAATAGTACTTGATAAACCAGCATATGTATTATGTACTTGTAATTGCCATATAGCATCTATTTGATAAGTAAGTACAGCAGTTATTGGTAGAATAGTCATTGCAATACGTAAGAAAATATCTGATTTAAATACATGTGATGCAACTTCATCTGAATGTGTAGAAATAGATGAAGAATCTGAACGAGGTAAATAGACTGGTACTAAAAAATTGAGAACAATAAAAACTTAAAATTAAGATAGATTTTTACATGGTTGCATACTGGCGACATTCGAATTGATTTAAATTACATAGTAACCAATAAATTATGAGTCATTGTTAAATAATCAAAATTTTATTGTATACTGCAAGACTGTAGAGATACGAATCGAACTACGATCTCATCTCAATTAAGTTTACAAAAAAAATATTTATTAATAAATTTAGCTCGTTTAAATATTGGAAAAATATAAAATAAAACAATGAGAATTATACTAATAAAGTCACTATTGAAATTTAATTTCATATAGTTTTAAAAAATACAAATATTTGAGTAACATTTTATTTTTTATTTTTTTTCTTTAAAGATGCATGTACAAACTGCAATAAAAAAATATAAACTAGATTTCCTCCTTTATATATATGTATATGTATTATTCGTCATCGCAACATAATGATGGTTCAACAGTCAGTGCACTACCATGACCACTTCGTTCACGGGTTAATGGTGTTCCATAAGTCCATTCGTCTTTTTCAGGATCATAAACTTCAACGACAGATGAGAAATTCTTTCCGTCATAACCACCTTAATAGAAAAAAAAACAATAATAGAAAAAAAGACATAATTGAAATCAATATAATTTACCTAAAGCAAAAAGACATTTATCTAATGTAACACAACTAAGTGCTGATCGACGACAATTCATTGGTTTTACATATGACCATTGCTGTGTAATTGTATCATAGCGTTCAACAACGTCAAGTTGCATTGATCCATCAATATTATCAGATGCATAACCTCCAACAACATATATACATTCGGCAAGTGGAGCAGCTGCTGCACCAGATCGACCACATAAAAGTGATGGTTCACGTTTCCATGAATTCGTATCTGGATTATACGATTCAACTTCAGCTAATCGTCGATGTCCATCAAAACCACCAATAGCATATAAAAGTCGACTATGTGTACATACAGCAAGACCAATACGTCCAACATGCATTGAAGCTACTTCTACCCATGGTTCCAAATCTGGTGATAACGTAAATCGTTCAACAGATGAATGTATTTGTTGTCCATTTGAACCGCCAACAGCATAGATACATCTATCAATTGCACCGACACCAAGACGATTTCGAGGATATACCATTTGTGGCATTGATGTCCATTTATTCATAAATGGATCATAACGTTCAACATCACGACAATCTTTATTTTCGTTTCTATACAAAAAAAAGTGATTATTAATATCAACTAAATAAAATCTTTTTATTTACTTTGTATTATGTCGCCCACCTATCACATAAACTCTCATTTGAAGTGAAACAACACCAACACCACTTCTTGGTGTTTGTAAATCTGCACAACGTTTCCATTTTTGTGTTTCTAAGAAATAACATTCCATTGTATTTATTGATTGATTATAATAACCACCGGCACAATCTAAATAAACAATAAAATAAATATTTCCTAATTTCTATTCTAAAACATACAAATAACAAGTGGTTTAACTGGTGCTCGATGTGGTGGTAAACGACAATAACGATGTGATGTAAGTTTTTCATGAACATTTGATAAATATTCTCGGCAAACTTTCATATCAGGTTGTGCAAAATCAGAACAATTCATAACACCACGAAGAAATGATGGATCAAGAAATTGAAGACGAATACAAGGTAATATCTCAGCTAGTTCAGCACGCCGATTACATGGATCATGTCGAACCCATTGCATAGCTGCCTAAATAATACAAAAAAGAACAAATTATAATTCGTACAACAACAAAAAAAAAAGTCAAAGATCTTCTTACATTATAAACAATTGATTCACATTTAACTTTAACCTTATCATCTTTAATCATTGAACATAAATCACCGAAATTTAATGAAAGAAATTCTTCATGCCGTACAACTTCTTCGAAATGTTCATGTATATAATGTTCAGCTGCTTCAATTAATGGATAACATAAATATTGTTTACCATATAATAATAATCCCACACAATTCGATGGATGTAACTGTTCACGAAGATATGCAACACAGAGTTCAATCAGTTCATCGAGTAATAATGGAAGTGAACAAGTTAAAACCGGCATCACCTAATATGCAAAAAAAAAAGAAAATTTTTTAAATAAGCATTTTACTTAAATCATAAGACGTGAGAATATAATTTTTGCCTTAAAGTTATCATATACTTCAAAGAGATTATTACATACCATTTTATCATTGAGTTGAACTTGTGATGTATAAATAAAATCTAGTATTACATTTAATGCAAATGTACAAGGTATTGATTTTGTAATATCAATATCTGCTGTTGTATTTGCTTCGATATTACCAATACCTCCAAACATGGAAGCAAAATAAGGTGATGCTGATGCTAAAACAACTCTATGTGCTGGATGTCGTATACCATTAACACATAGAACAACATCACAAAACCGTTCTTCTTTTCGATACTGTTGCATAATATCTAATAATCGAGCAGAGCGCTCAGTTTTGTATTTATAAACACGATCTGTACCCATTGATAGCTTCATTACATATTTTCCCATATCCAATTCGCTTAGGTCACTCATCGAAAGAAGTCCATCAAGTTCGTCTGCATCATTACTATCTTGTTGAGAATGCCCGTTTAGCATGACAATGCCTTTTATTATTGCTTAAAATTCAATATAGAAGAACGAAAAGAAAATTTTTTGCACTTGTCATCATTACGATACAAAAAGCTAGGTCATAACTGTCAACGCTAGCCGTAACTTTTACTTGATTGCATAGAATAAATTTACTAATCATATACTTCTATATATTTATTTCCGTTGTAAGAGGTCGCACATATCCGATTGAATAATAGTAAAATATATTTTTTTATAACGATACAATTTTAAATTGTCATATTCATAGTAAACGAAATAAAATAAATTATTCGTGATATAGCAAAAAAACACGCCATGTTATTTTACTATTATTATATCTCAATATTTGTTATCGAAAGAAAGAAGAGTTTTGTATGTTTATCATTTAATTCTATGTAGTGATTCATTTCTATTGTTATCATATAACACATAAAAAAAAGACAGAACAAATAATGAGAAGTGAAAAAATACCTCTTACTGGTTCTCATGTTGATGCTGGTTTTTATACTGGTCGAGAAATATCTACAGGAGACGCTGGTACAAGTGGTATATCACGACGAATTTTACATGGTTTAACAATAATCTCGGTGTTAATAGCATGTGGTTGTTCAATTTATGGATCATTTCAAGCTGAAACACCATTTATGATTTTACCATTTCTTGTTGTTTTAATATGGATTTTTATACATTTTCTTCTATTATTTTTTGCACGACGTGAACATCATGAGTTTAATCCACCGGCATGGTTTATATTTGTTTCAAGTGGACATATATTTATACAATCATTAATTGTTATTATATTAACACTTTTTAAGAAACAATAGACTTAATTTTAATACGAACGAAAAACTAAAACATTTTATAATATAAAAATCTTAATGTAATTATTCAGTTTTTTCTAGAGTATTTTATCATGATAAAGTTTATAGAAATTTTACTAATAATATTGATATAGGAATAGCTTTAAGTTACATATATCAAGATATATAATACTTTCGATATAAAGTATTTTTTATAGAATAGAACGAAAGAATTCTTATTTATTTATTTATACATATAAGAAACAAACTGTATTATCTTCAGTCTAATATAAACTAAAGCAGTATATATAAAAGAGTGTATCTATAGCAGATAACTTCAATGGAAAACAAATGACTTATTCTTTTAAGATATTTACCTTCGTTATTAATAAAATATATCATATAAAATGAATTCTATTAACTAGTGTCATAATTTTACTTATTATGGAAAATATATTCAGTAAGCATTTTTTATTCAAATTATCCCATGACGTATTTTATCGATTGTGAATTAGTCACTTTCTCAAGAGAATATTAAATATTGCTGAATTCAATAGAACTTCCCAAATGATTAATCGGTGATTTCATTAAGGAACAGTATGCATGATTGCATGCAATTCATTGAACTATTTCTAAGGATTAGATTACTAACTATCGATTACATTTCCAACAAATACGTTAGTTCAGTTTTCTAATTTATCTATCAGGTAATCTCTAATGCTATGTGGGTGTTTAAGTCTATAAAAAAAAGATATTTTTATAATAATTTGTTTTGCACTGCAGGGCGGCTAGAATAGAAATGCACTGACGGGAAAAAAGGATTCCACGGTATAATATAAATTTAACATATAATCAGGTCGGAATATTCTGAATCAGTACAATGACACGCCCGTAGATATGCCTTTTTCTAAAAAACATGATTAACAATGTCTTTCAGTTTTCTTATATGATCCTGGATAAACTTCATTTTGAATTAATGAGTGTCTCTAGTGCAACAGCTGCTATTCAATAATTCTATTTACAGAAAAAGCAGCTGATAGATCAACTTTGACTTGTGTAATATGAGTTCTAAAAGTTTATTTTTCTAACATTAATTGTATAAATAAATATATTCATTTAGCAAACGCAAGATTTCAATTAATCACCCTATGAATACAAGAGTTACCTTAGGTATATATATTTATTCTCTAAAAATAGAATGTCTATCTCCCTTCTGTTTTGTATCAATAAGATATAAAAATAAATTAAAACATTTCTAGTGCACAAATTATTTTATTTTTCTATATATATATCCTATTGCTTATTGTCGAAGAAGATGAGTATAGAGAACAGTCTGTAACAGCATGTAAACAAAATTTATATATATATTTCTAACGAATATAGGGACAATATAGAAGTAGTCATTATTCGGAGATGCGACGCTAATATTGTATTCCGCCATACCAAAATCTAAGATGACTATCACTAATTAGTATCCTTAAGATCTCATTATAGATATTTGCATATAATTACCTTTCGAGAAGTAACCTTTCCATAAATATAAGTAGATAAAGATAGTTTTTATATATACACTTTAGTTGAAAAGAACTAGAGTGGGTCTTGAGTGCAAAAGCAATCAAGTTTAAAAAAGCAATCGTATATATCCAATAACAAACTATCCATTATGAATTATTTATATATCATTCACAATATTTATTTTCTTTTGCTTTTGAGAAGTGCAAAGAATTGACTTGATAGAGAATATATTAATATATTTTTCATGCTAATCATAAATTGCACTTGACGAACAAATATTCTCTTTTGTATTTTGTTTTTTAAAAAATTTTATTGATATTACACTATCATAGTCTATTCTATAACTGTCTTCAATACGTACTATTATTTTGTTTATCGATCTCTTATCATAATTCTATATATACAAGGTTAATAAGAAATTGTACCAAAATGTATGTGTCATTCATTCTTCTAGGAGACCAATTATTATCTAAATGTTTTTCTATTTCTATTTGACAAGTAAAACAATAAGTATAATCGTGGCATGTTTTTATTATTTGCGTTCTTTTTCCTATGAAAAAAAAAGAAGAAGAAATCTCATATAGTAAAACAAATGTAGTTTGCATAAGAATAATATTTTTTCCTATTTTTTTCATAGCGAACATGGTGACATTGTCTATTAATTACCACAGCAATATCGATATCATATTTATTAAAAACATTTAGTTTCGGTTACTACGAAAAGATAGAAAATGATGTATAATCCTATAGTTATTAGAAATAATCAACATATGATGACTAACATTGTGACTATTCTTTTCTATTTGTCTTAAAATACTGATTTCTTTTCTTTTTTTTCAGTTTATCATGAAAAATTTTACCCATAGTGCAATTATATTTGATCGCCCATGGCCAATCGATAAAATAATTCGCATATTTATTTTATCAATTATTATGTGTGTAACATTAATTGGTAATAGTTATATTATATTCGAATTATTTTGTCGTCGTCGACAACATCGTACACGATTACATGTATTTATTCTTAATTTGGCTATTGGTGATTTAGCAGTATGTCTTTGTACAATGACATCAGAATTATTTCTTTTAATTTTTGATCAAGAATGGATTTTAGGAAATATTGCTTGTAAATTAACACTTTACATCCAAGTTATTACACTTGCTTCTACAACATTTATTAATGTCGCAATGACCTATGATAGGTAAAAGAGAAGAATGTCTAGAACTTTTGTTTTCAAAAAAAAACAATAATGGTTTTATTTATTAGATTTTATAATAATATCCGAGAATGCTTCTTTTTTTTGCACAAAAACAAAGTAACATTTCTATGACAGTAAATTATAGATACGAAAATAACAATGAGGGCATTTCTCTGTCTAGTGTACTTATATATAGAAATAATAATAACAATAAAAAATGTTTATTTATAATATAAATCATCTGATGCTTTTCTTAAGATCAAGTGTTCAGCAAAGTTAGGTACTATCAAAGCTTCAAAAAAGACAACTATTTTTGTTATTATATTGAAAAAGACAATTAGGTGAGATCATTATTCTTTGCATATACTAAATTCTTTAATAGCTCATAAAAAAATCCATTATTTTTACTTCGAAAAATTGATGACTAAATAATTACATTAATAAATCATAAGATTATGTTTTTAGTAAAATCTTTGAGAAATTAATGATAAAAGTTAGCAGGTATAATAAATGCACCTCTTGATGTTATTCAAGTGTTCGATAGAAATTATATTTAGATCATATACTTAAGCACATTCGTCTGCCTATAAAATTTAATTTTTCGATTGAATTATAATAAATAATAAATTTAGATATGAAGCAATTTGTTGTCCATTTCGATCGTGTACTGCTCTTCGACGTATACGTCGTATTATAATCGTATGTTGGTTAAGTTCATTAATTATAGCAATTCCACAATTATTTATATTTGAACAAAGTTTAATGGAATATAGTTTAACACAATATCGTTGTACTAGTACAGGTTATACAGCTGAATGGCAACGTCGAGTTTATTTTACAATATTTGCTTGTTATGTTCTTGTTATTCCGGCTATTTGTATGACAATATGGTATATGAAAATAATACATGTTGTCGCATCATCAACAAAAGTTTGGATAAAAAAAATTCGTGGTCCAACAACAACATATCTTTCATCGCTTGCAACATCTCCAACTAAAATTAAAACAGTTAAATTAGCTATGACTATTATTATTGTATTTGTTGTTTGTTGGACACCTTATATAGTCGTAACTTTAGTTGAAGTTTATTCGAATCGTCGTTTACGAATACCAACATGGCTTGAAGGAGTTTTACAAACAATATGCTTAGCACAAAGTGGTCTTAATCCATTTATATATATAACATTTAATCATAGACGAAAACATGCACCGACAGTAGTTCTTGCTTCAGCACATTTAGCATCATTAAAATCACAAAATCGAAAACAAAGAGCTGAATCAACAGTATCTACTTCTATTGCCGAAGCCGCATTTAGAATAAAAGAATATCAATCATCACCAAAAAATTAATATAATTTACATTCAATGTATATTTTATCATTTTCTATTTCATTTTGTTTTTGTTTTTATAAGAAAAAAAGTAATTGAATTGAAATTGAATATTTAATTCAAGAATAAATATATGTATATAATAAGAATATAAAATTAAATTTTTTATGATTTAGAAGTCTTTTAAAATTGTTCTCTATTCATCAAAATCGAAGCGTAATTAATACATGTTTTTTGTACATAAAATAAAAGACATTATGTTGTAAAGAAATCAACTGCTAAAGTAGGACACTCGGATACAATGACAATATTATAAATAGATAGCATTAATTAGAAGTAGAAAGGATGGCAACCTCGGATATTTCTCAATCAAACATTAGTATATATATATACGACTGTTCCTTCTGTATTTGTGCATTACGTTAGTCTATTTTAGGATTGATTATCGATAGAAAAGAAAAGAATCACCTATAAACATGGTTCAGGTAAAGTGGTATCACAAATCTTTATAAGTAAACATCCAAAAACAAATATTTTCAGACAACCCCTGTGCCCGGTTTATGTACTTATTGCCATTACAATGTATTTTTTTCCATTATAATGAGAAATAATAGCTAAACTTACGTGATAATAAGTATCTAAAAAAAAGAAGTGATATATAACAACACTCCCTGTTTGTTCAAACTTATATCGTGCATCGCCACGTAAATATGGTAGCCTTTTCCAGATATTTCTTCTTCTAATAAACTATTCAAATCAGTCTTTTAACTTAATCTTATTCCTTAATTATCTTTAATTTAGAATTCTTCTTTAAAATGAAATAGCCTAGATGGAATGTATGATTTATTTATGTTTTATAATATTAAAAAAAAAGATTTATTAATTTCCAATTGATTAAAACAAATTATATATTACAAAGACACCGAGTGAAAGAAATGTTTTTATTAAATAATTTTGATGATTTTTTCTTATTATTTTTTTCGATTCTTTGTTGCTTCTAATTCGGAACTAAGTTGTTGTCGTGCTTGTCGACATGCTTGAGCAAGATCAATATCAGTTAATGGAAGTTTCTCCATTTTAGCTAATAAAACATCAAATGATAACAGTTTAGCAGTTTCTTTTATAAGTGAAACAAGATCCATTGGATTATCACATCTATGTGCTCGACTGACAATATCAGGTGGACCAACTTCAAGTGCTTCACGTACAATCACAAGTGCTAAGCGAAATAATACTTTGACACCTTCACAGAAAAACATATCCCAAATGCGATATAATTTTGGTGCACGATAAGTTCGTGAAAATAATGTCATATACCACTCAACAGTATATAATATTGGATCAACGTCAAGTTTACGCTACAAAAAAAGAAAAAGAAAAGTTGATATTTTCTAATATTACTCCTACGCAATATAATCTATACTTAAGTTCATAAAAGAAATCTAATCAAATACATTATTCAGATGAATTTATGAAAGTTTTATAACATGATAGAGTTAATATCAAAATAAGTGAAACTCAATCAAAGTTCTCTATAAAATTTTTTTGTTTGTATTCTATTCTGAATATTTCTTAAATCAAATAAATACATACAAGTAAACGATAACCTTTTGGTGAAATACGTTGTAGAAGTAATTCTGTAGCTAATGCATCTTCTCTTACTGCCATTAATCCATCACTAAAATATCCTTTCACATATTCTTCATTAATTTGTATAAATACCCAAAATGCTGATTCAGCTGGTAAATGCATCAATAAAATACTTGCAATAGGTGCTTGAGCTTGACAATATCCAACAGCTGGATCATGTACTGCATATGCTCTCAGAACATCAAATAAGCTTTGTTGTCTAAAAACAAAAATAATTGTTTAATATATTAATATATTTTCAATAATAATAAATAAATAAATCTACCCAGATCCACTTTTGCGAAACATTTCATGATCAGGAAATGATCTTGCTAAATCTTTGTTTATATCATCAATAACACGTAGATCAGGTGTTTGTTTCAAATAACTATTAAATAAATTTCCTGTTCGACAATTTCGATCTTCATTTTCTTGTCGATATTTTGCAGCTGATAAATGATACCATGCTTGTCCACGTACAGATGCTGGTATACCTTTTCGACAACGTTCTTTAAGTTTATCAAAACGTGATTGAATAAATGATGGCCATTGTGAAAACATATCAAGCCATTTTTGTTCTCGACGACGTATTACTGCTGCATCCGCTGCGTCTTCAGTACTAAAATCAATCAAATAGATTGAAAAGAAAGAATTCTTTTCATCTTACTTCAATTCGTCAGGTGATACAAAAAATCCATGTGGATCAATTACTTCCTCTCGTTCTTGTTTAGTCACCATAATTTCGAACTCATCTATAAAAATTGTAAATCTATTTTTTATTTCATTTTCACATTATACATACATATATATATATAAAATAACAATACAAAAAAATTCAGAAAGAAGAATATACTTCATTCGCAAAGAAAAACAGAACGAAAACAATCTTTTCATTATATATGATGTAAATTATCAATGTCATCATCAGTTTCATCGACTAATAAAAGTTCTTCTTCATCATTATTACTACTATCAAGTAAACTTGTTTGCTGAGTTTCATTTGGTTGTGTATGATAATAAGCATGTAAATGAAAATCGTCGCTTTCATACGGAATTAATTCATCAACAATAGATCGGAACGATATACGATCACCGGGTGAAAATGTCCAACAAGCACGCATTAATTTATGTCTAAAATTGAAAAAAAAATGATTAGAAAAAAGAAACTTCATATTTAAATTTTATATACAAAATTTCAGGACAATTTGAAGGGCGTTCAAGTGTAATATTTCCATATCGAACATAATGTACAACTTCTTCATTACCATATCCTTGATAGGGTTGTTCAGCTAATGTTGCTATTTCCCAAAGAAGAACACCAAATGACCTATAAAATTAAAATAAAATAATAAAAAAATTGCTTGCTTATATTCTTACCAAATATCAGATACAGTATCAAAACGTCCATCCCGTAAACTTTCTGGTGCCATCCATCGTATAGGAAGAAAACTTCGACCACCACGTCGATAATAATCTGTTTCATAAATATCACGTGTTAAGCCAAAATCTAAAGAAATTATTTTTCTGATTAAATTCATCATTTAACATATATTATAAATAGAATCAATACAAATCTGTCTAGTTTACTATACTATCAATATTTCTTTATCTTACCTCCAACTTTACATGTATGATTGCCATTAACAAGACAATTTCTTGCTGCTAAATCTCTATGAACAAATTTTTGATCAGATAAATAATACATTCCATCAGCAATATCCAATGCTAATTGAATCATTGCTCCTTCCGTTAATGTTGGACCATGTGGCTAAACAAAATATAAACATATTTTTTTTTGTTTTTATTAAATCAATTCTTACATTTAATTCACTTTGTCGATAGCGATAAAGATAATTTTTTAAATCTCCATTTTCCATTAATTCCATAACAACATATGGTGGTCGAATACGTGAACATATACCATACAATTGAATGACATGATAACATTGAAATTGTCTAAAATAGAAAAAACAAAATTAAATCAATTTATTTACTCAATAAACAAATAAAAACAAACTTCATTATTGATGCTTCTTGTAATAGATCTGTTGGATGTGTTGTTCGAAGCTAGAAAAATAGATAATAATTATTTTTAATAAAAATTCTTTTATTTCTTACTTTCACAGCACATGGTTTTAATGTACCATCAGATAATTTTAAAACACCTTTATAAACTTGACCAAAATGTCCTTGACCAATAAGCTTATCTAACGTTACTGAATCTTTATCAATTTCCCATTGATCCGGTGTATATAATTCTAAATATATAAGATATAAATAAATGAAAAATTCAAAAATAATTAAACAAACCATAATTTGGATTTTTTGAAATCGAAGCTTTTGTATCGCCTCGACTATATTTATAATAATAAAATGGTGCACCAAGTATAATACTTAACAGAAGAATAATTGAGCCAATTATCAATAGAAATAATGCTACTCGATTTTGTCGAGTTATTTCACGATCTAAAATTTCAAATGATCAGATAATTAGAAGCTGACTGCTATTTAAAGTAAAACATTAGTTGAACTTTACGAATTAAACTCCATTGTTAAGATGTTTCTTAGTCTTAGATTTAAATTTAATTTAAGAAGATAACGTTGACTATGTAAGTTCTGACGATATTTATTTATGTAGCTTTGCAATCATGTATTGTCTACTATTCAAATAAGGTATTCTATATCAATTATACGAAAACAAATATTTAACATCGAGAGATACTATTAGTGACAACAATAATCCAACGATATATTCGTTTTTAACCCTTCTGCTCTTGACGACACATACAGGTGTGCAAATATCTTTATTGGATAGAGACTATATTAGTATATAGTTTAACCGTTGAAAAAAATTATTTATCCTTGTTAAGTGATAAGAAATGAGTCTTGTACTATGCACTACTAAAAAAACAATATGAAGCTCTTTTGAATGGTTAAAAAATATACTACTCATATGTTCATCTAATAAATATACTCAGGTATATTTCTACGTCGCCAGGAGTCAAAGGGTTAATATTCTTTTGTATAATCATAGATACTATGTAAAAACAAGCTGTAGAAACAAAATTATAGGATCCACTTGAGCGTACTCTCTCTTGAAACAAGCATATTTATTCTTTTCATCTCTAATCATCAAAAATTATTCAATAGAGTTCTATAATGTATCTAATAAAAGCATGCAACTGAAATCCTACTAATCTATTAAAATAGCAAGCATAAGAAAATCACAAACTTACTAGGTAAATCAATAGTTGTAAAAAGTACTTGATAATATAAATTTGTTGTATTTAATAAAAATGATTCATCATTTAATTGTTTATGATCTTCATATTCATTATTAACTCTAGCTACAGTATATGTAATTATTCTTAAACGATAATTTGTTCGTGGTGATAATGATACATTTATTGAATATACATTATATCCAACACATCGTTCATCTTTTGGTCCATTTTGACTGTATTGATCAATATTTACCGTATAAAAATAAATAAGTCCATTTGGTGTTAATGGTTTAAGCCATGATATATGATAATTTAAACTTTTTGCATCAGCTGCTAATTGCAAAGAACTTTCAGTGGGTGGAACTACTTTAACATTACGTACTAAATCAAGTGATGCTAAAAAATAAAGAAAAACAAGTTAAAATAGATATCAAATAAATCATTTTGTTTAAAAAAATACATACAATCACCAGGTTTTGTCCGTACACTTATTATAATTCCATTAAGACTACAAGAATCTGATTTACTTTGTGTAGTTATATCATGACATGCAAATACTTGAAACATATACATTTGAGCATGTTTTAAATTGTCAATAACAATTTTTGTAGTTGATGATGTTAGATTATATGTATTTATATATGGAGTATGTTCAACAATTTTTTCTTCAGTTACTACATCACCTTTAGATTGATCATTAAAAGCACTACTTTTATCTTCAAAATAATGATCTAAATCATTGATGATTGTATCTTTTAATTCTTGACGTATAAATAATGGTTCTTTACGTTGTGTTACAGAATTTATAAGTTGATGTTCAAGTATAGCTAAATCAGTAACAACTTGATCAACGCCAGTATTTTCTTCATGTTCTTCCATAAAATCATCATCATTATTATTTATTATATCATTTAATTTTGATTTTTGTTGAATACATCGAGAAGATGTTGACAGATTTAATGGAGGACTTGAAACAGGTGCTTCGGAATACCAACGATCTAAAATAAATACAATGAAATAATTTGTATATTTCGTTTTTTGTGGTAAAAAGAAATTTACCTTTCATTAAACAAAGTATTTTTGGATTATTAACTGGTAATCGATCTTCGACAGGTGCATAATAAATAAGATAAGTTGCTATTTCACCATTAGGTTTCTTTGGTGGTTTCCACATTAATTCAATTGAAAAGCGTGATAAAGCTTCTCCACGTAAATTAAGAACGGGTTCAGGTTGTCGAGGTAATGTACGAAAATATGTAATTGTAGAATATAAACCAACAGTATTAATATTTGAAGTTATAGATGCATAAACAGCATACCATGTATCACCAAGAAGTGATGCTAATTCAACATTCATTGTAAATGAACTACCTAAAATAGAATCGAAAAGTTCATTTTTGTAGATTATATTTTATTAAAGTCATAAAGAAAAATCTATTTGCTCATTTATAACACGATGCAATAAATCTAGATTTATCTGTATATTATATAAAATAATAATCCATTTTTATCCGACAATATCTGACGAGTGGGCGGTGCCCATCTGAAGTTTCAATTCACCCACCCAAAATACGAGACTTGGACAAAGCACTATTAGATGGCGTCCACCCGATAGTCCGATTCGCACACACACAAAAAGGAGATTTGGATAAAACACGGATACCTATTTATTACAGATTTCAATTTACGATTATACTGATAAAATCAAGGTTAAACAATCGATTAGGAATAGATAACAATGAAAAGACGAAATGCAAGGCATTCAGTTATACTTCATATGTATTTAACTTTTTTGCCATAGTTGAATCCTACGAGACCTCATTCGATTTTTTATTATTGAAACGTTTGCTCTAAATATATATTACAAGTACAAAGATGAACTTTTATTGTTAACCTTCACAATTATGTATAATTAACAATAAATCATAGAAAGTTATAATATGTCAACTAATGTAATCGAATAAATGTCCTATTGATTAATAACCTTTTTTTTTATCACATTTATCTATGACAACCTAATTAAAAAATGGTTACAGTTGAGTGATTAAAACAATTCGAATGAAAAAGAAAAACAACATAAATATCGTCTAACTATTCAAAGATGAAATCTTATGTTTTAATCTATCTAAATAAAAATATATATATTATTTTTTGCTTACCTGCTGGTGATGGATTATAATTAGCTTTTTCAACAACTCTTAACCATTTATGTGATTGTGTTGAATCAAAATGTGTTTCATTTCTTGTTTTTGTTGCTTTATAATAAACAGATAAAAATGGTCGACGTAAATAAGTTGCTTTTCCACCTGAACGAAAATATAATTCTTTCGGTACAGCAACATTAACTCTTGCTGTTAATGAATGAATTTTATCAACAGTTAATGTTAATAAATTCGATTCACATGATGCTAAATATCCATTAGCATATTCATTAAATGTATTTGGTGTTATTTGTAAATCTAAAAATAGAAATATAAGATTATTCCTGAGTTTTTTTCAAACAAAAGATTTGAATACCTTTTTCAACTAAAGTTGTATGATTAATAAATGATTTAATACGTGTTAAACAAAGACGAGCATTTCGAACAATATTTAAACTTCCTTGAATAATTGGTGGTGGATGTGATGATGGCCATAATTCAGCAAGAAAATCATTTTCTTCAATTGTTATTGTAGCATTTGTTGTTATACCAATACGTTTAAGTTTCGAAAATATTTTTAATGTTGAAAATATATTTACATTATGAATTGTAAATTCATGATCAACTTGTTCAAGTGATCCAAATGCAGTAAAAGCTTCTAATAAATTATTTTCTGTTGATTCAACAGCAGCAATATTATATATGTTTAATGTATGAACACGTGAACAATATCTTAATAGATTAAAATCAACTATTGAACGAATATGTTGTTCACGACATGCACCTTGACAATAATCATTTTCTGGTGTTGATGTACAACGTAAACAACGTGAACTTGATTGTGAATCTTTAACAAAACCAAGTGGACATGCTGATACACATTCATTTGTTACATCTAATATAAAACCTTCGCCCATAAAAAATGATGCACATTCTTGACGTGTTACACATAGAGAATCAATAACCTAAAAGAAAAAGAAAAATCATGGAATGAAGTGTATGATGAATTGATTTTTTTCTGCTTATTTGCGGAAGAACGAAATAAAAATAAGTTTCGTAGTACAAAAAAATCAATAGAATAAAGAATGATTGCAAAAGAAAAATATACTAAAAATTATTTGTCATTGATAATACAATGCAAATAATATTCATTTGTCATTTCTGTTATAATTCGTATATGTATATATTTAGATAACTATAGTCTTTTCTATTTGATTATAAATAACTGTAAGAATATGATTTAAAGTTCTTTTATAACTGATTGTTTCCTTTCTGCAACTAGTACTGTAGGTTCAAAATTAATATTCGTCTAGGTACATCAATATAGAGACCTTCAATGTAAACAAGAAAAGTTTCAACCAAATCTGCTACATGTCTATATAATTAATTTATGGTACTGTCATCAAAAGGAAATGGATCGAGCAGGATATAGTTCATATAGGGTTATTCTTAGTATAGGATCTTTAATAACAGATATAGGTTCATTTCCTGATCCAGGCTTTAAATCTATAATAAATAACTTTGGTACCATGCAAACATCAATTTCTATGTCTTATAATATTATTTACCTTAAGCATTTGTGCTGGACATTGTTGTACACATTTTCCTGTTGCATAGATTCTCATATTTCTACAAGCATTACAAACTAAATTTGTTGGTGCAGTTACATTTTGATAATAACAACCGCCAACACATTGATCTGGACAACATATTGTTTCTGATAAACAATTTCCTTTACAATGTGCTGGACATTGATATTGACATTGTGTTGGTGACCAACATGCGAATGGACATGTTGGACAAAATGCACAATCATCACGATTTTGTCTTAATATAACTTGTGCTTTTTTATTTTCAATAATATCATTCCAACGTATAGAATTTGCATAGCATAAATGTGGATTTCGTGCAATAATTATATTTCCTCGACGTATATTTATCAATGATGTTAAACCTAACTCATCTAATTTAAAATTTTCCATAACAATCAATGCATAACCATGATATAATTCTCTACCATGAATGATAGATAAACGTGGAAACATGGATGAAAATGAATTTACTGTTGAATAACCTAACAAAATATATCCATAAACTTCACGAAGATATGGAAAACGAACTGGCGCTGTTGTTGCCGGTAATGCCGTTGCTGATGTTGTATTATTCATGGCTAACGGCATAGGAGCATAAATAATTGAGCCAAGAATTATTTCACATGATGCTAATGCTTGTAAATCAAGACCACGACGAACTTCAAATATGGTCATACGAATATCAGCACATACTAAAAGAAATTTATTGATCAAAATATGAATTCAAAAAAAGTTGTTTTTACAAGAGCTTAATCTTCAGAGCAGTGCTAATGCAGAATAGTCCAAAAGTGACATATCAGAAGAAAAAATTGAATATCTACATTACGATTCTACTAATCAGGTTCAAGTCATAATGAAGATATTCAATTTTCTTCTAAAAAAGGTGACTTTTAGACTATCCTGTATAAAATCTATTGTTAATAATCAACTGCAATATAATCACATGAAAATAGATACACTACTTCTAAATTAATTAAATACATAATAGCCAAGACTACTGTATGTGATTAATTAGAAAGATAGTAAGAAATATGTTTTTACTTTAGCCAAATTTAATTATTTTTTTCTTTCTTGTAAAATATTAAAAAATATCAATTGATAAGATAAGACAGTAAGTCACGATAACCTAAAATTATATTTGCTTGAATATCTCGTGCTTATTAACAGGTCTGTTGGCAAAATTACTCAATATTTATAGAAGAATCCTATTTATATTTAATGCATTACTAACAAACTCTGTTCATGACAGGTAATTATATCTTTTGAAAATAATATTTGATTCTATCAAATATCAAGGTTCATCTCAAAATTATCATGAAAATAAGGTCATATGTAAATTTACACAAATAATATTAATTAAAAGAATTTTTTCCTTAGTTATTCAACAAATTTGACTCAGGTGATATTAAGACAAACATATGATCTTTAGTAAATGATTGGAAATTTTCTTTTAAATTCAATTTAGAATAATTAATTCGAACTATTCATTCATAATTGATTATAATCATGTAGATAACGATCAAATTTTTGTTTTCTAATTAGTTACATCGTTGTTTTCGATGACTTTAAGTATTAAATAATTCAAATAAAAATTATCTAGTTTCTATAAATTTACAGAAAATTTTTATAATAAATTTGTATATTCAATGAGTAATTTATTGAATTCTGATATAGACATATTATTCTCATTTTTCTTATTAAAAAAGAATTTCAGACGGATCCTTTTTTTTGTAATTTTACTCCTCATAACAATATTCTCATTTACATATTAATCATATTCAATAAGTAAATTTCATTAGGCTTCTTTTGACATATCTGTTATTACAATCTTATATTCTAACATACCTTTTGGGTGTGGTTTTGCAATAGCACCTAATTCCAATGTTGTATTATTTTGTGCATATATCCATGATAAACATAAACATAGAATAAAACTAATAATATTATGTCTGTATTCCACCATCTAAAATAGAAAATAAGATACTAGAATTATTTCGCATCTCAATTTCATATCTTTATACAACGCATGAGCAACGATCCGTATAAAAATCGAAAGTAATTATCTCTTTTCGGATCGAAAGAAAAAAACGTCAAATATATATATATAATATTATATCATTATTTTAAAGATTAGTTTTTTTTTCTTCCTACGAATATATGGTAATAAATAATGTTAATGTGAAAAATATGTACTTTGTCTATTATAAATGCTTTTCTATTGAAATTAAAAGGAAATATGTCAATAAGCCAATTATTGATTTCTTAATTATACTCGTATTTAATACAGTTCAGATAATTTTTATTCTTTCATATTGATGAGAATATTCATTTAAAAGCGCAATTTTGATAATTAATAAGATAATATTTGACTATAGCATTATAAACGCTTTTAAAGTTCTAAGAATATACTGTAATCCTAACACGAGAAATTAATCACATAAAAAGAACGGAAGATTCTGTGATGTACGCTTTTATCTATTATCCATTCTAGACCTATTAGAAGTTATTAATTTCATAAAAATAATTATGAATTATCCTGATCAAGGATGATGAGTTTTTTTATTTCTATAGAAAAAAAAAGATCTATTATATACTGAAATATGATCCAAAAATGGATCGTATTATTTCAAGTATATTAAAATTTCAGATATATTTATCTTATAAGTAAAATAGATGTACCTGTTTTTTATTATTCACTATTTTGAAAAGAAATTAAACATTACTGAATCTGACAGGAGAGACAAAATATTTCATATTTAGTTTTCTTTCAGTGTTGACGGAAATGTCGGAAGTAATATTTATTCTTCATAATAGTAGAGCACTTAGTCGGATATTTTTTATAAGAATACTTGTTCATACACAATTGTTATTCGTTTCATTTGAAAAGAAACTTAATCAGTTTTTATAATAATACTATGAAAAACAAATTGATGTATTTTTTGCGTTCATAAAAAAAGAAAATAATAGAAGAAAAGGAAGAAACCTTCCTTATATAGATTCACTAAGATATTTTTTTTAGATTAGAATAAACTAATATTTTCCTATCTTTCTCATACATTCCTTTAAGCTTATTTTTGTTGAGTCACATGAGTATATTCATTTTCAAATAGTATAAAAAAAGAATCTATAAATGAGCAAAACAACATACAGATTTAATTATAGTTGAGAAATATAAATCGGATGTGTAATTTTAGTAAATACAATGTTCATATTAATTTACTTCGTTGACAATATGATTAAGATTAAATCTCAAAAAGAAATATGATTATGTTCGAAGCAAAATAGTATATTAGTTAGTGTTCTATTTTTATCGAAATATCCTCCAGAAAAAATGAAGACAACAAAACAGGCTATTTACTGATATTTGAAAAGTTAATGTAAAAATATTGAAGTATATGAATTCATGCGTATAATAATGATAAAGTTTATAAAATAATTTCCTTTTTTTTCTCATTTCTAATATTTATGGTTATTATTCTTTAATGAGAAAGATATATAATGCCTTATCTTATGGCTTGAAAACTATAAGGAAGAGTTATATTTTGGTTAGGGATTTCTTTTTTATTCTATTATGTTTTCGTTAAAAGCTTTTTGTGAGTAGAAAAATAATTATTCTAACAATATATAGCACGAATATTGTGAAGAAAAAAAGTTCATTGTACTCGTCATTATTATTCTTCTCATGTTCATCATTAATAAAAATATTTAATATAACTGTGAAGAAAAAAATATTTCATTAATAATGGTTCAAAAGTTGATAGAAGTATGACTTCTACAAATTTTTCTAATAAAAATCAAGAATTTTTTACATGATATAATATATTATCTATAATTATTGTTTAGATAATACTATAGTATATTTTTAAAGAAAATCTTTCAGAGGATCCAGTTACTTTTGAATCACACGATGTCGTAAAAATATATATAAATAATCTTATACTAATTATTCTGAATTTTCTTCTCACATTCTAATGCACTATTCTATATACAACTAAATCTATGTAGTCATTACCAATAAAACAGTCAATATATGCATATGAATTTTTACTGAGAAATGTATGTCATAAAATCCTGTAAGAAAAGAGGCGTGATAGTATTTGACATTATCTGTCATGTAACAGTTCTCTGCTATTGTTTTTCCTTTATTATGAAGCACGCACACTATACCTGGTTATTAACTACTCAAAATAGAAAAGAAAAAGAACGTTCAATTACATCATCACAAACTTTTATATTTATCAGTACTCAAGCAAGTACAGAAATGAACTTAAATATTTTTTTGTTACATTTTTTTTAAAAGCTTTCTATTTAAAAACTACACGCTTTATATAACATGATTTTTTTAAACGAACATCAACACTAAGAATAATATATTTACCATAACAATTCTTTCGGATTAGATTAACAAACATTTCAAGTCATATTCTAAGAAATTCTTGTCATTTATTATAAATAAAATTACATACTACTATCTAAGGAATAGATTCACAGCGAACGAGAGGAAAAAAAATAAAAGTTTGGTATATATTTAATCTATAATTGTAGCCTTTCAATTAAATAAGTCTGCTTTGAAGAAGTACTGATAAACATATGTTCCTATTCATTATCTATAACACTTACTTCAAAAGATTAAGCACGCTAAAGTAGAACTTTCTTTTCCTATAAGCATGTCTACGAGTCTTATATCACCCTATATTTTAAAAGAAAATATAAAGAAAATTTTATAACACTTCTTTTTTTTCAGAAAGATGAAGACATAATAAAGCTCATGTTTTTTTTGTTTGTCTTTCATTGTTAGATTAGATATAATGTAAGGATTCACATATAATCGATGAGAATAAATAGCAATCTACACAATAAAATTCGAATGTCACTTCAACACATTCATTAAGAAAAAGGATTTTTTTATTATTCATAAAAAAAAGCTCCTTCTTTACGCATAAATCATCATTTTAATTATAATTGTCAGGGAGATCGATGCAGCTGTGTCTTGTTAACTACACTAATATGTTTGACATACAAACTATAGTGTTATTACAATACACTAACAATCTGTCTTTGAAAGAACTGCGTAGATTCGTGTTAGGAAAACTTTACTTACTTATAGTTCATGAAACAGTAATCTTTTATGCGCTGGTCTAATGAGAAGAGCGAAGAAAAAGAATGATGTATGCACTTAGTCCCATCAATCATAATAAAGCAGGTCGACAAGGAAAACTATATATGCATCGTTGCTGATCTTTTATCTCCGAACTCCTTAAAACCATATAATTCAAATAGATAAACAACATAGAATTATCTTGCTTTGACAGTAGTAAATATTGCACACACATATATATATTACAGATTTGTGTAGAATCTATTTTTCTAATAAGAAAATATGGTCGCAAGATGTTGATTTAGACAAATATCTTTATAATAAATAAAAAATTATGAGTCATAGATAATATATTTTGAAATATTTATATTATCCATATTCATAAACGATACTTGATTGGCTGTTTCCTGAGATAAGATCGCCTGAATACAGCGTTAATTATGGACTAATATAGATTCTTTTTTCCTTTTAGCTATAGAACGAAGAAAATAATCTTAAAATATTTATTTAAAATATATGAAAACTTTTTTTTCATTATAAATTCAATTATCACTTGAGAGAAATATGACGTCTTTTTTTTTAATTTCTGTAAAATGCACTTACTAAATTATGAAGTTCAGCTTAATTCTGATTTAGTTGCATATTGTTGTTGTTGTTATTATTATTGCTGAAGGTTTAGTATCCAACGTCAACGAAGATCATTTCTTTTGACAACCTAATAATGTTAGAAAAAAGATTGAAATTTTGATGAAAAATACAGCTGAATTGTTAATAATAAACAAGAAAATATCTTCGAAACAAAAAGAAAGGAAATAATTCCATCTGTAAATCCCAAATGATGTCGAAAACATATTTGATAGCTAAGAATTTCCTTTTAATATATATCCTCAAAGGAATATAACTAATTATTTTAATACAAGTAACATATTTTCAATATTAAGAAAATAAAAAATATAGATATGAAATAGGTTATATGGACCTAATCTACAGACTCATAAACGTATTTTCACGCTTCCTAAGATTATATTTAACTAAGAAAATCGATAGAACTAGATATCAGATGTCTTTTTAATCATAAAAGAATTCTCAACTTAGTAACCCGAAATTTATAACTGCAATTAAGATGATAATCATATATATATATTCAAGATTTATACCTTTTTGATTATAATAAATCATATGGTTTTATTGATAAATACTTAAACAGGTAACGATGAGTTTATCTATTAGTTTGTTCTAAGCTGGCTGTCTTCTTGTTTCCTTTGTCTCATGGCATTATGATTGGATCGAAATCGATCGCATCATTGCTCTTTGGGCAAGTGCTTTATTCAAAAAATAATTAGTATTCTTTTTTATTTGGTTATTTTCCTATCTAAAAATAATCCGGATTATTTATAATAATAATAGATGGCGCTGCTAACTTTAATAGATAAACAAAATAACCTTTTTCTTTTGTTTCTATTGTCATACAATCAATATTCTTATGCTTAAAATGTTAATCATCTATTATTTCTTTAATATTTAATCGAATATTTACATTTTTAGATCATTAAATATTTATCAAAGTGTCAACTGAATTCTAACCTTTAGAAAGATAAATATACTTCTCATTCTTATTTCAAACGATCATATAATGCAGACTGTAGAATGTTGTACTGTTACAAGATATCAAACGAATAAAAATAAAATAACATATATTACAATACGTGGCATTGCTGAAGAAAACTATTTCATTTGGACAAGAGGAAAGGTTAATGGGAATGAATCACATCTCTTTTAATATTTTAAGATTATACAAATACCACATTCCTTTCATTAACCAAGTAATATTAATTTCCAGTTTTTCTCAAGTCAACATAAGGCAT